GTCACGGCGAGTACATGCCTGTTATTAACTGTATAATCGCATAGAGCACGACAAGAGCTGTCGACCTCTCTCGTTGTAAAAGATGTACACATGCACAAGAGCCGGCTATAACTGCATAAACACCCGGGATACTACACATCTAACATGTTGCCGCGATCGATGGCAGACGTATCTATGTGCTATTGTTGGTTAATTTACGTTAATACCCCCATCGTCGTCATTTGTAATTGCGCTTGTACGAACGACGGGCCAAAATGCTGAGTGATAAATTAATAGAGGAAACCTGTCAACTGGTTGTTTTCTCTCTTTCTCACACAACTAACGATTATGTTGCCGCTGGGCACTCTGTGCACAAGTTTTTCGCTTACAGGATTTGTGTGTAAAATCGCGCAAATTAGTACACTTGTGTGTGTGCTTTTAATATGGCCTGTCTACCAATTGTCGATATGATTATTAATAGCGTCGACAGTATGTGGGAGCTTTATGGATTAGAGAAATGAGCCAAATTGACAACAATCAACACATTCACCGAACACATTCACCGGCCTGTCGTATTAATGCCGGGAATTGTCGTTAAATACGATCACGGCAATTATTGATGTCTCGTAACGTCATTAAATTCTTTTCTACCGATTTTGTTTTCGTGCCGGTTTATTAATCGTACACCGTATATAACTAGACACTACAGGATTAATGTGAATCTTTATTTTATAATGAGAGTTCGCAGTTTTTATTAAGTATGTTCAGTACAACGCTAAAAGGCAAAAACAGCAACTGTCGTATTTACTATTTAGGCAGTGTTTGTAATACGGGAAGTGCTTTCCTGGAAAACATAAATGCATCGTGACATGATGCTTGGCGTACGATAATTCATAATCGATGGTTATTTCCAGTGTTGCCGGTGTAGAGCTGCCGGGAACAATACAACCGAAAGGCGCTGTACAGTGTGATGAAAACGTTGGTGTCAAGTACTTGGTAGAAGATTATAAGGAGAAAATAGTCCGTGTGACGAAGTGCATGTACGAGTGCGCGTCCCTGGATTATATGGGTGCGAGCTCATGTTGTGCGTCCGCCGGGCTGCTGTCGGCTCCTGCGGGCGCCGATTTGGCGTTCTGCAGACAAATGATGCCGCACAACGGAAAAAATCAATAGCCAAAACACTTGCAATTTTTAAGCGCCTCACACACCAAACAAAAGCTGGTTCAGTTGCATAAAACACAAATAACGGCAATAAATAATAAAAAACATAAATAAAACTTCGCTACGAGAGAACTGGAAAAACATAATAATCAATCAGTTTTATGTCTAAAATGATGCATGCGTAAAAAATAAAATGAAATCTTAATGTCGTGGATATTGTGTTGTCGAATTTTTGTAATGCGGATAATAAGCTAGAATTATTTTTTTGTTTAATTATTGAGATGGAAAATATGTCCTTGCACTATATTTTTTTTAATTTAAAAAGTTGGAAAAGAAGCAGGAAACGCCCTTGTTACGTTTCTGTGGTGCTGCAGTTGTAAGTAGAGCTTAACGGCGAGCTCTTGTTCAATAGGTTCATCGTTTGCCCTTTATCGTAAATTAATTCCATTTTGACCCAAAATCTCGATGGCAAATAATCAGCAGGATATCTCCAATATTGCAACTTAATAGCCGTTTAATTCTTCCCCGTTTCGTTCCCCGACTACCCTCGCTGCCCTCGGTAATCAGTCGCATAAAACGCCCATTACGGACACGCGGCGGCGGCGGCGGATGATGCCGTGAAGATTGAGAGGGAGCGCACAAGCAGCCAGCTGAGAGTTGTTGATGACCCAGGGAGGCAGGCAGGCCGGGGCGAATATTCACGGCGCAACAGACAGGATCGAGAGCGATTTTTCACGCTGCTATCCAGGAAGAATAAACGAGTTTAGTCGGAGAGCGTATATACCCGGTTATGTGTGTTCGCGGCTATCCTTATGACCCCCGCCCTGGTATCAGTGTACTTTGTTCTCTCGAAAATCATCGTTCGCTCGCATTCTCTCTCTTCCTCTTTCGCCCTCTCCCGGCCTTTCCACAAAATCAATATAATAACTTCCATCCAGCCCAGCCAATCGGTTTAATACAGTTGCAAAATAACGCGCGGGTTTTTCGCCGGCATCGGCAACACGTGACTAATCGGGTTATTTATCATTATTATATCAAGCTTGATATGTGCTTAACGTATTTGTCATGACAATGGAATCTTTTGGCAGTCAAACATTGTACAGCACTGCCGAAATATGCCGGCACGGTTGTTATAACAGTACATACAGTACAGCGACAGCAGCACGGCCGCACTCGGAACTTGCTAAGCGAATTTATATCGATCTGTCGGCATTTTCGAGCAAGAGTGGCTGGCTGCGGTCTTTTATCATGCTGATCAAACTGTTTTGCTTGGTGTCATGAGATCTTGATGTAGCTGGTAACACAGGCAATTACCGTTCACACTACGACCGAAGCGAGTGATACAGAATGAAATTAAACAGAAGAAAATTACAAAAAAAGGAATAAGCAGATACCAAGTTAACTAAGTAGTAGTAAAGTTATTTTGCGGGCTATCTTCCGCTTAAAAAAATTTTGCTAGTGTTCTTCGGTGGCGAGCGAAGCGAACGGTGGCACAAATGAAGCGCCCCGTAACGATGTGTGTCTTTGAATTCAAATGATCATTTTGAAGGCAGTTTATCATGGTTAGCAGGCATTGAGAGCGTGTGTTGACTGGTGGAAAATGTTATATTTTTCCATTCGGTCTCAATGGAATGCCGGGAGTCGTTAAGCGTTGCCGACAAAACGCCGGAAAGACGGTGCCGTTTGGAGTGTGCGTAGTCTGTGTATGTGCGGTAGAGTTGGGCTGGGTGCATTGGCGAGTAAAACCAGTGCGTTCTTTGTCTTGTGCTGGAAAACTGGCCTGACACGACGACACGCCACAGCGTCGTTACGAGCGCAGCACAGAGAAAGAGAGAGAGAAAGATCGAGCAGCAGCAGCAGCGCACACGAGCGAGCGAGAGAGCCGCGGCCGAATGTAAATTGCTCACTGAAACAGGCCAAAGACCCATTACCCCGAACTTACCAGCTAGTAGGCTCTGTCATTTCGCTTTTCCCTCTATCGTTAAATATATAGAGAGAAATATCTTTTAAGGCTAACGCCCTGTTAACGTTGGTGTTGCGGCTACTATGCAGCCGGTGTCTTTCCGAATTGAGAGTACCGTTTTGTAACAGACTTGTCGACAGATGCATCTGTTGCTGCAAAATCGGTCAAACACATCTAAGCATCTGGAACGATAATTTTTATAAAATGTCTTAACTTCGCATCCGGAAATATATGTACATTACAGCAAATTTTTCTACGTTTTTTTAGCGAAAAGATTTAAAAAGGTTTTACGCGCTTCTGTAATTTTGCACTGTTTGCGAAAGACGATTTCCGAACGTTGAATAAAGTTATGAGATGATTTGGAGAGTTTAAAATAAGGAATTCATGGCCGCTGGCGGTACGAGCAGCATTCCACGCCAGCGAAACACGTTTGGCGCCAAAACTGTTATGTACTCCTCACACACGGTTCACACCGACCCCACCCAGCACACTGCGCAGCGTCTTACTGCCAACACGGCACGTGCTGTGTTCGACATATTACGCAAGCATCTTCATTCCTCCCCAATTAGTAAATCCCCTACTTTTCCGCAGCACACGCAGGAGGTTATTATCGTGCATGTTTTTCGGGAGACATTATTGTGTGCGTTGCTCCGAAGATGCTGTGGCCTGTCTCGACAAAACAAGCAGGACATTAATTTCCCGGCATTGTCGCGCACACCACGGCCTGTCAGCCGCGATGGCAGGCGCTTGACAGCGAAAATAACAAGCGACGAATGTTTAAGCGGCTTAACTTCTTATAGAACAATTTTATTATGACAATATCGCGCAGGTATAACAACGACAGCTCTTTCTCTCTCGCTCTCTCTCTCTCTCACTCATACTCAGTTGTCGGCTGGGGTGTTATGTGATCAGGCTGGTTATAAAACGCATATTGAATGCCGGGGCGCTTGCAAACTTTGCCTAACTGCCTTACAACACTCTCGTCCTTGAACTGCCGCCGCTGTTTGACGCATATATTTAACAGCATCTCATATTGCCGGCATATATACCAACAACAACCGACTACCGAGAGCGCGCTTGAACGTTGCTGTATGTAACGATGATGCGCCAATCTCCCCTTGCACTGCAGCGCTACTGATCATCCGCTCGTCATCAAAACTCAACGTATGTACACGATTACGTGGATCTGTAACTGTTTCATCGTGCGGCGAGCGCACACTCGCCGTCTCTCTGTACCGACGGCGCCCCGATAAAACGCTGCTATATTATCGGCCGCACAGAAGAGTCGCTGGGTGTTTTTATTTAAACGCGTCAACCAGCTAGCCGGCGTCATCATCATCATCAGCAGCATCGTCGTCGACGTCGTCGTTGGTCGCGAGTGCGCGCGCGCGCGCTCTTTAACAAACCGGAAAAAAATAGAGCAACCGCTCTCCTTTCGACGAAGAGATTTTTCTACATACGGCACCGGGCCCCGGCTTTATTGTTTCCTATTGCCCTGCACGCTTGTGCACTTTGGCCAGTGTATACACTGTTGCCGATCAGTGCCGACTCGAGTGGTGTGTGTATGTTTTAATTTGTTCAATTTTTCTGCTGAATAAGTGCTAAACCGTTTTCCTCGTACGGCGCTGGTACGCCGCACCACGCTACACCGGCACCAACGCGCACGGTACCGCCACACATTCTATAGTCTATACAACAGCTGTTTTTTCTCCAGCAACTCCGCGTACGGCTTCCAAATACCCACATATATTGTGTTACACAATCATCCGTTGGCAACTAAATGTTTTTTCGCATAACCAACGCCAAACCGGCGCTGCCGTGATCAGCTGTTGATTGTTGCGCCTGTGATTTCTGATCTGTTTGTCTTTGCAACAAAGTGTATTTTTTTCCTCCTAAGCATGATATAAAGACTAATTCCCGTATCCATGCACCGCACCCAGTCCGGGATATGTCCACTGGCTGTGTATCCGCATACACATTTATGCGTCTATGTGCTGAATGCATGCGCGCATCTTCTGCACGCCATCTGATCCGCTGAATGCCGGTAAGTTGTTTCTCTCTCTGCCGCTCTCTCTCTTTCTGTCTACTGCTGGTTGAAAACTGGTAAGGCGGGAATCGGTACAGCGTCGAGTCCGCGATGTGATCGCTCCCCCGTCAGTGCTGTGGTTACGCAGATCCGGGATGACAAGTGTACATTTTCCCCCCGTACATTGGGGAATACATGTCAGGGAGGGGGAACAACGAGCGGCGCCCGATGTATGCGTTCGCCGAATCCTAGCCACATGCTCCCAGACGGGAGGATGCATAGTGGTTCCGCTGTAGACCGCGTCACAACTTGAACCAGGGGAAAGTGTCGGCCTCCAGGATGGTGACCCGGAAACCTCGCTCACCAGCTCCCGGAAAATACAATCCGGGAGCTGCTTCGTACTTCCGGATAGCTTCCTTAAATACCCATGTCCTATTCGCAGAAAGATTGCAAAACCTTTACGGGTTTGACAATTGTTTTTCGCATTCCAACGCAGTTCGAGGTTCCCAAAGTCCTGCAATTCATTTTTACTGACGATTTTTTCTACTTGTTTTTTTCCCAATTTTTAAGGATAAAGAAGAACTATCTAAGCACGAGGTTTCTTTTGCGAGAAAGAATTGGTGTCGTGTTTTATTGGGCGCAACACTTATTAGGCCTCTTTAACAGACCGCAAAAAACTTTTACGAGCTAAAGTGCAGGTATGAGCTGATTTCGTATGGGTTTTTTTTCTCCGTAGCTATACAACTCGGCATTTTCGAAGACAGTGCACGTAGCGCGCCAGCCTACGTGCAGTAGCCATCGGTTGAATGGTTTGCTAGAGTATTGCGCGAGAATCGGTTCCGCACCACAGCCGACGTACAGGCAGCGCGCTGACGCGGGTACGTGCGCTCGCGGTACCAACGTTTCGTGCCGCAATGTTTATCGTTTTACGACCCACCGAGAAAGAGTCAGAGAGAAAATTTTCCTGCCAAACGGACGAACACAAAAAAAATCTACGCGGCTTTTTCTTTACATTGCTCTCCTTCTCCGTTTTCAGCGCATTTTAACGCACGGTAGCATGCAAACCAGCAAAAAAAATTTGGCGCGGAAAAACTATGCCGGCATTTTAAAATCTTTTTTATAGAGTGACGGGGGCTGTTTTTGTCGTAAAATTCCCCTGTTTGTGATGCTGAACAGCGGTGCAGCGCAGTCAGGGGTTGCATCGCGTTGCAGTTTTTGATGTTTCGTAACACGTTTGTAACGAATATCCATCTGTACCATGATGTTGCTATATACATGCAACATGCCGGCGCGACATAGCCGCCATTTTTTACACCGCTCTAATTCAATTGCCGGACACTTTTCTTGGCGTACGATGAAATGTGTATGTTGATTTTGTATATTATGTTACGTAAACGATCAAGAATGCTGAGATGACTGAAAAGTGTCTAGTGTACAACAAGTACACAAGATACATACAACCGCTGTTTAAGAGGGAAGTGCCTAATGTTTGCGCACCGTGTAGCAGAAAAAAGTAACTGTTTTATAATTTTTTTAATCAGAAAATGTTGAAATGGTTAATAATCTTTTTATTTCCTGTACGTAGTTAGCGCAGTCATAGTTATTCCGTTGTCTGACAGATTATGGATGTTGCCGCTTATCGGTACAACGCACCTTTCCCTGACTCGAGTCATCAGCTCGCCGGTTTTTGATGAGCGCTCGTTTTTGCGTTGTGTGTGTGTTAGAAAAGCTGTAAGCTGGCTTGTACTGACGGCCTATGATGGTTAGACTTACAGCGTGTGACTTGAAGAAAACAAGCACACCAATGTCAACAAAAGATTATTCATATTGCTGGCAATCTGTTATATCGGGTTGAGTATATAAAGCAAACACGGAGTACATACGATATTTGTTGTATAGACGTGTGGTATACTGTTATAATATACCAGCTATTGCAACCCGGTGGGTGCAATATATCGACGACGGCCTGCTTATTGGCAGCGAACCGTCAATTTTTGTTGAAGCCCTGTGTCTAGCCGTCGCTTGGCTGTTGACTGGTTAGTGTGATTTTGAATTCAAACAGCAGCCTATAGCGGTTATATATCATTATTGTCCATTTTCCGATTGAACATGACTGGCAAGCGTACATATTCTCGGCCCTGCTTGTATAGACACATGCACACATCAATCGTGGTTTGATTATTATTTATTATGTGGCTGATTATTGTTATTATTATTTAAATATTGGGCCCTGCATACAATAAATCGGTCATTCGGTACAATATGCTGAGAGGCATCAGCTGTAAGTTGTAAACCCCCGGTGTCTATGGTGTAGATTACTCTGCCGTTTTTGCGGCGGTGACAAGCTCGGCTAATCCGGATTAATTCGGCAATCGCATTAAATCTTGCTATTTGAAAAATATACTGACCGCTCTTGATGCTTTATGATTATGCTTTTTTAAGGTAAATAATTTTTGTTTTGTTCGTGCGTACAAGTCGGTCTGCTGAGTCATAATCATGACTTTGTAGAAACAGTGTTACATGACCTAGAAAAACATACAAGTGTTTTTGTAAATCAAAATTTTCTGCAATTTGTTTTATTGATCTTTGCTGCAGTAAATTCGAAAATATGTTTTTAAAAAAATAGTAAATTAAAGCGGTTTATACAGCTTTGCGTATGAACAGAAAATATTCACATAAAGAAAAGTAAAGTGTAAAGTTTGGATACGCGGAAATGAGCGGTACAACTTCCTTCCGGTGCATTAGTTCGTTAAAGGTTTGATTAGCATCTATTGAAGGTGTTGAACATATAAATTCTATTATAGATTGCCGATCATTAATACAGTCAATTCCGCGCATGTGTTTATTGAAGACCATGATTAGTTTGGTTAGCCGCCTCCATTCAATCAGCGCCATACTTGAGGAATTATGTCATCAATATCAAAAACAATCTAATTGATATTGTACACGGAACGCCGTTGCCTGTGTATATTATGCGTACGCAGCGAACTGTGCGCTTCATCAATCTGATCGGTGTATACTTCGCGCTGGTAACCGCAGTGGCTACAGTGTCAACACTTAACCATGGGGCATTGTTTCGCCCGGCGCGAATATATATACGCCGCGTACATACGTACAGCGGCGCCGTCGCGCTGGCCAAATAAATGTTGATGAGCAGGTTCGTTGAGAGACATCACCTTAACACCACGGGAGTCTAATTCGAGTTTTTCTCTGATCGGTACATTTTATGTACGGGCCCGACGGCCGCTGCCATGATTGACAGGTCCGCGATATCGACAGTTTAAAGGCGGGTTGCGTTGATGGGTCCTACACACCGCGGAATGCGAGTCCGCGGTGATTTGTAATTGGTCGACGTGTTTATATACAGAATATATATGTAAGCGCTGATTTATGCGCCGGGTCCCGGGACCATCGTGCGCTAAACGATGTGACTAATTAATTGGCATTCGAGAACCCGTGTATGGGGCCACTCGGAAATTAATCATTCCTCATCAGGCGTTGAGAAAATATTGCTGTTCCTGGCGTGTATAAATTGCCAGAGTGAAGTAGGCAACATCACGTTGCCCAGCCGCGTTTCCTTTGTGCGACATTACGGGGTTTTTGTTATTCAAGTACGGTACTGAGGACCCTCGTTAACGGCATCACTCACTCAGTCATCCCCAGCGCACCGCTCCATATTACTCATGTTTTCGCATAATCAACCGCGGCGCATAAACAGCACACGTGCCGGGCATGTAGTTTTTCTTGTAACTGTAAAAATCGCGCGCTTTGTTCAGCGGCGTATAGATGACGAGGCGTAAGTGTACACTGTATATCGCCCGTAGTCAATTATCAATTATTAAACGACAAGACCGATCAGTCTGGCGTTTAACGCGCCGCTGCCGCACACCGCCAGCCCCAACCGTCACATCAATGTCAGGATTAATTGTTTAAATTTTCCCCAACACACAGAAAAATGCATGTACGGTCTTTTGCAGTACATTTTGACATGGAACCCAGCGCCTACAGTATGCAGCCGAATAGCAACGCCGCCTGGAACCCCACCCCCACGGGTCCCGCCTACCCCGCCCCACCCTATCCCAACGGGGCCGTCTACGCCAATCAGAATGCCAATCCCAATATGAATGTCAATCTCAATCAGTATCCCGCCTATCCGCCGCCGGGTGGCGGTGGTGGACCCGCGCCGCCGCCCATGTATAGCAGTGCCGTTAAGAAGGAAGCGGGGATGTACGGGGATATGGATATCAGGTAATTGGGAATTGGGATCTGACTAATGAGGCTCAATATAGATCGCACACGCCGGTGTTGTGAACTTGTGCATCGTGATCACGATGCCGGAAGTGCGCGCGACGGAAGTGCACTGCAGCTTTTCTTGTCTTTCCGCGTATACGTGTTGCAGAGACATACGCAGGACATGTGTGTTATGCACATCTTTCTTGTAAAAAATTAACGGTAGATGTAGGTTGGAACTCTTGAATTAAATGGCACTTTAATCTTGTTCTGTGAATTTTTATAACGCACGTAGCAACCAAAATTTGGCTGCAAAGCTGAATAATTCAGTACTTAAACTGCTCCGAAAAATAATCTGTTTTTCACACAGACTAAACTGATAATTTTTCTGCTCTTTTTTACAACCAGTTTTTTTGATAGTATGCCATTAAAAAAATCTTGTCTCGGCAGTCGGCCGTTAATGTAAAGCTATACTGTATATTCCGCTCAAGAAACAGTTCTGAAGTTATTTATTATTAGACGACGTAAATTTAGATTATTATTTTCTTGCAGATCTGTGGATAAATTCGGCAACCAACAAGTCTTTCCGGAACAAACCATTCCCGCAATGAACCACGCCCCCGGCGGCCCGCTCTCCCACCCGAACGCGATGGGAGTGCCGCGTCAGCCGGTGTACGCGCAGTATCCGGGAACGGCCAACGGTGTGCCGACGCAGTATTACGACACAATGCCAAATGTTCCCAATGGGGTGCCAAAGTACCTGGACCAGCACGGGATGCCCATGGAGCAGCGCACCGCCGCCCCCGGGAGTATGCGCGGCATGCCGGGCGCCAACGGTCCGATGGGCAGTAACCGGGCGCGTCCCTACCACACCCCCAACGGCAAGGCCAACGGGATGGTCAATATGGGCCCGAAGCGCCTGATGATGGCCCAGCAGCAGTCGCAGCCGATGGCCAACTTCCAGACTGTCGTCACAAATCAGGTGCGTAGAAGATTCAGCCGGGTTGTGTATCACGACTTTATAAGCGTTACATTGCGTCACTAAAATATAATTTCAGCACGTTTTAGTCTTGCTGTTGTTAACGGAAATGCTAATTACGGCTGTTTTGAGTACGCCTTGAGGCTGTTTTTTTAATGCTTAAAAATTTTAACTATCAAGTATATCATTGCTTGCAATTGAGTGGCTTTTGCCAGTGAAGAAAGATCTTTAAAAACTGCAATTGTATCAGATGCAGGAGAGATATTAGCCGGTATTATACTAGAGTAGTATAATGTAAATACGTAATTTGACTACCAGGGGCAAAATAATCGTATCAAGCGGGAATTGGTGCCGAAATTAAAATTTGATAACATTATGTTGTCAACAGTACGTGTCGATCGATATTTAGTATTTATGCTTTTGTTTACTGTTGTTTTTTGTTTTAGCAAATGCTCCCGAATCCCTACGGTCACGAAAGCATATCCCCGGCCCCCTTCGCCCAGCAGATGCCCCCGTATAATCCGCAACAAAAAGCGCAGACCCTCCCGCCCTCCTACCAGCGCCGGCCGGACCCGGGCGCGGCCTCCTACCCACCCACCTCCTTGTCCATGCAGCAGTCTCTCCCCATGGACAACCGCAACTACCCGCAGTACATGAACGCCCCGCCCGGCGCCCCCGGCGGCGTGATGATGCGCGGAGGACCGCAGCCGGCTAATCCCATGTTCGCCGGTGGCGCGACGGCCAACGGCGGTCCGATGATGGAGGGCCCGTACAATGTCGGCGGGCAGGCCGTGATGGCGCAGTCCTTCAACGGCAACGGGATGGGACCGTTGGAGATCAAGCAATTCGCCAATCCGATGGTCGGCGCACCGGATCCCCAGCAGATGATGATGGTGTCCAACGAGCCGCCGTTTGTTGCTAGTACGTTTACCGATGATTGAAAAAAAATGTGTAATCTATTCTACCGGTTTTCGTGGGAAAAGGCGAATAACAGTTCTTAGTTAGTGGAGCGACTTGTTTGGTTAATTCCGATAACGAACGCAACTCTAGCCGGTGTCCCCGCGTATATACCGCGGATGTTTCCATTAATTGACCCCGGTTTCTTTGCAGAACCCGATCTGGAGCCGACCATGACCATCATCCAGCACTACGATCCCATCATCCCGCCATTCCGCTTAGAACACGATCGCCCAAACAGCCAGAAGACCTTCGAACTGCGACCCGAGGTGTACAACGGTCTGACGCAGAACCCCCAACTACAGGTGGAGCTCAAGTGCTACCGCCCGGAGAACACCTGGTTCACCAACTGGCCGGACGCCATCTCGGTGGCGGTCAACGGGCGGCCGGTGGCCATTCAGCGCGGCGGACCGCAGCAGCCGCACCGGCCCCTGCACATTAAGGAGCTCTTACGGCCCAATAAGCGCAACGTCATCAGCTTCCACGCGCAGCAGTGCTGCTGCTCGCATCTCTTCGTTCTCCATGTGGTGCACCGGCCCACCATCCGCTCTGTGATTAATCATGTCGTCAAGTTCCGGACCGTGGCTATCCCACAAGGCATTGAACGATGTACGTTGGAGTAGTACTTGCTAGTAATAAGAATCTCCATATTTTCGAAACTTTGCCAGGAAAACATAAGGTTTTTAATGATAGGAGCGGTGTTTTTTTTTCAGTGCTGATCATGACGATTTTAACTATAGTTGTGTCAGCGTATCATGAAGACATGTACATACTACATACTGTATAGATTCACGGCGTATTGTAGTGTAATGGCTGTGCTCTCGTTACCAACGTCTCCATGACTTTTCTGTACATGACTGTCTTTAAGTCTTCAGTTATTAACTGCTCCGCCAATTCTTTTTTCTCTAAACTTGGTCGTAATAATTAGCATAATGGCCTAAACAGGTGCAGAAATTTTTTATTAAGGAGATTTTGGTTCACCTGATGGTTTGTTGCAGTGAAAAGCAATTTCATCAGCGGTGGCCGGGGTTTTGCCGCCAACGACGAACTGGTGCTGCCGCTCCGGTGTGTCCTCAGCCGGCAGCGCATCGTCCTACCGGCACGCAGCAGTCTGTGTCAGCATGCCCAGTGCTTTGATCTCGAGTCGTACCTACTGCACAACAGCACCAGCAACATCTTCATGTGCCCCATCTGCAAGTGCTCGGCACCCATCGACAACCTGCAAGTGGACGAGTTCATGTCCTCCATCCTCAAGCAATGTCTTTCCAATCCCGCCTTCAACCAAATCGACTCGGTGCTGGTGGATGTCAACGGCGGCTGGAGGCCTAACGTCCCGCTGAAACTCAGCCCTGATGAAGGTACGATGTTTACCAAAACACATAATATCTTCACTCAATAAAATTTATTTAATGAACTTTTTTAATTCTGTAATAACAGTAATTTTGATTAATAAACAGAACCTGGCGTTCATAAGGTCGTACTTCTACAGAAATAATGAAAGGTCGGACACCAGCAATTTGGGCTCCAAATTGGAGCCTCCAGTGTTAGCCATCGTATGCTAAACCCTTAGTCCTTCCAATGTTTTTCAAATAAAATATTCTCGCATGTGGTGCAGTGCGTCAAGGTTTCTTTTAATGAGAAAGTGCACTGCATTCTCCAAAAATGTTATGGTTTTCGTACTATAACGGTTTCGATACGCTTGAAATCAGTACGTACTGTATTAACATGTCATCGCATTACGCGGTCCACAGTTGTAGCCACCGCACTACGATTCTGCACACAAGTTCCGTGCACAACACACTGTGATGTTGCAGCGCCCCGGTACAACCCGGTCAGTCCCAGCACCACCATCAGCTCGTGGGAGCACAGCAGTCCGGGCAGCGCCCGCTGTCCCTCCTATCCGCCGGAGCGGAGCGTCTCCGTCGGCCGCAACACGCCCAAAGGCCCGGCCAGCGTGGGCCATCCGCTGTGCAACGGGGACTACGGCTCGCCGGCCTCCATGCCGGCCACCGTGCCCGTCTCGCCCACGGGCAAGGTCTTCCCCGGTTTATCCTCCTGTCCGCAGAAATCTCCCACGCCCTCGATGACGGCCGCCGACTCGCGGACGCCGGTGCCGCAGGTGCAGTCCGTACATTCCAACGGCTCCAACGGCAGCCTGCCCAGTACGCCGCGAACTCCAGGTAAAGACCGGTGGAAAATTAGAAAATTACTAGCGAAGTAGCGATGGCCGAAAAATATCTCGCGAAGCTTTCCTTGTATATTAACAAAAATAACAGTACAGAGTAATACAAAGTTTTGATTCCGGTCATTTTCAACGTTCAAGAGGTTGTTTTAATCGGTGCACATTGATTATGCACTCCGCTGTACATGTGAATCAGAAGAGCATGGCGCTAATTTTATACAGAAATATCAGTGCGAAACACTGGGCATGCGACAAAAATAAAAAATTTTGAAAATAGTTCACAAGTAAAGAATTACTAGTAGAATTTTGAGCCATAACCGTGCTTGACAAGTTATGTCATCTTTTGGCTGTTCCACCCACCGTACTACGATTTCACTGGATGCTCCAGTAAAATAAGACGAAATATTCACATCCGCTATGTACCCAGAAATTCTTCAACTACTTCATCATAGTTTTAGCTGGGGATTATTGTCCGACCCAGTTCGGCCGCTATCGCGTCTAATTTCTCTGCTAATCTTCCTTATTTTATTTCTCAACAGGAAGTCATCCGCCTTCCAACAATCCCACCGACTTCCTGGACATTAACTTCGAAGCCGAGGGTGACACGGACAACGACGCCCTGCAGCTGATCAGCAACATGACGGAGACGGATCTCTTCATGTTCTTCGAGAACCCCACCACGGACCCCTTGGGGACGTCCAGCACGTCCCTGGGGTCCAGCTTCCCCAATTCGGCCGGCGCCGGCTCCGACTCGGGTATCTCGGTGGCGTCGACCAATCCGGCCAACTCCTCGGCCGAGGACCTCCTCAGTCTCAGTCTCTTCGACAGCTATGATGCACAGCCGACGGTCAAGAGTGAATCGTAGTCATGGATGGACACCCGTGGTCTTCCGCCCCGCGAAGCCGCTGGGGTGATTCTAACGGTCGGTTGTTTCTGTTTCTCTCTCTCTCCGATATTTCCTCCTGGTCGGATCTTCTCTGCATTACATATTTAAGTATTCTTCTGGGATTGTAATTTTTTACCAATGTGTACAGACAAAAATGGCTCTTTGGAGAAAAGTTTACGGATAATTGTATTATGATGCATTGCATATTGTTATGTGTGGCGCATTGTATATATAATAAAGATGACAGTAAAATTGTCGGTGTGATCGGCGTTCGTGTAAGCGTAACCGAATCATAAATGAGGAGGACACCACACAAATGTGACACAATCAAAGCAAAAATATCAAAATAATTACAGAATAAGCTGCGTACAGTCTAATTTTTTGGTGAAACAAGACAGCGAGGTAAAACTCAGTGCAATGGGACTGGGAAAAAGAAGAATCAAGAAAACCAAAATTAGGTGACCAATAAGTATGTACGAGTTACATACATTACATGCAAATTTGCAGGCAATACATACAAGTCTCGCTAAAGGTTAAATTTTTCCAAAAATTAGCAGTTAATTGTGCGCTCTTTTTGAAAACACATCATTTTTCCCATCAGGTGCACAGCTCATAAGTATATATGTAACTTTGAATCCTATATCGTTTACATATCTGTACATCATCAGGAAAACATAACAATACTGCAATTTGCAGTAGTAAGAAAACAACAATACCGCTTAAATTAATTGCGCATTTTTGAAGATGACAGTTAAGCTGAGTTTCTACTCGCTTGCACCCCTCTTGCGAGAAAAAACACCACTGCGGGCTCATAAACTGTTCTAAAGTGTACGTTACTGCTTTCGGTGTTCAAAACATTGAACTTTACCGATTCGATCATTTTTATTAGTGTAAATCAGCGCAGGCATGTTGTTATGTTAACTAACTTGTAAGTACTTTACCGATTTAAACTCAAAATGTGCGCGCAATAGCCGGCTGCTGCGTTATCACCGGAAAAAGTTTAAAAACTCTGACGCGTCAAATAATTCACCTATCTATCCGACTCCGACTAAACTTGCCATTATCGTAAATCTATATCTAAAGAACATTCTGAACCATTATTATGATGATATCTTAAGAAACAAGGATGCATTAAATTTTAAAAAATTTTAAACGCTCATAACTTGGTCATTTTAGATCTGACCAGCTTAATTTTGGTTCAGAATGTGTATGGGAATTTACTCCATGTGATGGAGCGATCAAACTTGGAGTCGGGTAAAACACCGAATTATTTGCCCCACATTTGCTATTTTGAGAAAATGATTTTTTTGTGAACGGTATATACTAGGCTGGACAACAGGCCTATTCTTGGTGCTAGTGCTGCGCCTCCTTCTGTGTCCCGGCCTCATCAGGTCACGTATTGTTTCAGCTGAGCAGGAATGACACCCAAGCGCCGGTGGTAAATGGAGGTGAAGATGAAAACAGGGCAATAAATTTCATAGTTCTACTTATCATTTATGATCAGCGCGCATATCTTCTGGTTCTTACACAAACATTTGCTGCCGCTGGTAATTTCGTGGCATGTGGTCAGCAAACTTGTTATCTTCCAAGAACAGAGATATCTCCACTTCTGCGCAGTATTAAAACCTTGGGAAAGATTTCTGCTCTATCATAGTTTTTAAAATAGTTAAGGGTGTACAGTTTTTTTTTTGTAAATGCTTGATTCACATCAGTAGATAGAGAAATGAATTCTTTATCGATTCGTGTATAATTTACATTAAAATGATCATAAGAGCTTCGTCAGAAAAGATGAGGACACATACCTCCATGGCCATACCTCAGAGAAGCCGATTGTGGAACATTTTACGAACAGAAAAATAAGGCACATAATCGACGCTTTACACCATTTATGGCCAAAAGACGCGTGCGATGACTGCCAAACAAGTTTTTATCAAGACAAAAATATTGAAGGTCTAAATTTATAAAGGAACCTGACCGCGAGTTAAGAACTCGTTGATTTGAACTGCAAAAAGTACAGGTGACCAGTAACAAGTTTTCGAAGACAGCATTCTTTCTAAGAGGTACTTCAAGTTCTAACAATAAAATATAATTCTGAACGCCATATCGTTTACTTGATCACTTAAGCGTGATAAAAACTCCAATAAAATAACTAAATACAACAAAAACGACAAGAATTTTTAACAACAACAAACTGGAAAAACCAACGAATACTGCAGTTGCCAGTTGACAATAGATGCAGTAGTCACTTCCGGTCCGCTCACGGTTTGGATCAATTGCGCATTTTTTGGGAAAAATCGACCATCAGCTATACTCGTACATAATAACTACGAACTCGTGTACGCATATTCTATACAGGAACATAATTACTCGCATATAGAAATTATTAATCAATGTAACTTTGTATTGTGTATAATTATATACTCTGCACAGATAGTACTGTATTTATACCATACGATAATAATCGTAAGTACTTCTACCAGCGCATAATTTAGCGGTAGAACTAAACGACAATAAATTATGCACAGAAAACGATTAGGTAAGTCTATAACTTCATATGCATATGCCGACGTTTGTGATTAATTTGTCATTTTCAGTGAGGTGTTTCAGTTCAGTTTCGCTACCAAGGTCACTCTTTGAGATATCCCAAAATATTTTCGTCCACACGGACCAGTCGTGGTGGCTGCCCGATATCCACGAGAATCCACGTATACAACGGCCGTTCCTCTTTCCTTAGAACGCGATAACGGAGACTGTTCAGACCATCTTCGCCGGCGCGCAGCAGTGCACTCTTCGCCATGTGGTAGTTCAGCGCGTTCTTCGGATTCAGCGTGTCAGCGTTGTGCTGCACCGACGTGTAACGGCCGATATCCTTCGGTCGGCGGAGTATGCGGCCGTACCGGTGGCGAACACGTTCCGAAAGGTCATCATCTTCCGAACCTATACACACACGATACGAAAGAATTGCTTATGACAAAAATTTAAACTGAAACGTCGTTTGCCAGTGTTTACCCCACCCCCAATATAGATTTGGGTATCCGTTGACAGCGGAAAACTGCTCCTGTTTGATAGATATCGCAGTGCTGAAGAAATTCCAGTGTTTCAGTTTGTAGTTCTCCTTGCTAACCGCCACCGCTAACAACGTCGGCTGCTGCGTGCAGGTATAAAAATTGTGGTCATTTTCCGGTAGACTATCAATATCATGGAATACGACGCAGTCAAACGCCGAGGGTTTACATGCTTCAACGAAACCAGCATTCAACAACTTCCCTAAGGAATTCGAAACAGCATTTTCTATTAAACTGTTACCTAATATTAACCAAATCACATACATACTCGATGTGATTATCATATATACGAGTACCTCGGTTAAATGGCAACTGGCCGCTTTGTTCTACGACGAATATTCTGTAATCTTGTTGCTGGCGTTGTAAAAATGGATGTATATTCCGCAGAAAGATAACTACAAAGACCGACATGCAAAATCTCTTATTATTAAAAAAAAACTTGATTTTACCATTTTGACTTTACATAACAAGCACATACGAAATACGCACTACCATAATTCGTTACCGATGCATGGGTTTATATTGCCCTAGAAATCCGTGCCTTTTTTTCCACAGAGATTTACCCGGCATATATATCCTCTGATTATTATGGAAATGAACTGATCCTTACCCTTTTGATTTTAACCAAGCAAAAAACCGAAAATTTATTCCCATCCAAAATTTTCTACAGTATAAACGGGTTTGCATTGGGCTGGAAGCCATGCAGTTAGCCTATTTTTCACACACATTTGCTCACGCATGTGTAATCTGCTTTTTTTCAAAATAGTCTTTATAATTATTATAACACGTTTATGCCAGCAGGCACAAGAAACGAGAGAGTTTTAAAAGAAAATTCAACTTTTATGTTAAATAAAATACTTACACAGGTGGTCCGTGCGATTGCGATAAGGCACAATAATGGCCACTTTCTGTTTGGCTTGGCAGTCTTCCGGTTTGCACTGCCCACCGGAACGTACACGGGGATTCATGAAGGAAATGTGTCCTTCCGGTGCGGGAAATATTAATGGTGCCATATTCTGCCAACCGATTAAAGTTGGCGGAAATGTTGCACACAATATTTTTCCGTCGGACGATATCGAGGGAACAGTGTCAAAAAACTTGATCCGGTCATTGTCCGGCTTAACTAATTGCTGAAAAATGTTAGATTCCGACGCAATAAATTCTGCATTATTTTTCCCGGGAGGTGATAGCGTTATCAATAAATATGTGCCACTGAAGAATAAAGCGCAAATAATTATTGTACGAATTATTCTGATCGCAAGCGGTAGGCAAGTTTCCCGAAACATTTCCAGTAAACTGATTTATTTTTGTTCAAGAAATGGAAAAGCTCAAATCAAAATTTTACACCAATCTGTCAGTTATCACGTATTATCCGAAGTTGTGGAGAATTCTGGTGAACATTGAATTGCAGTATTGATGCCGGAAGCCACAAAGCAACTGCCCGCATGAAAATGCGCAGGACAGAATCACACAGCAGCGTTTCCAGCGCAGTATTCCGGTTTATCAGGTACTGAAAAAGATTGGAAAGTCTCGACAAGTTAATTCTTAGGTTGAGTAAATCATTGATTTATTATCGGCGTCTGGATCAATAAGCCATATCAAAATTATGGACAAGAAATTTTTCGTAGTTAATTGTATATAACTTCCGTATGTTGATCGTAAGCAGCAGTATTTGTACTCATATCAATATAATATTATATGCAGTGCACTCTGCATCTTCGTAATACGAGTACACACACCATCGCACATTTTTGCTGTAAAAGCAGTTGTCGGTTAGTGTCAGCCGGAAGTTATTCATGTGGTGTACATCAAAACCTGTAATCAATAGCCAGTAAGAACAATAATCAACAAGTATGCTTGTATCTTTGGTGACCTTTGTTAGCGAAAACTTGAATGTTGCTGGCTTCTAGTTTTTTCGTTTTATTATTGATGCTGCATCAATATCTGTACAGTGTGCAACCCTAATTTACGTAAACATTTTTGGTATTATCAGTACAGATATACATACGTACTCAAGAAAACTACCTAAAACTAAAATAAAAATCACATACAGGAACAATACATGTACAGTTAGATCATTCTATATGCAAAAGTACACTGCAAGAAAGCCCTTAAAGTTCTGTAGTAAGTATGTTATGCTAGAATGACGCGTTTCCGTGTTCGTTTATCATTTATGTACGTACTACAGAGTATGTCATTCAATCAAAAGTTGGGTATCAATAAACGATAATACTAATATCATAATAAACGATCTTGTAATTTGTCATTCGCATTGTCCTTAATTGCGATCGAAGCATTACACTTCCATACCGCAACAAACAAACACAAACATGCGATACCTGTAATTACGTAACTCGTTCCGGCTGGATATCTAGTATAACCATTTTCCCGACAAAGAACGATCACACCGGTCAACGTACTAACAGGCGGTCTGTCTAGCACATTAAATATGTAATAAGAGTACCGATACGGCAGCTCTGCGCGCATCCGGTTAAGAAGAACAATCACACTGCAATCGATCGTAAAGACACCAAGGTAGTTTGTTTCCGTCCGTTTTTCAAAAATGGATGTGCGCTAATATAGATTAAGTTTTCTTTGTGTTTGTGTTTCCTGTTACCATGAGTATGCGCTACGCAAAAACAAAAATTTGCCCAGAAATAATTTCATATAGGAATATTGCGGTTATGATCATTATTATCACAGCGGTTTCCAGCGCGTTTATTTTAATTAATACGGAATCGTTTTGGAGATATTCTGTCCCGGAAAACAGAGAAACCATCCATTTCAAAATTCTCTCCGACAAACCGAATTATACATCGAATATCGTGACCGTTGTAACGGCTTATTATCCGGTTCCTTCGAAGCACAATCACTCGGAATATTTAGAATGGATTAACAACTTCCTCTCGATTATTCCTTGCCATTTATACATTTATACAACAAGAAATATGTATCCGAAATTGAGACATATGCGGAGTAATTATACCGATCGGAGCAGATTCATTGTAAGAGAATTCGATGAGTTAGCGGAATATGCGAAAATGGACAAATGGAATTACATCAAATCCATTGATCCGGAATGGTACCACACACCGGAAGTCTACGTGGTGTGGAATCAAAAGTGGCGGTTCGTACAGGAGGCCATCGAAGAAAATGCCTTCAATTCGGAGTATTTTCTATGGTGCGATATTGGATCGTTTCGAGACACAAATTTAGCGCATTTACTAAAAACTTTTCCGAATGTCGACGTCGTGCGGAATAAATTACAGGATCATTCCAAGCTGACCTTTAACTTGATGAGTCCGTATAACGAAGACGAGAGAGGGAATGGGTCCTTTTGGCTGACCTTACGGAATGGGAATACTTTTGCCGATCATGTGGGTGGGGGGATTGTCGCCGGACACAAAGAAGCGTGGGCAATTTGGATTCGCAATTATTACAATATGCAGGTGCTGTTTTTCAAGCTGGGCTTGAACGGCGGGAAAGAGCAGAACCTCATGAATGCGGTGGTCGTGCGGTCGTGGAACAATGTTCAGCTTGTCCGGCCCGAATCGTACTTTAACGGCACTGGCAATCCTTGGTTTTATCTGCAGTATTATTTCAGCTAGTTGAAACAATATTGTTAACCACTTGGATCCTATGAAAAACCTGAGAGATATCAAAATTAAAAAAACTTTAATGGTTGCAGCAAAAGTGTAGTAATGTCACAAAACGCGACAATGCGACAATTTTCATAAAATGATTTTGTCAGAAGGCCGAGCACATTAACAAAATTAATGGTTTGCTTTTCTGGAACAATTGCAATGCTGGATCGAAGCCGCAACTGGCATGCAAATATGTTCGAACAAAACTTCGAACACTACTCTAGAATTCAGAGCGATATTGCAGATGTAAGGATTTAGCGACGGAATACCACGCGCTTCGGCTGCTGAAGACGAGCGATAATCATACGTGGTTTACGGGTGAAGATCCCGTTTCAGATCTTTCGATTCTCCCTTGCTAGAGCGTGGCCTAGAATGAACTTGACTATGTTCGTGAAGTATATGAGGGAATTTCTGCGTCCAGAGAGTAATATGTACTAGTAGCTTCTGCGAGGACTGTAATGTCATGGTACCCTAAAAACATTTTACCCTAAATTCAATATAAGAAGAGGATGGAAAAACTGTCATGGATGTACGGCCTACTTATACTGTTATACACTACTTCCATCCATCCTTTCGTACTCTACTCTGTACTTCCATCGGTCTCCAAATGTTTTGTGGAGTGGGCTCCGATATTATTAGGTAGAGCTACTGTTAAGCCCAGCAGAGCTTTGATTATGTTCTGGGTCAGTCTGCGGTTTTGGCGTAGTTACCTACGTGCAAGCGCTTTAGAAATTCTAACTAATTTCCGTTGTAGTACTAGAGTAGCTCATTCCACATGATTGTTGTCTTGCAAACACGCTTTATAACCAAAAAAGCCCCCGTATTTTACAAAGAAGCAAAGGTCTTGCACATCGATTATAGTAATCACAGAGTCAGATTGTTGCATATGCTGGATTAGACATGTTTAATCCTTTACGGACGATAAAAGTGCTATAAATAATGATGCACGCTGCTAATGTACTCGTACAACTGCAGAGTACTGTCGGGTAGATTGCTTCGATGTTAAAGGTTGAAGAAAATTATGCTCTTATCGCTCAGGGAATGCATTTATTACACCACTGATCAAATATAATGCAATAAAAGGAATAAACACACCGGAAATGTAATATTGTTCGCGTACATCATGCGAAATGGCATGACATGCACATGCTAACAGACTTGCTCCTTACTCCATCTGCTGCGATGTACATAACTGTAGGAGAGGTTTTTGTTAAGAAACAGTAATCATGCTGGTGTTCTTTGTACTGTTGTTCTGCATCTGTACGGTAACAGGCTGTAGCAGCGAAATATTCCGGGAAGATTTCAATGGACGGGTTCTTGAGGCTGGCAAGTGGACAGTCCTTGGTGCCACCCTACCAATGACTTCGGTCCATCTTGCTATGGAAAATGTGCAACTTAATAATAATGAACTTGTTTTAAATACTTCGGTCAAATTAGACGCTGCGTCCCGTCTTACTGGTGCGTCCGTATACGCGGCTGAGAATATCGATTTCCAACCAGGCCTTGAAGTGACCTTAAACGTGAGACTTCCTCGTAGCCCATTTACCGTCGCAAGCGTAACGCTGGCCGAAAGCCAAACAACCAAGGTTTACCTTCGTATTGAAAGGATTGCACTTATTCAATGGCAGTTCCTGGCATCAGCGGACTATCTGGACATATCCAACAAGAGCCAAAATTCCACTGCAACCTACGAGAGGTATTATGATTTAGCGCATCAGCATGTAAAGTACTCGTAACTACAGATTCTGCGCAGCATCACTTCACAGCCTTTGTCTGAATGCCCGATGTATGTATCTGTAATACTACTGAAAGTTACTGTAATGTTAACAGTTTACACAATTTTCGTGGAGGTTTAGTGTATGAAAAGCTAAATCCGGGTCTACCGACATCTCAGCAGCTTAACAACTTCCTGCCAAAAAAGGGTTGCGGGTTTTTTAAGGATGCCAAGCCTATAACAACACAATGCGCAGAAATAATTGCAACTGCTTATTACTAGAGCAGGTGTGGCGCTATGATACAAAAATTGGCTTGGCTTAACCACGGCGTTGTATTGCAGCGCCAAAGATTTGTCGGCTGGTTATCACACCCTGCAGCTTCTGCGGACAAGTCTCGGTCTCACGTGGAGCTTGGATGGAAACCTTTTTCTGAACCTTTCGTTTTCCCAAGCCAGAATGTTCCCAAAACTGCACCTCATTCTGATGGCGTTGCCACAACCGGCTCATTCTGACCAAATTTCAGCATCGAATCTTACTGAATTTTTGCGCCCAGAGAATAATGAATTTCACGTGGATCACATTGTCGTGAGAAATTCCACTTGCATAATATTATCTAGCTGCGCAAAACTGGCATTTCCCGATTGGTGGCTTGTGCACCTAGCGTTTGTGATCGTATCAGTTTTCTATGTAGGGAAAGAATAGAGAAATCGTTCCACCGTTCCGTTGGCCTTTGGCCATTTTCTTGCATTACTCCAAAAAATTATATGCTAATTGTATGTGCACACTGACCTTTGGAACCAGTGACTTGTTTGTGACTGGGTGTTGTAAATGTTTGTACAAGTACTGCATTGCACTAGTTGTGTGCAGCTGCTTCCTTTAAGTGTGCCGGAATTCTGCCTTGAGCGAATACCCGGATACGTGTTGGTTTGTTTTAAATTTGATTCCAACTTACACAAATAAAATTATCGTTTACAAGCTGCCATTACAGCGATCTGCGACCTCCGTACAACGTACATAATAATATGTCAACACGAACTGCAGTGGCGCTCGTTTACAACTTGATCGTCAAAAGTTTCCGACTGGCTTTATGGTCGCATTGCTGTTTAGCTGCGGTAGTATCAGTATTAAAGCAAGCAAGACGCATACTTTGGTGAGCTAATTCATGCGTCATGAGCCTATAGGGAAGAACTGATAAAAACATCACAACAAAACTGTTAAACTTCAACACTAATACTGACGAAACACCTTGGATATTCAATCAGACGTTAATATCGCAAGCCTGCACTGTAACTGTAAGTACTTCTTTTCTCCTTTAGGTATGCAGGCGTGCCGAAAACTTTGGCTTATTAGGATTACATGCTTACTAATTTTGATTGGCGTCTCGTTGTGCGCCAGTGATAGCGACTTCTTCCGCGATAACTTCGATGGACTACCACTCGGAGCCGAGAAATGGGTTGTTTCTCATGGGGAATTCGAACCATTCATGGACAACGCTACAAGGCTGATATCACGAGAAAACGTACATGTTGATAATCGAGGTCTGCACCTGATCACTTCAAACCAACTCGACGCTTCCCGGTTTATCCTCAGCGGTGCCGCTATAGCAACTATTCCCACTGTCCGTTACCGCTCTAAAACCGAATTAGCCCTGCGGTGTAAATTTCCGCGTGTCCGATACGTGTTCTCGACCATAATGCTCGGGCCAATCATTGTCTGCACCACAGCAAGCTGCCTGCAGGACGCGGGACAACAAATGATCGATCTTCAACATTTCAAAAATAGCCAGAACCAATCGGTTTTGAGAGCGTCCGTGTATTATTTGGACAATGCAAACGGTAGCCATACCGTAAGTGCCATGAATGTCAGGTACGTTTCGACCTTGTGCAATCAAGTTATTACATATCACCTTAACTAGAATTAACAGCACAAATGCAGCTCAGCGTGTGCACAGTTCAAGCCGCACCTGCTCGGGTAGTAATCCCAGATGTATCTGCTTGATTTGCTACGGATTTCATTATATAAAACAGCAACTGTACATTGCACTAACAGTTACGGCTAGTTCTCTAGATTTGTCGCGAGACTATCACACACTCAGACTGGTTTGGCTAAACTGGAATTCCATCAGCTGGCTATTAAACGATGACCTCATTATGCACTTGGAGCTGCCGAATTTCAAAGGGTTCCCTGCACTGCGGATCTATCTGACGCTGGCACCTAATCCACTGGCGTATCCTGAAGACGATATGATGGCAAGCTACCACAGGGACATACAGGCAGAACCAAAAGACGAGTGGTCCTTTGACTACATTGCCGTGTGCAATTCCACGTGCAAGCCCAGAGCTCCTAGATTGCTCATGAGTGTGGATGAAATGAATGGTGTTGGGGAACATGCGTTATGGATAGCCTTAGGTGTTGTAATCCCGATATCTGCGGTAGCGTTAATAGTATGCGGGATAGTCAAGAACAGGAAACGGTTGCTACGTCGAGATAAAATGAAACCGTCGGTCAACCGATTTCATGGCAGTTTCTGTCTAACGGGCAATTTAGGTGGCATTCAGACGGGATCATTTTGCCTTGATTATCCCGTGGAACTAGAAAAGTACGTTAATCTTTTGGAAGTCCCATTAGCCCATGTCCATATCAGTAAGTCTTCCCAAATTCGTCTTTTTCCTTAACTTATTTTACATATCACAAGATTCAGAACTACAATACTTATCTGAATACTCTAGTGTAGACCCTGGTTATTTATTCTGTTCTTTAGTTCTGTTCTTTATGCGGTGCAGTTTGTAGCACTAGCAACTACTGTCATTATTAGCACAAACTAAACGAAATTTTTCTGTTGTATTTTGCGTGTCTTTTCTAATAATTTGTGCACTGCATTTGATTTGACCAATAAAGAGGGGCACTATTAGCGCAAGCATTCATTTAGATCTCCTTTTATGCTTTATTCTTAGCGCGTGACCTCGCAATCATCCTATAAGCTCCCAACGTTATAACCTTTTTTAGCCAACGAAATTCTGGGTCAGGGCAAAACTGGTGTGGTGTGCAAAGGCCTGGCCAGGGATCTGCATGGAAAATTCGCCACCATGGAAGTTGCAGTTAAAACCATTAGAAACGCTCACGATCCGCGCCAGATCCGTCAACTTACACAGGAAATTGAGGTTATGGCACATGCCGGGCGCCATTTGAATATTATAAATCTTCTTGGGATAGTAGTGAAAGGTGCTTCTGTATTCTACAGTTCGGTGTATCTGTACAGATACATGTTATGTCACATACGTATTTAATGGCTAAATGCAGAAAGTACAAATTTGAGAACATCGGCCTATACTTTACATTCCTGCTTTCAGGAAAATTACTTTTACTGATGGAGTACGCGCAGTTTGGATCACTACTGATGTTTTTAAAATCTTACCGGCATCTGGATGAGGAGATCCATCTTGGCGACGCGCGGACGTTGGGAGTTCCGTTTGAAACCCATCAGTCGGCGAATGAAGAACAGCACGGAAACGGTCAGCATTTGTCCAGTGGCGTGCAGCTCAACTTTGCTTACCAAATCAGCAGAGGAATGGAATATTTGAGCAAGAGATCCATTGTTCATCGGGACTTGGCAGCGCGGAATGTTTTGATCTGTGAGGGGCTAATCACCAAAGTTTCAGATTTTGGAATGGCAAAAAAAGGCGCACCACTTTCCCACTTTGATCCAGAGGTGTTAGACTGAACTGTAACATAGCACACATATAGCAAAAATCTGGGCAACAAATGACACCGGTTAACCGGTTAATGCAGGAAGAACTGCCGCTGCGCTGGATGCCACCGGAAGCCATGATCAACCGGATGTTTTCCGAGAAATCGGATGTGTGGTCATTCGGAGTGGTAGTTTGGGAGATCTTCAGCCTAGGAGCCGTACCATATGGCGGCACTGTGACTGCTCGTAATATATCCGATTTTCCATCTTTCCTGAACGGTGGATTACGTTTAGAAAAACCAGAAGCATGCCCGCCTGTTATGTAAGTGTCCAAACTAGTAGTCTAATTAGAATAATAATAAGCACTCTCCGCTTCGTATTTTAAAATTTTAAATGTAACGGCGCGATAGGTTAATTATCCGAAACATATCTGTCAGGTTATATTTAGTTACGATCTGGCGTGTCGTTGTTGGAGCTTGACATCCGGAGAACGACCCACCTTCGCCCAACTCTCGGAGAGTCTGCGCCATATTTCTTCCGTTAGATCAGAAGAAGACTACCTGCCATTGGATGACCCATATACCCTGTTTAACGAAGAATATCACGTTCTGTTAAGGGAAAGTACAGACATTTGTGAGCCCGCTATCAAGACGGACGGCAGTGCCTGATAGAGGAAGCGCTTTCTTAAACATTGGGTTTAATTCCTTTCTAAAAGATGCTGCTGTTTTGCACAATGGATAAAATTTGTTTGCTATGCAAGTTTTGTGTTGTGACGAAGCGGCATGGCAGCAGTGGTTGCCGTTGTGGCTGTCAGATGTGCTGTGGTGACATTTAGTCTGCGTTTGAGCAGCTTCCTGGCTGCTAATATACTGTGCGCCATGTCGTGACATGTGTACTCTTTTAGCACGTCGACTTTTTTGCAGCCGTCCTACGCGTGCACTTGTTACGGTTTTTGCTAAGTTCTTGGTGCGTGCGTGCGCTATTCCAAAGCGATATCATTCTCACTTATCCTTAAAATTAGTTATCTTCAGAAATTTTTGCTCACACTACTGATGGATGTGCGGATGTGGTGACATTTTGCTTACATTAGCGCACCCTTTGTACAGTATGTAAAATGAAAATTGCTATCCTTGACATAATTTTTGTCATATATTTGTCCGCTGATTCAGAAGTACGCACTGCCCAATCGACCCCTGATCAAACGTTATGATTTTCGGACAGGCTTAACTGCTTGCTCTGCTTAACAGGGCAAAAACTTACACAATGTCATGATACTGTAAATGTTGCGTTGTTCAGTAAAGCCCAAGTTATACTTCCACCTGATGAGAAATGAAACTGACGATCATGCGCTTTCATTTTCATTTAACATGTGGCGTCATTTAAATGAAGGTGGAAACATGAAAATGATGCCGGAAACATGATGGCAAATGTTGCATGAATACGGCACACATAATAATTTAGGAAGAAAAGAGCTGCAACAACCTATGGCAAAAGCATAAGATTTTCTGTACTTACAGTTAGAACTTACTGTGACACCGAGCATGCAGTATTATCAAGATTTCATTAGAAAATACTATGTAAAATCACAAGAAATGTTTTTGATTACTTAAAATGTTTGATTCTTATACGTTGTAAAACTTGATAGATAGCGGCGCATAGCAAAACATGCCCTATTTTCACCCCCGAGCCGTATTTGTTATTGCCCGGCTTGCCATACGTCTAATGTCGGCACGCCATAGTTGAGTAGCCCGCCCCCGTGGGCGGCAGTACACAGCCGTAACGTGGGCGGGTGCCTCCATCGCCGCCTGCCGTTACCGTGGGCGGTTGACAGCAACTACTACTAAGGGCGGTCGCCCTCTACAAAAATGTATCCTTTTCACAAAACACTATAGTATGCTTTGATATTTGATATCACAAAATACTGTATGGTTATGGTTTTCTATCCTTAATTACATCAAAAAGAATTTCTTGAGTTCAGTCATTGCATTTGCATAAAGACTTTGCCGTTCTAGACTCATTTCAGAGTTGCAGTGTCTCAGCGAACATCTTCAAATACAATTACAGCAGTTTTCTTGCTAAAGTTCTTTGAAAAACCGTTGTAAACCTGACACATGATACATGACAGAATGAACACGACTATTTCGTCAATTTTCGTGATCATTCAGTGTCATTTTTGCATGATCGGCGTCAGGTATCAGTTTTCAGGAAGGTGTGTTTATACTTAAATGACAACGATTGACCACATTCCTTCATTCGAGTATGAATGCGCATCAGTGAAATGACGCTAAATGATAATCATTTGGCTCGCCTGATGGAAGTATAACTTGGGCTTAACACTACCAAGTGGATGTAGCTACCTAATTTTCAGATTCTGGTGTTTCTTTTTGTTCGTCATGTTCTACTTGGTCAGAGCGATTCCTAATCTTCTTCAATTCAAGATTTATAAATAAATGCAAAGTAAATGAGCAGGTAAGGTTGCTATTTATCCAACAGACTGCGACTGCAACTTCGCTAATCAATCAGTTACACAATACATGATGGACATGCATTTTCCGGCACGGATGCTCCCGGAATTATGGAAACGGCACGCTGCACTGCGAGATGGATTTGTGCTGTCCATTATATCGATATATGCTCACAATATTATTATTACCAGATTTAGGAAAAACAGGGAAATGGATATCGAGATGGGTTATAACTTATAAGCAAAAGAAGCCCAGTTTGGTTGTGCATACTGGGTAAGAAAAGCCTGTGTCAAGTTTTCTCCAAACTAACAAAGCTAACAAGGCATCCCTCCGATTACTTTGTCTAAAAAGGATTAAATGATTAACACCGGTTTACGGGTGCCTTTTGTGCCACACCCAAATAGGTTGCTGCTGATTCATGAATCAGTTAACAATGGCCACCACAGCAGTACGAGTTTAAGTGCAGTCACACTGACGCCACTTCCCCATCACGGCGATGCAAATATGGTTTTTGTGGAAAGATAAAATTTATACGAGTACGTACAGCAAATATTCAAGTACACAGCATTGTTTCCGTGTGAAAGCACTGTAAATACCTAATTGTCGCATACCGTGTGTGACGCATTTATAGATGGCAGAGAATGAAAGAGTGTGACATCCAAGGTAATGAAACAGTATGAGCAAAGCGGAGGTTTTAAGCGTTGTATGTTCCGCATGTGATGCGGTTGTTAAATTTTATGGAGTTGTTGGCAAACATGCAAGTATTTGCATGACGAGGTCCTGTCACAGATAAAAGGCACAACGCGACGCCGGCAGAGAACTTCGAAATTCGAGCAGACTAAGCGCTGCTACGCTTGTAACTAATTTTGATAAAAAGCGTGACATTTTAAGCTTTGACCTTATTCGTTTTAACTTAGCGTTTTCATGATGCGAGTTCTTCGGTGTAACTGTGCCATTTTTCTGCTACGTTTAGTGTTTACTGCTGCACGTCCATCGAAAGATGAGGTTTTTCGCGAGGAGTTTAGAGGACTTCGCCTAAATACCTAAAAGTGGACCGTCCTTAACCAAGAGCTTTCTCCAAATTTGACTGATTATTCGCATTATGTTAGTGGTGCAAATGTGGACGTTCGTCAGAATGAACGTTGGTACTGGATGCCGCTGTCAGAGGATCTGCGCAAATGCACCTTACAGGCGCCATTATAGAAACGGTGAAAGCATTCAGTTTTCGTCCCGGCACCGAACTGAGCACACGATTACGGTTTCCTCGTAGTCCATTCTTCTTTTTTTATATACATTTAGCGAATAAATGCCCGGTAACAGCGAGCGGCTGTTTTAAGACCAGTGTGAACCTGGAATATTCCAAAATTCTTCTAGGCAAATCCGTCCTTTACGCTAATGCAGATTTTCAGGACAATGCAGATTACGAGCGTAACGCTAGTGCACGTTATTTGAGGTAAGTTGCAGTGCAGTACAGTTGCTTTGCTGCAAATAAGAGGTGTAACCGCGCTTAATTGTTAAAAAGTTTTACCGCGCCAGCAACTTTATTATTATTCAAAATATCGTACTTCGATGTTTTTGGCATTCTCGACATTTGCACAATATACAGTATCTTCGCATTCTGGACACCAAATAAAATTTTCAATGTTGCTCCAAATGGACAAAAAGTTTAAAAGTTAAAGTGTTTTTAAATGAAATAAATGATAATTGTTAGTGTCGTCATCCGAGCTTGCACTCGAGATTTATAAGCTTATCAATATTTTTGGTCGACGTATCTCTGGTGTCCGAAGTGCGAGGGTATTTTATTATACACTGTGCAAGTGTGCGCACACTTGCACAGTGTATAATAACGCAGAGCGTATCGAAGCATCCTCATTACAGTACATGGCATGTTTACAGTGGTGATGACTTGTCGGCTGATTATCACACGCTTCAACTGCGCTGGACCAGCTGGAATTCGACGACTTTTGCCACCTGGCATTTGGATGGTCAAGCCCGCCTGACCTTAGGATTTCCGAACACCAAGGAGTTTCCAAAGATGAATGTCACTATAGCCCATTTGGCAGACGTGGTTAATTTACGCGCATTACCAGCAGCAGATCCTAGGCACACTGTACTGTAATGAGGATGCTTCGATACGTTTTGCGTTATTATCTTACGTGAATTTGTGTTTAAAACGATCTTATTTAAAACTATCTCCTTGATCTTATTTAATACTTGTTATTGGGTTCTTCAATTGCCCCCGGATGATTAATTTCCCTCATCCGTGTAAGATGGGTGGCTACGGGACCTAGTCTGAAGCATTTCTTCGGAAATACTTCGGAGGCTGTCGTGGCAGCTGTCCCGTAGTTATCAGGTCTCCACCGTCCTGTGCTCTTCACAAAACATCCTCACCTCCTATATCCGTGATCGGATCGCTAAATTCGAAAGCGGAGAGCTCGATAGTGAAGAGCCCGTCGCCCCAAAGAACCATCGGCGCGCTACCCCCGAGGACGAGATTCCCCGTCGCGTTGGCATGCAGATCGACGACTTCAACGTCAGCGGGGCCGTACGCACTCTCCTTTCGTCGGATTCTGTAGCCAACCCAACCCCAGAGGTGATAGAAAGCATGCAGCGCAAACACCCAGCAGCCCCATTACCCACTGCCCCAACGATCCTCCGGCCATGACATTTGTCCCGCTCACTCCCGCGGAAGTCCTGTCAGTTTTGGAGAGCATGCCACGTGGTAGTGCAGGTGGCCTTGATTTTCTGCGTCCGCAGCATCTGTTGGACCTGATCGGTGCAAGAATGAATGACGCTGCGTCTGACCTGTGTGATTCACTTACAGACTTGTTGAATCTCCTACTAACGGGCAAAATTCCTTCTGATATAGTCCCCCTGCTTTGTGGCGCCCGGCTCGTCGCACTACGCAAAAAAGACGGAGGACTGCGCCCGATTGCTGTTGGGAATGTGTATCGCCGCATTGCTGCTAAGGCGGTGGATATCCGCATCCGGCCAATTACATCGGAGTTCCTCCAACCGCATCAGCTTGGGTCAGGTGTAAAGAGGGGCGTCGAAGGCATCATCCACGCTGCAAGAGACTTTCTCCTCCAGTACAGTGATGACGTTAAAGTCCTACTCAAAATCGACTTCACCAACGCTTTCAATTGCATCTCACGCGAGGAAGTATTAAAGATATCGGCTGAAGTTATTCCAGAGTATTATCCCTTCATTAAAATGTGTTACGGTCATATTCTTTGTTGTTTTTGGGAGATACAGTAATTTCCTCTCAGTCTGGCGTTCAGCAAGGAGATCCACTCGGCCCAGCCTTATTTTGTTTGGTACTGCAGTGTGTCGTTGACATATTGGATGCCGATTTGAACGCCTGGTATATGGATGATGGGACACTGGAAGATAAACCAGTGAAAGTGATCAGCATTTTCCAACAACTAATATTAGAAGCTGCGAAGATTGGCCTGACTGTTAACATCGCAAAATGCGAAGTGTTTTTGTGTGGTGGTACTGAAGCAGAAAGAGCAACGGCCGCCAGCGACTTCACCAGTCTGTTCCCTGGTATTGCCATTGTATCAGCAGATAAACTTACACTCCTCGGATCCCCGCTTCTACCAGCCGCCGTAATCCCGACGATCGACGAAAAGATCAGGCAGCTGGAGATCATGTGCGGCCGCTTACAGCTGATTCCTAAGCACCATGCGTTGTTCTTGTTGAAGAACTGCTTAGGAGTCCCGAAAATAGTGCATATTTTACGCACCTCTCCCGCCTGGATGTTTCCCAGCGAGTTGTACAGACTGGATCAGGTGTTCCGCGACGCAATAGAATCCATCACTAACGTACGGATGGACTATCCGACGTGGCTCCAGGCATCCTTTCCCGTTCGTCTGGACGGTTTGGGGATCAGACGCACCGAGAAGCTAGCTCCCTCTGCTTATCTGGCATCGGCTTCCTCGTTGCACCCACTGATCTCCAAGCTGTGTCCGACGCTTAAGCCAACGGATGTAACCGTAGCCACTCGTGCCTGGAAGGTTATCGCCAACACAGCCGATCTCCCGGCGGAAGCACTGCGACACGTTCAGAAGGCCTGGGACACGCCTACGACGCTACACGCATTTTCTAGGCTGACCTCATTGCGCACCACAAAGGATGAGGTCGCTCACCTGAAGGCTGTTTCGGTCCCGGAATCCGGCGTATGGATCCATGCACTGCCCGCAGCAAGCCTCGGTAATCTGCTGGAAAATAACGCTCTCCGAATCAGCGTGGCGTTGCGTTTGGGTGCACCAATTGTATCCCCGCACGTGTGCGTGTGCGGTGGATCGGTTGACGAATTAGGCCGGCACGGACTCCGCTGCAAACGATCTGCCGGACGGCTGCCACGACACGACGGTATCAGTGGGGAGCTCACCCGATGACTAAAGACAGCCGGTTTCCCAGCCAGAATGGAGCCGAAAGGTCTTTCAGCGAAGGATCGCAAAAGGCCGGATGTGATCACACTCGTACCATGGGAACGCGGAAAGCCGCTGGCCGTCGACGTGACTTGCGTGGACACACTTGCAGCCTCTTATATCGATCGCACCTCAATGAATGCCGGGGCCGCAGCTGAACATGCCGAAAGAGCGAAACTGACGAAACACAGCTGGCTGCAGCCACGGTATAACTTCATGGCGGCAGCATTCGAAATTTACGGACCGTGGGGAGATGGAACAAAAAGGCTTGTGGATAAGGTTGGAAGCGGTATGGCCACCGCCACAGGCCAGAAGCGTGCGAAAGTTTTTTAGACAGCGGCTCTCTATCCAGATACAACGGGGGAATGCGATTTGTGTAATGGGTACAATTCCCGATCAGGATAGCATTGAGGAAGTGTTTCTGTTATGAGATTAATGTTTTCTAGTACTAAGTTTGTACTTGTGACATGATACTTATTAAAGGTTAGTTTTTTTTATCTTAATGCAGTGCTGTCCTTGCGCCCGTTGCTAGAGGATTTCCGTATGGATTATTTTGAGATACGCAACCCCGGCAATAACGCAAACGATAGAAAATTCTTGGGAACGGGTGGCTGGCTTGCGTATACGGTGGTGATGTTAATAGCGACGACGCTCTGTTTCAGATAATCAGAATGGCACGATGGCTGATGGGTGACGCGCAAGTGATTTTTAATTAATATTCCTTGAAACGTGTGGAAATAAAAGTAACAACGAAGATTACTGCAAGAACTAAACAAGTAGTTTTTCTGTGTTATCGTTTGTTTATACCGTTGCAGAAGTTATGGCTCTGCAGGTACGCATATGGCTGTTTATTTTTTTATTTCTGCAGAGTATTATATCTGATAAAATATGTTGCTGCTCATGAAAATGCTGGTTAGTTTTCGAAAATGCTGGCTACTTCTATGGTAACTTCCTTCCTTGCACCTCGATCTGTCTGATGTGGGGTACGCTTGCATGGTACTACATTCAAAAGGTACTACATGCATGTAGTACCTTTTGAAGTGTGCGCTCTCAATGATTCTCAGTTTATCAACATTTATAATTTTGTTGTATTTGCGCGCACTGGCGGACAGTGTAAATGTTGCGAAATTTCGTTCGCTTTAACGCTTGGTGCGTTCCTTACATGTGAAAATTGTTGCGCTTGACCTATAATGGTACGGAATAAAAGAATATTAATTCATTCTGAACTATTTGGACTACAGCTATGACATAATTTACAACCACAAAGTTCCGCTTATTCAAAAATGCTGACAAAACGATCTCTAATCAAAAATTAACGATTGTACCGCACAAACGTTATCGCCTTCAAATACTCTCATGAGTCTTATCAATATCAACACCACTCTGTTTATTCTGCTTTGCAAGGCAAAACTTACACGCGATATTGAACGAGTAAGTAATTGAAGCAGGCCAGCAGAATTAATACACAAATATTTTGCACTCTGACTTCATTGCGAAATAAGGTACCGCAACCAAATAATTTCTAAGCTCACTAAAATGGCTGCCAGTAAGTGCTTTTTGATATTCAAATTCTGGTGCCTCTTTTTGTTCATCGTATTTTACTTGGTAAGAGCGAATCTCCTACTAGAAATGAAATTAAATTATGATCAGTTAGCTGGCATTACGTAAAATTTAAACGTTGCGACGTATATTGCACAGACTGCGGCTGCAACTTCATTAGCCACAGCCACGAAGCAGATGCTGGACATGCATCTTCCGGCACGAATGATCCCGGAATTATGGAAATGGCATGCTGCACTGGGATATGCTTTTGTGCTGTCGATTTTATTGATATATGCTCACAATATTATTGTGGCCAGGCTGAAGAAAACCAGGGAAAAGGATATTGAGATGGGCCTTAGACATAAGAACTGGCAATTTGGATGTGCATACTTGGTAAAAAAAACCGTTATATTACGTTTTTTCGAAAAAAAAGCCTCCGATCAGCGAGGATCTGTACTCGTATTTTTGATGCTCATCAGTGATTTTTGATGTTACTCTCTGGTGGGTTTTTTTCTGTTACTTTTACGGTGCGCATATTTCCTAATATTTAAAACCTTGCTAGAAAAAGTTTCTAATATGCTCTACGAGTAAGTTCCTGTTTTGCTAATAAGTCTTCCAGTTAACGTTTTCTAGTTGACCTTTTTGCCGTTAGTGACAGCGGTCGGCTTGCTGTCCACAAGTGTTCTCTTGTATTTGGAGTTCATCAATAAGGAAATGCCACAACGAATGTTCTATTCTGCAGTAAGCCCATAAACTAGATCATCTGTTTTATGATGGGAACATGGCCAAATTATCGTAGAAGCATTTTATAAAACTACGCGTTTAAGTACCTACTCGGTACAACATGACAACAGCGAAAACATTTATTGTTTTCAGGTATCTGGAATGGCAGTTGCGGTACCAGCTGTACTACATTTTTCTTGTGCCCTGTTTTGCATTACGGGCTCTTGTTGGTTAACTCGACGGGAGTTAGTTTCGAACGAAAGGGAGCTGGAACAAACGAAAGGAGTACTAATACACCCTCAACCTCAACGATGACAGCGGGCTTTCCGGGCACAATAAAAGACATAAGCTAAATAAAAAAAATCAGCTAATTAACAAAGTGCTAACTAAGTGTCTTTTATCGATCTCGCGGTCCAACAGTTTGCGACAGGAGAAATTTTGGTATTTTTTTAAATTGCGTACTCATAATAGTATATCAGTAGCAGCGAACGGGCGGCACGAGCCCATGTTGCGCTGATAGAATTAACGTTATAACTCTGTTACAGCTTGATTACTATACCTTTGCTCATAAGTCATAGGTAATTATTATGATCGTGTACTGCGTGAACTGCTTCCGCTGATCTGTGGATTGTGGTCAATGATCATGATACACAATACTATACTGCAGGTTCCTAATCAGCGCGGTGATCAAAGCGCAGCTAAATAATTGTCCTGTGGAAATCTACAATAAAAGGAGTACTAATGAGACGATCGCTGCCTTAAGAAGCCGTTTATAAAGCCTGACTAACTGGCATGCAAGTCTGTAACTGCTGTGCAATCAGAATAATGTACGAAGTGTCATCACACTAATAAAATTCCGGCAATAAATAATCAGTGCTGTTGCTGAGAATTAAGTACTGATATTTATCCGAGTGTAACCAGTACGCTTCCGCTTGAACGCAGCCTAGAATTAGCGAGTTAGTATATTTCTCAATCTGGCGTGGGAGGGTGCGGTGCAGCGGTTTCCATTTCACATTGATCTTCCAAAGGACCGATCCAATTATTTTGTTTTAGCAATGCCGCCAGTACTAGCTACAATCTTGTTCTTCACCAGTGTTTCGCGATTTCTCGATGTGGTTAATTGTGCTGCTACACCATCTCCAGTACAAACAATAAAAAATTTGTCAAACGCTGACTTTATTCCTAATCAAAACTACAGTACCGGCTTTGTGACGGTTGTGACAGCTTATTACCAGATTCCTTCGAAACGACCCCATGCCAACTATCTCAGGTGGATTGAGAACTTCCTCCCGAATATACCTTGCTATTTATACATCTTTACCAGTTCTGCCATGTATCCGACGCTGAAAACCATGCGAATGAAGCATCTGAATAGCACCCGGTTTATCATCAAGGGATTTGAAGAACTGGAAGAGTACTCTAAGATGCATCACTGGAGAAGAATAAAAAGTACCGATTACGAGAAGTATCATACGCCGGAACTGTACATCATCTGGAATCAGAAGTGGCGGTTTGTCGAACAGGCTATCAAAGAAAACGTATTTCGTTCGGAGTATTTCGTGTGGTGCGACATTGGGGCATTTCGTAAAGCGGAATTCGTACCGCATTTAATACAGTTTCCTGATCCAGATGTATTGCGACGGAAACTACCGGATCAGAATAAAATCGCTCTGGCGATTTTGCATCCATTTAATACCAACCGCGATCGGGTTTATGAGAACGGATCGCTGTCTATCAGTCTTCGCGAAGGACGCACCGATCATTCGGCAGCAGGCCTAATGGCCGGCCATGAAAAGGCCTGGGGAATTTTCATTCGCGAATACTTCAGCATGCAAGCGTATTTTTTTGCGCAAGGATTAAACGCCGGAAAAGATCAAAATATTGTTAATGCCGTGATAATGAAATTTCCGGAAAATTTTCAGCTTTTGACTTCTGTAGCATATTTTAATGGGACTGGTGATGCTTGGTTCTATTTGGAATATTATCTTACCCATGCATGAACGTATTAATAAAAGTTAAGTAACCAGGATTTTTATTTTTATTACGATTACAGACAGGAATAAACAATTTCTGTTTCACACCTGGCATGCAGGTGAAATAAAAATTTCTGAGTTAACACCGGTAATCTAGAAAACGAGATTCTCCAGCACCGTTTTTTTGTACATTAGTGGGGCTGTTGTAACTGGACGGTCGACTAAACCGGCTAGTCTACCGTCGTTTAAGATAAACAATAACATGTCCGCAAAGCTACTTTTCATCGCCGGCAACGTTAACTCTGTTAACGAGCACATACTGAAGGGCGATGCATGCGCGTACGAATGGAATCCAGTTTTCTGCATCCAGTTGATGATGCCACGTTGTTGCAACATGACATTCCGTCGGTCGTAATCCGGTTTATTGGAGATTTCATCGTCTACATACACCCGCTCTTGATATTTGCCGGTATAGTAGATTTTCCATGGTGTTCGTCCGGAGTTGTACACCCATTCGCTTGGTCGGTAGTCTGTGACGTATTTATCCAAGATTTCGGCAATGTATTCCGAGTCCTTTCGACAACCGATTAAACCCAAATTGAGATAGGAGTATTCCTTGGACACGATACATTCATACTTGCTCTGAATTGTCGGTAGCAAATCTACAAATTGTACAGCCAATAAAAACTGATAGATATAATCGTTAATGTACACATAAAAGCAAATTTAAACTGACCTTTAAGACGCGGCAAAAGGAACACATCAAAATCCATGGCAATCCCACCGTATTTGTACACCGAATACAACTTAACCATATCCGCTTGGTGCTCGATAAATGTAATGACTTTCCCTCCCATAATAAACCGTCTCTGCACGGGAACAATCCGTAATTTCGGCCATTTTGTAATGGTCGCCTGGCACGGCTCGAATGGCCAGAAATCCGGGTAATTCGTATGTAAATACACATACTCTGGATTAATGTACAACATCACTGACAACAGGCTCAGACATTCCACCCAGCATGAGCTGTTGGACGCTTTATTAGGCGCACTGGAATAGATCTTAACGAAATGCACTGTGCGGTTGAGACTGTCGGATGAGGAAAAAACCGCATCATCCAGGTAATCATGCAGATCATTGTCGAATCTTTCTTCCTGGCTGCTGGAAAGAGATGAGTACAACTGACGGTTGGTGCCACCCGGGGTTAATCCAGCATCAGCCAAGATATCTGGTTCTGTTCTGAGAATGCTGTTCACCGTGTACAGAAAGATTCCCGTGCAAGAGGCTGCCAGTAGCGTAACAATGGCAACTTTTTTTAGGGGCCATAACATCAGCATTTTATCGGTGATGGCGGACGGAATACCGAGATATATCCATGAAGTGTATTGATACACACATTGCCCGTTTCACCAAACGCACGTGTGCCGTGGCCATGGCGATCTGATAAGACGAAAACAATAATTGTGTGATGACTGATTGGGAGACTGGAGTGCTTGCATAATTGGCGGTAAACGAACTTTTCCGTTCTCACACGCCGCTCGTCTTCCTAATGGAAAATTTTCGATGACTAGCGTGTCGGTGTATGGCGACGCCTTTAAAACAATGTAAACTAGAAATCATTTGATAATGCACATTGCACGCTATCTCGTTGTAGCTGGCCAAGATGTTTGCTTTTTACAGTAAAATAAGTAGAAGAACAAACATACTAAAATGCAGTGTTGTTGTATTCCGTACAAAGTGCAGTGCGATAAAACGCTTTGATATGCACATTATACTGTAGAGTGTAGATGAAGAACAGCGCGTATAAGTCGCGCAGAATTTTAAGCGGGAAAAATGAATGAAGTTGCTACTTAAACAAACAAGGTTGCAAGTTGCGACATCAGTTTAGTGCATTCATGTGTCGGGGGGCCGCAGTGACCGGACTGTCAAGGTTAAAAACTGCAATTTAAATTGACAAGGAAACCGCTTGAGCTATTTTGATTTTGCAACTCAGTAATACGAACCGGTGCAAATTCCTGACAATAATTTAGAAAATCTTTGTTGTAGTAGCTTTTTGTAATAGCAGTGTAATTTTCTTACGCATGTGAATTCGTACACATGTTTGTTGAACTGTTCTTAGAAGCTAAGGTAACCGGCATAGTTACTATTATCTTATCAGAACACAAAACAAGAATTGTATATTTCCACTTTTCAATAGTACAGTGCATTCAATCGACTAACTGTGATCTGCAGATATCTTATCATTAATTTACACACCTTGTTTACAATTTTACTAGTTACAATTTACAACGTAGCATCGACCACAAGTACCGATCACACGAACGTTAACTGGTCGCGACCAGTTCTCTTCCGGCAGTAAACGTATCAAAACTTGTATTTACGCTGATTCTGTTAGCATTCTTTGTTGGATCAGATTTCCGCCATGTACATCAAAACGATCAAATATCTTGCTGTGGTAGTAAGTCTAATGTTTGGCGCATTTGTACGCACGCATCAGCTGTTGCGTACTGCTCCACAAACTGCTGTGCATCCAGAGAGCAGCAGGAGATTTCAAGAAATTGCCGAAGGATTGGATGGTTCTCTGTTTGCTTTGGACCAGCACGGGACGGTGCACACATTTAATCTCCATAATGTCGGAATATCCAACGACTCGTCATTATTTTCGACATTGCTGGCCAGGATATCTTCCACTGATTCCTCGCCGCCATGTAGCCAAATCCTTTTGGTCAAGAAAAACGGGACAGAGGCTTCTCTGATAGCGTGTAATCAAGGGACATGTGCAATATCCACTGAAGATAACTTTACGAATTTTATACATCTGGTTAGGCAACTTTTCTTAAAACTTTTAGAAATTTGGATTTCGAGTAAATAAAATGTAGAGTAGTGATTTACGAAAAATTGTATATGCTAAAATATCCTGTAATATGCTCAAATATACTGTAAAGAGAAATAACAGTACAGAAACACCCGCTGATTAAGTTATTACATATTTGAGACTGCATCATATTGCATCGATAGAATATCATAAAATTACCGCTTGACGGGCTTTTTGTTTCTTGCGCAATATTATACGAGAGGCACAAAACTATATTACGAAATTTCACTACTTCATTGGCCTACTTGTCGCATGTGGCACTTTTTGTGCTAAAGTACTGTGCGAAAAATTAACTTGTATTTTTTTGGTAGAATAACCCCACCCTTTTTGCAAACCGGCAGCTTGCTGTTTCCGTCGCGGACCACTTTGACGACCGTTATTATTATATCGCAGCCGAAGACAACGGGTTTCGCAATTCATCGGATGCGATCCCGGTTCTTAGCATTCGTCAAGTAAAGACCAATCCCGCTGGCGACCATGCCTCACAATTTGTCAGCGTAGTCGAATTATCAATCAACAAAACTTTCCGCCAGAAAAATCCATGGAAGATCAAACCGGTATTTCTGCATATACTGCCGACGAAACCACATCCATTTGGTTATCTGATCACCATGCAGACCTCACGGCGGCCGGGGCGGTCGTTCGAGGCACGTCTCGGTCGATTCTGTGCGGACGACTTATCGCTTCAGTCATACAGCGAAATGACCATTCAATGTGGAGGTTCCTACACTGTAGCTATCAGTGCAAGTGTGTTGGTGCTGGAAGGAAAAACCTTCCTCGGTGTGGTCTTCGGGAAACATGTGCCATTTTCATGGGAAGTGGCGAAAGGATTCAACACCGCCCTGTGTGTATTTAGCCTGGATGACATAAATCGCCGTTTTGACGAAGCCTTTGATAAATGTAAAGATTACGCTTACAAAAGTACCGACCCACAGGATCAGCGCAGGAGTAAATTGCCCTGGATTACTGGATTGGATTCTCGAGGTGATCCCCTCCTGTGCCACCAGGCAAGTAAATGTGATGTAGCAGCTAGGAAATTTTTGCATTACTCCTATAACTGTAAAATGTTTGCATTTTTAATAGTTACGTTCGTCATGAAATTTTCAGAGTGCGATGCCGATGTGCTCCCAGTCGCGAGTTCCCAATGGTTTCATCGATGTCAAAACTGTGTTAGATGGAAGCGAATGTCTGGTGCGCTCGGATGTTCGTGCTATGCGACTTGTCAGCGTCGGGATTGTTTCCGATATAGGAAGCAGAAAGGTAAGTTGTTTTTCTAAATTTTCTAAGAAGTGAAGAAAGAGCTGTACGTAGATTTGTGCACAAGCGGGCATACCAGATAACAAAGTGCAGATTTCATGATGTATGTACTCATGCTATGTAGTATTCTAAAACAAATTTTTCTCAGCTGTTGTTTACGAACAACAGTACACCCTCTTGTTCGCTTTCTGGGCTTAAACATTGCGAAGAGCTGATAAAAAACTACACGAAAGATCTTATAATATGCAGTCATTGCTTCTCCAATATATACGTATCTGATACATGACCTTTTAAATTGTTATTCGACGTTGAAAGCATTGAACAGTGACCATCTGGTCGAAGTGTCGTCGCAGGCTGATCCCCAGTTTGTTGTAGGATACGTTGGCCGTAATGTTCGTGGACAATTCAACGCTCCGTTTAACTGAACTGGTAGGTACGGTAATCTGGAACTACGATGTATGAATTTCACTTTGCGGTGCGATTTGCTTACGACAATTACCCAAAGCAGTCAAACTTTTACTGTGAATACAAGCCGCTAACTCGTTATTATGCTTGTTACGCAGTTAGTATCGAAAGACCAATGCCAGGCAAGGGTATTGTCCAGCGTGCCAACGCAAGTGATAAGCCGGCGCCGGACCGATCCGCACGAGTTTGTCCCGTCACTGCGCACAGACTCTTCTGGTCCTTCCTTTTACGTCGTAGCTACCAAAAACAAGGTACGGATAAGAACTTCCTCTACCAGTGGAGTAAAAGAGTAGAGCCAGTGTACGAAAAATTTTCGTGTGTGAATCCATTTAGATTATGTCGTTCCCGATTGGCTGTGGCATGCATGCAACTTGCAGCCAGTGCCTGCAAGCTTCCAAGCGGATGGGATGCGGCTGGTGCGATACAGGATACTGCAGCGCAAAAGGTACCTGTACAGCCGCATGGTCGACTCACAAATGTGCGCCTGTCATCGAAACCGTAAGTCCGGACTGTCTTGTCCTTGTGGCGTGTCGAGCAGTAAATCTTACTGTTTCTTATAATCTGTTGTGATGCTAGTTTTATCCGGTGAATGGAAGTCTCGCTGGTGGCACCGAGGTTACTATTAAAGGTCAATTGTTCGGCTCCAGGGATGCTAACTTAACGGTTAATATCGCCGGAATCCCATGTCAAGCCCTTAAAAAAATAAATGACAACGAGTGAGGACTGAAATTAATATGCAATACCAGCGAAATGCACTGGATTTGAGTGTTGCTTGTTATGGTTGCAGAGTTCATTGCGAGACTTCACCGTCGTCAGTACCAATCCAAGGGTCGGTTGAAATTTACGTGGAGGAAAATCGCACGCACAGCGCTCAGTTTGATATAAGCGGCAAACATATTCTGCACCAAGAGGGTTTTCGTTATCTGGTAAATAGGCGAAGTTTCCGCTGTCATCATAAGGAAACCTTTATTTTACGCTTTGTGTAGGTTCCCAGTATGACGCGCATAGTGCCAGGTTTTGGCCCGAAAACTGGCAATACGCGCCTGACGATTTTCGGTGAGAACTTGTTGATAGGTAACAAACAAGAGATTTTCGTAGCCGGAATTCCCTGCCAAATGGAACTCGTTACCACGACAAGCATAGTGTGCTACACTGGCCAATCTCGGAACTCCCAGAAAGGTGCAGTAAAGTTGTTTATCGATGGAAACAAGTTTCTGACCACAAACGAATCGGTGAGGTTCCATTATCGGAATGAACCGATATTCGACCAGCCAAATTCCAAGCTACGAATAACATTGAGGTATTAGAAAACGCTTTTTCAATCCCAGCTAAATGTTGATTGATATGAATGCTACTTTTTTAAATTTAGCGGATATAATACGTTAGCGTTCCGTGGAGCAAATCTAGATTCGTTTAGTGTAACTCCCGTTTTACTATTGGAAGGAACAACGGTGGCACGAAACTATTTTCATCTGACTAAGGTGATACCATTTTTTTGCCATGAACTTGGATTCCAGAAAACCTGTTTTCGGCTTACAGGATTGTTTGCCTATCCATCAAGCAACAGAAATTCAGTGTCCCGCTGTCTCCATGAAAGCGGAAATCGGAGGCATCGATAATATACTTAATGCATCCGTCACCTTAGTCGGAAACGAATTAGAGAAAATATCAGTTCCTGTTTTTGAATACAGAAAATACCAACTCCAGATTATACCCGATCCACTGGTCACACCATGGGAGGGCGAGCAAAATGCTGAGTACAGCACTCGACAAGGTGGACAGTTTATAATCAGAGTTTGTGTAAGTGGAGACTGGAGAGTAAAGTTTTGACTACTGGTATTAAACAAAATTTTGTGGAGCTCGAAATGACTGCTAGATGTACTACCTAGGATTCGGCTATAGCTAATGATGTTAGTTGATTTCTGCGGTAGGGCAAACATTTGAATACAGTTTTAACGGAAAAAGACTACCGAATAACCATTGATGGAAACGAATGTCCTGTCAGCAAACTGCACGAGGATGCATTGGAATGTCGAATTAGCTCCACATCAGAGGTGACGGATAAGGGCTCTGCCATTGTTTTGGTAAGACCCAAAAAGTCCAAACATTTGTCATTTAGACTAATACTATAGATATAATGGTACATGTATATGCAAAAGTGCTGTTTTTAGTTTACAGCAGGCCTTAATTCTTCGGTGCAGCTAGGACTAGTCAACTTTACTCTGCCAGTCATTCCACTGTTACTGAACAACCCCAACCACTCAGCTGCACAAAACAGTCGAACTGTTATAATAATCCTCTTGGCCTTTGGCGGCTTTGCTGCTGTAACTGCTGCAGCGGTACTTGCCGGTCTTCTTCTGCATCGCTCCAGAAAAACTATTGCAGCGGAAGCTGCAGCAACCGAAATGGCTTCACTGATGCCTAAGACACTTTATGACGAATATAAAGCGGACAAGTTGATTATCCACCCGAAGAGATTACGGTGTACCCGCGTACTGGGTCAGGGAAACTTTGGAACTGTTTACGAGGGCGTGCTGCGAGGGAGATCGGGGTCGTGGTTGGCCAGGATATGTGCACCGAACATGCGCGTTGCTGTTAAAACGATTTACGGTACGTACTTAACAGAGTACAACCTATTTACTCCATTTAAATGTCCGAAGATACACTTAGTGACACCCGGACCCCAGTAGTTTTTGGGGAAAGAACCAGCAAGTGATACTACTAGTAGTACGTAAGGGCTTGAAGGCTTCTGTAACTGGTGCTGAAACCTTATTTTTATTAGCTCTCAGACATTTTCCTAGGAAGTAGTATGTAACTCATATAATAATGCGCTTGCGCGGGTTTACTCTAATAAAAAGTTTCAAATTTTAAACACTGAAAAAACAGCCAAAATTATTAGAGTCTTTCATGAGTTTAGAACGTGCGTTAAGTGTACCCAGAACAGCAGCTGCATTTCCTCTTACTACCGCTAGACTTAAACGTTGTCTCAAAAAGGCTGTAGATCGAGGCTCCCCGGTAATATCACGGATCTTGTGGCCGACAAAACGGATTAGTTTGTAACTTGTCATTCGAATCTCGTGTAGACTGTACCCCAGAAATGGCCCAAAGTAGCACGAAGAAACTAATGGAGGAAGGACTAATCATGACAAACCTCAGCCATAAAAACATCGTGATGCTGTACGGCGTTTGTCTCTACTCGTCCGATGGAGTACTTAACCAACCAGGACTGGTCATGCCGTTTATGAGTAACGGCGATTTGCATTCTTATGTTAAGAAACATGTTAGTACCAAGAAATTGAATTAACTAGCACAAAAAATGCTTGGTAGTAATTGTCTGTTCATGTTGCAGGATGTCTCCTTAAGAGATGTCCTAAAATTCTCTGCTCAGATCGCCGACGGGATGGCGTACCTGTCTGGTCAAAGAATTCTGCACCGAGATCTCGCCGCAAGAAACTGCTTGTAGGTTGCAGCTGGAAAAAAGAACAGCCATAATGCCACTGTGGCCCGCTTATTTACAAGATTTGTGCTGTAGGCTTGACGAAAACCTCGACGTCCGCATTTCGGATTTCGGACACTCTCGTGACCTCTACGAGCAAAATTTATATTTCGATCCAAATTCAAAGACTCGCCTGGCGTATCATTGGTTAGCGCCGGAATGCGCTTACCGTGATTACTCTACAGAATGTGATGTGGTAATTAAACTGCTGTTTTCTTTGCTAAAACAGCATGTATAGCGCATAGCACCATCTGCATTTGGTAATTATGTTTACAGTGGAGCTTTGGAATCGTAATTTGGGAACTCTTAGAGCGTGGAGAACATCCTTACGGAAACTTGGATATTTTGACCGTCCTGGAGTTGCTTGATAAAGGCTGCCGATTGGCTCAACCAGCGATTTGTCCGCCTGAACTGTAAGCCAGAAGAGTTTGTGACAGATTTAACTTGTTTAACTTTATCGGTCAAATCATACTTATTGTACAAAATAAGGAAAGAAACACGAAAACTAGTTGAAATTTTACGTAAACGATCCATACCTAATGGAATCACTCCACGCCGTTTAGTTTCAAATGGAAATCATAAGCAGTATGTCGTTAAGACTCAGTAGCATCAATTTCGATGTCGGCTTTATTATTGGTATTAAAGCTAAAATTTCATTGATACAATTTTTTTATCCATTAATTTCTATTTTGCGCAGGTACAGTCTGATGTGTGCCTGCTGGCATATCGAGCCGAAGATGCGTCCGGACTTTCAGTGCCTGTGTGCCGATCTACTTGCTATGCAGAATGGTCTTTACCATGTCCTGTCGCGCTGCGAGAGTAATATACCTTCGGACCATCAGATCCAGACTTCTCCAAGCGTGGTTGTTAATACAGTTTATACCGACGTCGGACAAGTAGTTCATTAAATTTGTTTGATTATAAAATCCTGAGTGGTTGGGCGGTTAAGGGAAATTCCGACACTAAATGTCGCTAATTCTGTTGAAGTAAGCAGTACATTTCATTAATCTAGCCTACTCTGGATCCAGTGATGCGCTGGTCGAGGTCGTGCTGCTCCTGAAACTGTACTTTTAATCTATTGCTTCTCCCAATATTGTAACCCTGATTCATTTCCGAATTTTAAAATCCGATCTTCCATACAAGTATTGTAGGTGTAGTATTGGACTGGTATTTTTTGGCAGAATTGTTTTTCACCTATAATCATTTTAGCATTGCTTGAAACGGAAACGTTTCGCTTGTGCGACAAGGATCACTCCATTCTTCCTTCTTTTGAAACGAAATCGCGCATGATGGGACGTAATGCCGGACCGGTTATGGCACCGAACCATTTTTATTCGTCAGTCGTAGAGAGTAGGCAAATAGAAAAAACTTTACCATCGGTTTGAGTTGTCATTTTTAGAGCAGCATTTACTTCAGTATCAGACAGTCTTGACAACACCTTGGAAGCAGTGCTCAAGATAAGTGCTTGTACGTAGAATGCGGTAGAGAAATTCCACTTTTTAAATTTCCTTGGTTATGGCCGCATGACTTCCTAGATAATCCAAGAACTGGATGTATTTCTCCCAGCATAACTGATTAGGGGCTGAGTAAATGTGTAAATCTTTCTTTGCCGAAAAGTGGGGATGCTGTTCCGAAATGAGAAGAAGGCCCTTCTGACACACAACTACAATTCCATCGGGATAGGGATCATGTTCAGGCGGAAGAACAAGGACCTGGCGCTGCAGCAGAATATGATCGTACATGTTAGACATAAGTGCGTCACACCCCGGGCCGCCATCGCTTTGGATTATGAAGCTGGTTGCTGTTGTCCGCCGATATGTTTTGAGCGGGAAATCTAAATTTCCATTGCGACACTTCAGCTGCAGTGGCTGATCTTTGGAACATACAAGCGACGACCTCAACCATTGTTCGATCGGTACCAGAGGTACGGCGATACTGCTCACTTTCTCTCCGGTTTCAGTTAACTCGTGAAGTGCCAACAAGAACTTGGTCAATAGCTGCCGACAGTTGTAGGTGGTATCAATTTCAAAGGTCAGGGATGTGGCGGTGAAGTGAGTTGGATCGAAATCTTCTTCGTCCTCGTCGAAGTACTCTTCGTGAGCCTCCAGACGGATGGATCCCTGCATACACTGTGCTTCGATACGGTCGCGACCAGTGGGACTGTTGGGCTTCGCGTGGATGTGGAATGTGGAGATGTCGACGAGGTTTTGGAACGCATCGTGCAAAATCATGCGGCACTGCTGCGTTTTGTCGCCGTGAAAGACTGCCATTGTCGCGTCGGTTTTGCGGAAATCCGTTTCGGAAAAAGTGATATACCCGTTTTTGCAGCTAATCACGAGAGGAGATGGGTCTTGACATGTCGCAGATGCTATACTGGCTCGTTCACCTGGTGGAGCGCAAAACACAAAAGTAGCTGAATAAATAATAATAAGTTATACGAGGATGGGTTGGTGCTGTGAAAACCGATGCATAGATAGCTCGAAGTTTATCTTGACTGTTTGAAAAACGTAGTATTAAACGCACTGTGCTGCACATACGTACGATCTGTACAAGTATTACAATTTTTCATTGCATGTAGCTAACTGAAACATCACGCTATATTATTTTTAAGGCATCCGAAGTACAAATTACAATATAACTGTAACATTGAGAAGAGGATAAGTAGCAACATTTCCGCCTTACATTTGTCGTACAGGGATAGCGATGGAAGCGATGTGTTAACGTATACTGTCAGCTGAGTTTTGCTTCCACAAGAAAATATCGTGTCACTAGTCGGGCTTGCTTTCACAATGTCGTGCATCCGTGCAACAAAAGCTTCCATTTCGCAGCATGAGCAATCAGCATGATCAGGGCAAAACGGATTACCGGCAAAGTTGTAATGCGTTGGGCCGTCGTACGGTTGGATAGAGCGTAAAATCCGGTCTGGAACACCGGTCAAATTGTTGCCCTCCAAACGGAGATCGTATAGCTTGTGTGAAAAGACACTTCCGCTCTGATAAAGAGTCTGAAGTTTTGGGGTCTGGTTGCTTAATCGCAAGACGAGCTAAAAATATTATGAATGAATCAGTAATAATAAAATTCGGCTCGTCGAACAGCATACGAATTTTTAAGTATCGGTACACAGATTAAATTATATTGTTATCACTCGTACTCACCAATGTGTTCTTTATCGGTTTAAGTGTGCTCCAGTCAAACGACTCGATCCGGTTTTGGGTGAGATCAATTTGCTGGAGTCCGTTCAGAATTTTGAACTGATCGTCGCTTAGCACCAATCCCACTGGCTGATACGTCAGTGGATGAAATGTCCCGACGTCAATATTTGTAATATCATTGTAACTAAAATCGATATATTGCAGAGCCGAAAATCCGTCCAAGAAAGCTGCATCAAGGAAACTAATTTTCGAGTATTGTATAGTGAGATATTCTATGGTGGCCTTAACATTGTGCAGAAACTGAGGAACTGGGATCCTGTCGTGCCCCGGTGAGTCGACGCTGAGCATAAACACCGATGTCAGGTTGGCCCGATATGGCAGTGGTTGGAAATTCGTCTCCAAGATGTTGCAATGGTGTCCTCTGACGGCAGCGCATCCCAGATGCAGTCGGGTAATTCCTTCGGGGATCTGCTCCACTGAGAAAGTTGAGGGAAACAGAGCGCGGCTGTTGACGCAAACTAACTTTAAATCGATGTAGTGGCAATCGGTGCTTGGTAATAGCTGTTCAGACTGGTCTGTCTTCGATGCAAGGCAGGGCAAAATGGCGAAAATAATCCACAAGATTCGAAACATTTTCGGTAATCTCTTGCGCGCGGGATTAATGAAATTACACCATGTGATGGTGGGTTGCACAGGTAAGCTCGTGTTAAATTTGCGTTGCTTGCCGTTAAGTACGCCGCTCGAGCAATAATGATGGTTGATTTTATAATCAGTACCATGCTCGGATATGGATATGAATTTCAGCGGATGGCGTTTTAGTCATCAACAGTAACTTCTTTTACCCGATATAAACACCTTATCAAGAGAGATTGCAGTCATAGTGGCGCAAGAATTTGTAATACTGTTGTTGTGTCTGTTTTGCGTTGATTATTGCCGTCCATAGTGTCGACAGGTCGTAAACTAGTAGGTGAGGCAGAGCAGTTGTTGGTAGCTTTGATAAACGTTTCTGATATCGGCCAGTGCGAGCAATCGACAAATACTGACAAATACTTACCTATTCAAAAGTAAATTTGTTGCTTTGCAGACTGTTCCTTGCTATGCGCCTGGATGCACGCTCCCTCTGCAACACAGACGCCGTGCAGACTGCCGCAGCTCTGGCAGGGTGACCATAAACAAAACCGGGTCCAGTGCGGCTTGAAAGGCAAACAACAAATCCGCAAATAACGGTATATCAATATTCCTGAACGGGAGAATCGAATACACAACCGAGCCGGGTGTCCAGCAGATGAACACCGACACGGTCAATAAAGTCAAAATATGCAGCCGTTTCGAAGAGCGAGTTTTATTTTGCGATGGAAGCTGTCCGGCTGCCGTTGCCGATGGCAGCGCTCGCGTTGTGGGTGCACTCGTGCCGGTCGTTTTCTTCCGCCGACAGTGAGCGTAAACAATAAACGGATAGGCAATGACAATAATAAACTCCGCCAAACCGTAAGCGAGAAAATGACTGGTGATTGACCAGTCCACTTGACCGGCGCTGTTGACCCGGCACACGTCTCTGTCCATTAGCAGCCGGTAGTACGTTGCATCGGGAATCATGCCTGGTAAGAGAATAATCAGAATGCAAATCCACATTCCAATACATAGGAGTACAGCGGTGGTTCGGCGGTGAGTTTGCCGGTAATGTATAGGAAATATAATGGCCCACAGCCGGTTCAGTGTAATGAGGGCGTGCGCGTTCTGCATGGCGGCACTCAGGATCCATAAGGAAAACTGGTAGAAGGAGCAAACAGCGTACGAAAAGATCCAGACTCCGCCGTGAATGTCGGTGATAATGCTGAACGGGTCAACGAGAATGGCATGTAAAAAGTTGGCCAAGGTGACGTTAACGACGTAGACGTGGAATGTCGAGATACGAAGCGAATATGACGTGGTCAAGATAATCAGCAAAGCACCGTTCAAAACTATAACTAGAATTTCCATTATTAGTGTAAAAATTGGACTTACTGACCAGACTACGGCGATTTCGCGCAAAGATTGGTTGGTCACGTTGTTCTCCATCAAAAATCGAAGATTTTTGAGTTGACTTGACGAATTTAGCGAGCAAGCGTGTGACTGAGGTCGAACGGACTCAAGACATTCAACCTGGACAGACTCTTTGTAACAGGTGAATTTTCAGCGTCAGCGTCGTGCAAAGGCGTGTAATATTGGTGTACAATGTGAGTGACTTTGAATTGGATAATCCCATTTATAAAGTACGAGTATATTGTCGTAGAAACACGATGCCGCATACAGCAGAGCGCCGGTAGGGACCACAAGGGCATTCATATGAAATTGAATAATCTATGGAAGTTCATAAAAGATGTAACGAAGCATGTTCACATCGCATATCGAGAAATTGTACATTATAATCATGTGGTGTGACACACGGTTTTGTCGAGAGCGTCATAATGAGTACCATGCCATAACAGGAATAAAGCTCCACGTGACGGCGTTGTAGAAACCATAAAGGTATCAGATGCAAATCATGTGCAACGTTAATTATTAAAAGGTTAGTCGGAATGATCCTTGAACATAAAATTACATAATTGAATTTTACCTTACCATTGTACCAAGCGAACAATGGCTGCAGCACAAAAATACAGTTTCCGTTGGTGTTGTTGTCAACGATGCGTCGGTGCGGACAAAAGATGTCCTATATTAAATACCACTTCGATTGCACACTTTGGAGTTATTGGGCTAGGTGTTTGTCGGGGAAGAGAATGCCAGCTGTGACATCTGTACATCGGCAGCTGCTAACAAAGGGCTTTTCAATGCTAAGGTCAAGTACCGCGGTATCTGCGACGGTCAATAGTGCTGTGTAGCGCCTATGGCCCATTTCGTACCACTCTATGAAAATCGGCCCCTTTTTTTGTTGATTGTATTCCACATATTCCTATGTATCCCACACGTATTCTGTCTGTATTCACGTTATGTTCTCCATTATTTTGCTTTTGCAAATACGTTTGACTACGTCTTCCTGTGCTGTATTTCCGTATTCCCACGTATTCTACCCGTATGCTGTCCGTGTTGACAATGTATTCTCTGGTTTCTTAGGCTTCTTAGATTTTTAGCTAGAACAGCAGGGAATACCTGGGGAATACTGGCTGAATACGTGGGAATGCGCTAATATGCTGCAGGAAGACAGCAGTCGTAGAGGTTAGAGAAGCGAGTTAGGGAATACTTTAGGAATACAGGCAGAATACAGGTACTATACGTGGGGATACGGGCACACTCAAAGGTAAAATAATCTCGCCTAAACTGACTGAGGTACCTAGTCTTTAGCAAAATTCCCATGTATTTATTCCATCTGTTTTCTGCCTGTATTCCTACCGTATTCGCGAGGGATTTTCCATTATATACCCGAGTAGCTTTAATTTAGACATGACTGTTGTGTTCTTTAGTGTGTCCCCGTATTCTTCCGTATTCCGCCTGTATTCCCCGTGTATTCTTGGGTTTTCGAATTGGAAAACTTAGAATACGCCTTGAATTTGGGCAGAATACACGCGGAATACGTAGGAATACCGGCTCACTGTCCGAGAATACTGAAATTACATCATACCGGAAGCGGAGAATACAGTAGGAATACAACGGGACTACTTAGGAATACATGGAATACAGTAACAAAAAGGGGGCCGGTTTTCTAGAGTGGTACGAAATGGGCCATATCTACTCAGTTGAATTTTATTCATAATATGTATAAAGGCGAGCGTTGCTCACAAAAGATGCATTCAAATGAAAAATTTATTTAGGTACCAAACAAAGCTTTCAGCCTCATAGGGTCGTGATTCCAATCCGTGACCGTGTTGTGATGCTGATGCTTTCCTCCCGGTGGAGTGCATACCTTGAGTCTGTCTCTTTAAACGGAATCAGGTCATGCGGGTTCCATGATACCTTGCATTTGCGACGGTTGAGGATTTTGTATGTACAGCCACACTGCTTCCATTTGGCGCCATGGTCGATTGCTGCGGCTTTGCCCAGCCGTTTACACAGCTCCGGTATTACTCGTTTTTCTGTAATCGGTGATGGTCCTCAAGGCTGCGCGCTGCCGTTTCATCAGTTTTCCTTGCTCTCCCAAAGACGCCGCCGACCAAGCCTACGAACAGTCAATCTATGTGTGGCTGGAGGAAGGCGTGATGAAAGGTGACGGGGCGGACTTAATGCACTTTATCTTCTGAATGCCAGAGCCGATACCGCGTTTCACTTTTGGAACTTGGGACTGCTTGTCCCACTTGTCGGTGTTTATATTATAAAATTTGTGTCACCGCATAAACATAATCAATATCACATAATCTGTAGTCTGCCCGAAACTGGTTTTTGGTCACGCCCAGTAGACCATTGCCGATGAAACTATTAATTTCTTAAGTTTTTCTACAACAAATTCTATTGTCAAACAAATGAATTTTTTCGGAGGGGAAAGGCGGTGACCATGCCTTGGTTAGTCTATATATACCCCACCACAAAACCATCAACAGCTTTACTACATTATTTTCACCACCCCAGAATACATAATAAACGAGGTTAGTACAAGTCCACATGTCACACAAACTCGTACACGCTTGTTGACAAGCAGCACACAAAGCCACACAATTATTTCAGTGCTAGTACTCTGTAGATATTGCAGGTTGTGGCCGATATAGTAACAGTCGATGACATATTTAGCGTTTGTTTAATTTTAATCCGATTTTCTTACGGGAAGTTTTTTTAAAAACTACATAAAATTAATAGTAGAAAGGAGCTTGTAGTTTAGTGTACTAGAGGCGGGCACACATGTTAGAACACCATCTGGTCCGGCCGGTGTCTTCCCTCTGTTGGGCATTGCACACGCTGTCTTGAGCATCTTTAACGTGTATGCAAATTTGCAAATTTTATTAAACCACCCTCGATGGTCTAGCTTCCGAGCTTGTGCATGTGACCGCAGCTACAGTACACTTTGCGCTTAGTTCTACACAGCGTAAATAAATTTATTTTATTTACCACTAAGTCTTTATTTATTTTCCGAACACTTTTTTCTGGCACTGTGGCTTAATGTATGTACAAATATATGAAAGCTTACAAATGTACAGTATAGACCTACAATGTACAATAGGAACGTGCCTGTTCAGTCGTATGGAGTATGGGCCACCGCGCAAAAACTTGATTGATTTAAATACCGGTTACCAAAATGTTCAGAAGAAGTTCTCAATCTAGCAGGATGCATATTCAGCTGCAAGCTGTTTTGCTGTCAGAGACGTTTACCAACAGTCTAAAAAACAATGTACTGTCGTCATTACCGATACAAACCGGTTTGTGACCATCTTCACAAATCAATAAAATTCGCGGTGGAGCCTAGCAGGAATACTGAGCATCGATTCTACGAACATTGGGACTGATGTCTCTTCTGTTTGAAAACTTGATTGGTATCATAGCAGTTTTTGACAGTCTGACTACAGCAACGTCTAAAGTCTCGTGTCGTTACATAAAACCATTACAAAATGCGCTGCATATTCTCCTGGCATTTGTTACTTCTTTTCAACACATTTTGCGCTACAATGTCGAAGTCATTGATAAAAAACCTCCCTGATAGTACGCCAACTGATTTGTAGAAATGCTAATCGCGTCTGCTGTGAATTGTATTAGAAGTTTAGAGCTATAAAGGGTGATATAATTATATGTTAATGCAAGTGTTTTATTGTGCTGTAGACTGGAAAGAATTTATTGATCCCGATATTTTGGCGAATAGCAACGAAGACTTTACTCGTTACGATAGTGATTTACCTGAAGGTGACATTCTGGGGCTGCAGACTCTTCAGGTAATCGGCAAATAAAAAGGAAAAAATATGCAAAGCAAGTAAATATTCGTGACATGGGTAAAGTACTTACTGCATCGTTATGACCTTCTCAGTAATCCTTGCGGGTAACGCAGTGTTTCATGTGAGTTCTCTTTGACAAAAAAATAAAAACCTTGGCGACATTTCTGCCTTACAGTGTTACATTTGCTCTTTACCGTTGTTATAGCTGTCCCAGGGCGCTGCAAATGCTATCAATGATGCTAGTTCTTTTTGGCCCAATAACACCATACCATATGAATTCTCCAAGAAGCAATATGCTTTAATGAGTAAGTAGTACCGCACAAATACGTTTAATTTGTAACGGTCTTGATATAAATGCTTAGGCTAACATCCACCAGACAGTGTATAATATTCCTTTGTTATTGCAGCACCAAAAGAGATGAAGATAATTTTAGAATCCATGCAGATAATTACCCGTCTTTCTGGTGGTTGTGTAAAATTCGTGAAGCGTACCGCCGAAGAAGACTATATTAGCTTTCAGAAAGGATTGCAGTGAGTTGTTGCTTTACAAAACTTGAGCAGAAGCAGTACCATAACTAACGATTACTGTAATTTTATTTCCAGGTGTATGTCGAACATCGGTCGTATTGGTGGAAAACAAGCAATTACGTATGCACCGGGTTGCTTAAAACATCATGGAGATGTCCAGCACGAGCTGATGCACGTCATGGGCTTCTTTCACGAACATTCGCGATCTGACCGCGATCAGCACGTGCTAATACTCTGGGATAATATTGCTAAAAGTAAGATTTAGAGCTAAATAAGCGAAAATGCTTGCCCTACAATTTCCTGATGACGCATTTTTTTTAGGTGACCGCGATCAGTTCGCCAAGCACGAAGAAGGCAATACCTACGGGCTTCCGTACGATTACGAATCTGTTATGCATTACAAATACAACGCGTTCGCAAAAGATAGCAGTATTCCAACCATTCTCCCGACAGTCAAAAAATCCAGAGTTGGACAAAATAAGAATCTTAGTCCGCTGGATATTGTACGGATTTACAGAAGATTTCACTGTCAGATTGCCGACCCTAGCAATTCCGCAGGTACTGATTAACTACCGCATTCTACCAGTATCTTTGTAAATGGTGAAAAACATCATATTTTTATAAAACTGTTGTATGTGTGTCTTATAACAGAGAAAATTCGATATGTACAATGGAAACTATCGTAATTATAACGTCCAATTCGAACAGTTTTTAAATAAAATTGTGCAACTTCCCTCAATGACTAAGTATAAGTAGGAGTATTATGCAGAAGCTGCTACGCTCTGGTCTGGCATTGCATGCTAACGGCTGTTTTGCTAATTAAAAAATTTATACTTTAAGGCTCTGGTAGTGTTATCGAGCCAACTGGATCGCGAATATTACATTCCTATGTTAGGCCGAATGCTTCATAACTACAAGTAGTACATATCCGCTTGCAACCGATTAAAACTTATGCTGGATTCTTTTTTTGCCGTTGATGTGTAAAGCGTTCGCATCCATTTTTGCAAAGCTTCGATGTATGGGAATTGGAAATATTTTTTCTTTTCAGATGAAAGCGACGAAGAAGACAACGGAACGAAATGCCCGGATCTGCAGTCGTCTAAAGAAACAACAACCGAAAAGGTGGAGGACCAGTGTCCACTTCAATGTCCTGAAACAAGTACGATTTCTCAAAAGATAACGAATGAAAAGGCTGACGACCAGTGTCCGGTTTGTCCACTTCCCTGTCCTGACACAGGTACGGTTTATCGTCAGTCACCGTATTTTGCATATTTTGTATCTGAACGAGTACATTTTGTCGCTAATGTTTTATCAAAAGAAATGTTGTATTCTGCTGGTCATAGCGGTTTTATTCAATACAAGTCCTGCTCACTGAAAATTGTATTGGCACCTGGCAGTAAGCATGGCTTACTGAATTACTCTTTTTTACATAGGTGACGACCAGGAAGATGTACCTCTGCCGGAAGTATTTCCCCAGTTTTCCCGAGAGCCCATGTCTCTCGACCAATGTCGGCTTCAGTTCAACGCTAACTGCGATAAACCTGGACTTACAATTTTCAATTGCACATCAGCCCTGACTCTGGACATCAACTGCAATAGTGCTGCTACCTCTCAAGATCTCCAGCGGATGAGTACGGCAATGTCCAAATCACCTTTAAGAGCAATTAAACTCAGCGCATACGACGGGGAAAAGCTTGATGTGGTCAACTTTGCTTCAGTGCGGAAACAAGTCGTTCTGTTCCATTTGTACAACTGTATTTCTACTCGTGCTACGCACCGACTTGTAATTCTTCAGTTTGCTAATTTACTGGAATTCAAAACCGTTGGTTGCTCTAATCTGGACATCAAAAAGGCTGACTTCAGCCAGACGAACAAACTCAGAATGATTTTATTTCAGAATACCATTATTCAAACTGTGGAAAAAGCCACATTCACCAATCTTCCCGATTTGAAGCTGCTGTCTATGGAGAATGGTTTGAGCGATGTGAAGACGTTCAGCGAAGGTGCTCTTGCATACCTTACGCGTCTGCATTGTGGCTGTGAGTTTCAGTGGTTTCGAAATTGGTGGAGTGGAAATCAGCAGCTGTTACGGAAGGCAAACATTGGCGAAGTTTACCGAATTACGGACTCGTGGAGCAATGCTGCCTTTAACAGAGCGGAAATTTTTTTACCGATTGATTGCACATCCGTTTCTTTAATAACCGGCTCGTCTTCAGTGGATTACAGTCAACACAGATTTTCCACCAACGTACCCGACAGTAAGTGCCTCGAACCGCCTAATATGGCGCCCTTTTCTGAGCTAGTAAGCACCCATTGCGAACTTGTGTACTCGTATAGTGAGTGTTTTGGCCAATGATTTTACGTTTACTGTAAACGCACTGAAGGAAGTTGTGACTGTGTAGGTTGGAAAAGAATAGAATGCAGGATCTCGAAGTAGTTATGACTAAGAGTCTAAGACTGCCATACCACTGCATTTTAATGCATCACTGGTCTGACCGCAGGCTCAGTTTATTTCGATAGCCCCCTTTACGTAAGGAAAGTACGTAAGTCAGCTTTGGAAATAGCTTGGCCGGCTTCCGCTGACTGTGCATCGTCGTTGTAATTTGGTTAGAACAGGACCAGCCGACCAGGTAGTCACGAATGGTTATGGTTAAAATATCAGACGATATCATTACGGCGCTTTAATACTGCATACTCTGTACAAGCAGTACTAAATATTTACGAGAAACAGCTGCTGCTTCGCCTCCGCGTTTCTTGTGATCCACGGCCTGAATCAATGAATAGCCCGGTTACACATTAACGTAGCGTTCTGAGCACACTCAGTTATGGTTTTTGCTCACTGGACAGCAGTGGTAGCTCGGTAACTCCCTCAATTAGCGATTCTGATCACTGGACAACAGTGGTAGCTCCGTACGGGACCGTACCTCACTCAATCAATTAGCGATTTTGCTCGCAGTGAAGGTATCTCGGTCACTCACTCACCTTACAATAATAAATGCGGCTCTTTGCTTTAAGCAGTTGTTTAGAAAAGTGGTCCTGCCAAAATCGAAAAGCCCGACGTCCGTATGGTTAAGACCTACCATTTACTACAAATATGCCGAAAACGAAAATCGACAGGTTAACATGTAATCGACCGGAGCGTAGCGGAGGTCCTCTATATTCAAGACTAATACTTTCGTTGATTTCTGTCCGTTACGAAAGGTCGTTACGAAAGGTCGTTACGAAAGGTTGTTACGAAAACCATTTCCAACGAGTAATTGGAAGTGCATGCTTATGTTGCTAAGTCGTTTTGGAAAATAATGTAATCAAAGGAAATGTTGCGCTCCGGTCTGCCAAATGCACGCCAACGTGCATTTTTCCTAGTTACTTAATTTTTTGGTTAGTGTTGTACGAAAATAAGTTCAATTTATTCCGTTTAATTTGCGTATTTAATAATTTACGTACGTTACGTAATGTACCCAGGCAAATTTTAAAGTTTCAAGGTCACCTTGAAACTGGGTTGTATCGTTTGCGGCATCGTGCCGGCACGATTCCGATAGGACGTATTCAAAAACAAAAGTCATGTGACGCAGTTCTGGGCCACTGCCGATCTAACTGTGGTACCAGATTTTTTTAAAAGTTTTGGCTAGAGAGATCTCCAGACTGTGGGAGGCCGCGCGTAATATCGATCTTTTTCTTAATGCCGCTTTAATATTGTGACTCCTCATGGTCCTCATTTTTTCAGGCTCTGATATTGCAAACAAAAACAACCAGTGTGACGATACTACCGAATTCGAGGCCGACTTCGCTGATTTCTCAACTGAGCCCATGACGACGGAGGAGTGTATAGAACAGTACACTGCACACTGTGTTCCAGCCACACTGGGACTGGAAAGCTGCACAAGTTTCCGACGGTTCGAGCTCAGCTGTGTCCAGGAAGTCAGCTCGCAAGAAGTGATCGATCTGGTGGCGTCTATAGCAAAATTTCCACCGCGCGCGACGCTTCTCAAGCAGTACGACGGACCTCACATCGCATTTTCTACTTTTGCTCCAATTCGCAGACAAATTGCCGTTTTCTATCTGAGTCGCTGTATGACCTCTCGACCAACAGGAAAGCTCCACGAGTTACGCTTGCCGAATCTTCTCGATTTGGGAATAACCAGCTGCCGCGGCCTAACTATTTACAAAAATGACTTCGAGCACTCCATCAAATTAAGGATTCTTGTGTTTTTAAATGTTACCATAAACAGTCTGGAGAAGGACACTTTTACGAATCTGCCTGACCTACGCTTCTTGTCTTTAGAAAACGGTCTCAAAGATCTGTGTATGTGTAATCAGGCCGTGAAAGATTACTTGTTTAACTTACATTGTGGCTGTCAGTTTGCATCGTTTCGCCGATGGAGACAGGGTAACCTTCGTCTGCTGAGGGAGGCTGAAACCGGTCAAATATACTCCGTGGCTGGAGGGTGGTTAAATGGCGCATACAAATACCGCGACGGCGAGTCTTACTTACCGATCGATTGTTCTGCGGATCCTTTTCCTTTTGAGGATGAATTCGCTGACTTTAGTCAAACCGCATTTTCTCTAAATGAACCCAGCTGTTAAACGTGCACGCATCCGTTGGACTTGATAGAGCATTATCTACTGTAACTGTAAGCAACGCTTTCTTATCAATCCGTACCGGCACTCTGTAGCAACGCATGAAATCCGTAATTATTGTTATCGTTAATAAAAAGTTTTATGTTTGGATGGTCAATACACAGCCGAGATATGCGAGATGCATAATTTGTGAAATAATTAAAAAATGGTCGAATCTTGCATTTTAGTAGCAGTTCAGATGATGGAATCAAGGATAAGATGGATGTACCTGTAGGGCTGTAGCTCCGTATTTTGACGGTATGCTACTCTTATTAAGTTTTTTTTTTCTTAGGAATCAAAATACGGATATCGAAATTATTCAGAGAATAATATTACTTTTCAAGCAATACATTTTCAGTACTTCAGTGAAGTATATAATGTCTGAAGTCTGAAGTATATAATGTCTGAACGAAGTATATAATGTATATGTATATAAGTATATAATGTATATAATGTATATAATGTCTCCTGGGCAGTGCTGCTACGTACGCCTTCGCAAATTTTATCCCGGATGTCATGCACTTTCATGGGAGCACGGTCCCAGCCCCCACTTGCTCTCTTTCTACGATGTAACCAGATAATCACTAGAAGTTCTGCATCCGCTTGATTAATTGGTGCATATCAAAAATTAACAACATTTACCATAATTCGCGAGGGATCCGTGTGGGGGTGTCTGGCGAGTTGTTCAGTTATGAATCGGTGAAACTAAACACAATTAATCAAGTGCGAAGGCGGTACACAGCTGAATAAGTTATCGTAAAATTACAACAATAAATTTCTAATAGTCCACGCTGTGCCAAATCGAACAACGTTCGCTCCTGGTACAAGCGATATTGCGGATCCTAATAGATGTATTATTATTGCTAATTCGACATTGTTTTTAGCTGCTGCACGGATATTTACTTGTAATAATGTATAATAATAATGTATAATAATGTTGTAATAATGTATAACTGCATGTAGTGCAAAGTGCATTGGAAGATGCGGAATACGGATACGAATATAAATCAACTGCTGAGTAAACTTACACCTACGATTTTACCATTAAAATGGGGACATTGTGATGGTACACTGTGCATGGAAGGTTCGGATGATCGGTTAAGTGCCCGTTAGTGGCATCGTTTACAGCCCTGCAGTTTTATTATTCGGTGATCATAACACTGCATTGTATATAACCCACAAGTTCCTTCGAGGAGAATTTTTAATTAGCATATGGTGGTGGCCTTTGTAAATGTGAAAGAGGGGGAGTAATCATGCAACTAAGCGGTACCGCCGTACCGGTATCAACAGTGCACAGAAACAGTCTGGAGCTAAACCGATTTTGGTGTCCGCTTTCCTTCTCAGAAACTTCCCCTTTTCACATCTGTCTTTTTCAGTGGCATCCGACGATCACGAATCAAAAAGCAGACCATGGTTAACGATACCAAGATTCCGGTAGCAGCACAGTGGACATTCGTCCCAATATTCGCCACGACCATCTTAATCGCGGTCCTGCTGACCAACACGCCGGTGCTCATACAACTGCTGCTCCGACCTCATCTCCGAACAGCATTCAATATTTACCTAGTCAACCTGCTCATCGCTAATCTCCTTCTAGTCGTTTTTCAGAATCCCCTGGATATTCTGGAAGCACTGTATTCCGGTTGGTGGATGGGATGGAAAGTCTGTAATTTATATATTTATGCCAACTATGTACTGGGGGGTGTCATCATGCTCACGCACGTCCTAATCGCCGTCAATCGTATCTGGGCTGTGACCTTTCCCGTTCATTACCGCCACAAGCATACAAAATGCGTCGCGTTGGGCATTTGCCTGGTTTCATGGATGTGGATTCATTTACTGATCCTGCCCGGGATTATTACGGATGCTCTGTATTACCGCAAACCGGTGGAATCTTTTGGCTGTCAGGTTAATAATGCAGCCCAAGCGGTGTGGGCGATGACGATGCACTGGGTTCTGTATGTTTTACCCACCCCGTTTATTCTGGCATCGTTCCCTTATGTAATTATCAAGCAAATGCGACATAAACGGTTAGTCCACTCTCGATTACTACCGACTGATGCTGGGGGGAACGAGAAGAGGCCATCGCGAACTGCGACGGAGAACCGCAATATGCATCACGCGGACAGTGTCAATGCAGCTTCCACCGAAAACAAGGAACAGAAACGGTCCAAAGGAATGCTGATATTTGCGCTATTGACGGCTTCGATTTTTTTTACATGGACACCGGGAAGGGTTTATTTTACCATCAAGTTGTATACGAGCATCGACAACAACCTGGCATTCCAGATCTGTTACGTACTGTTCGCATGCCAGTCAGCGCTGGATCCTCTGCTGTTTATTGTTGCGTTAAAAGACCTTCGGGGAATGCTCACGCCCAGTTAGCGGAAATGATGGCTTATATCATTCTAATGTCATTACGATAAGTGGAATAACGAAGCCACTTAGCAGTTCACAGCGTCCCATATGGTGATACAGTTACGTACTGTTTTCGGTTTCCACCCACAACAAGATGACGTTCCGGTTTACTCTACAGTTTTAGTAAATTTATGTATTTTGCTTCGAAGTTTTAATTACTTAATTTTCCGTTTGTGGTCTCAGGATATTCGCAACGAAATGATATTTCAATACGCTCTTACCCAACAATACCAGCCAGCTGGGGCCTGGTATTGTTGATATCAGCATGCCATTCTGCAAATATTAGCATTAGCATAATTCTCTTTTGTCGAAAGAAGCGGTGGTTGTTGATAGCATCTTCGGAACCAGAAAATGTAAGCAAGCAGATTTTGTTTTGATTCTAGAAAATAAACCATGCAGTTTCCACCGAAAGCAGTACTGTAGCGGCGGTATCAAGTAAGACCACAGGGTGTGTTTACCGGAAAAATTCGCCCTGGATATAGCCATGCTGCACGGGCAAAATTCACGACCCAAATCCCATTTTCTTATTTCAGATAGCAAATCTCCACGTAAATTTAACTACTTATTCACCCAGATTTCCTTATCACCAGAGCTCTGAAAATCATCGCCTTTCTGCGCCCATCCTGCAAACTCATTCACCGTCAATCCCAATCTGGACAAAACTGCACCCCGTGCAGGGGCACCCCCCCAAAACCACAACGAACCAACATGATAATCAGAGCTCTGATTTGTATGCATTACTTTCCAGCCTGCTGTAATACAAATATTAGCTGATTTTTCATTTTTAAGTATTATGTATTAATTAGTTAAATGAATTGTTAAAACAAGAACGTTGTTCAGCAGCTCAAACAACTCCGATTTTGATTTGCTGGTAAAATATCGTGAATTTTGCCCGTGAAGCGTGGGTATATACAGTGCGCATTTTTCCGGTAAACACACTCTGTGATCTAACTTGATACCTTCGCTACAGTACAATACAGACATTAGACACAAGTTCATTAGTAGATAGTAGATACGGTGGACACTAAAATAGAGTCGTAATTGAGGTAAAGAAAATTATCCGAAACACTGTTCGCTGCTTGGCTTCCTTAATTTAATCAAACCGGAAGCATCGGTTAGGTAGCAATATGGACAACAAACAAGGAGTGTCATGACTCATGACACGAGATCCTTTTTCCGTGAATGTGCTTATCCAGGAGGAGCGTCTGATTTAGCATCCCAGGAAGCAGAGGCTTTGGAGTCTTCCTCTGATCTTCGAGTAGTTGGTTTGTTTCCGGTATGTTCTACTGTATAATTAAATATATTACGTATGTTATTCAGATATCGCAACATTTGCATCGCTCGCTGGCAGATTTAAGGATAATAATGATGTTATTTTGTTAGCGTCATTGCTCTACAAAACTTCGAGTTTTCTCTCTCTAAGCAATTCCATGGCTAGCACAAACAACACAACCACATCGGTGGCTGGTAATGTTTCGGGCAAATGGACTTTTGTGTCTGTATTCACCCTGGCAAGCATGATCTCTGTATTCATCACCAACGTTCCCGTAACGTTGCAGATACTGTGCAGGCCGCGTCTTAGAACGCCGTTTAATATCTACTTGATAAATTTACTCCTGGCCAATATCCTTCAAGTGTTCTTGCAGAATCCCTTGGCGATTCTTGAATCCATATATTCCCGTTGGTGGATGGGTCGAACAGCTTGCAATCTGTACATTTACGCGTATTATGTGCTGGCCGGGGTCATCATGCTCTCGCACCTGCTAATCGCAATTAACAGAGTATGGGCGGTGACCTTTCCCGTCCACTATCGCCACCACCACTCAAAATCTGTAGCGATTAGTATCTGTGTGGCTTCCTGGATCTGGAATCACATACTTCTGCTACCGGGAATAATCAGCGATGCTTTGTTTTATCGGCGTCCCATTGAAAAGGTCGGATGTGAGTTGAACAAAGCAGCTCAACCGGTGTGGTCGATGACTGTGCACTGGGTGGTGTATGTTGCGCCCACACTGTTGATTCTCCTTTCCTTTCCTTATGTAACCATAAAACGGGCACGCCGAAGGCGCGGAGTGGTGGGCGTGCGTGTGGCAGCGCAGGGAACTGATCAAGGTAAGTGAACTGCTTCTTCAAAAGTCCGTGCACAGCTTGTGCTTGTATGACAAATAACTGTACAGAAAAGCGTACACAATCTATAAAAAATGACTCAAACTGGAAAAAAACCGTACAACTGGAAGTACGGGCTATTCATATTTCAGATTAAGTTTCCGCTCGTACATGCAAAATTTTCTCAGCCAGGGACGCAACAGAACAAATACTCGTATATCCAAACGCTCGTTGCTTTGTTACTATTATAAGTCGTGATAAGCACTGCAACAGGAAACGAACAACTCTTTCCGGCTGCTGCAAATGACTTTATCGCCAGCAAATTTTAAAAACTAAAACAAACCGTATCGCACCAAGTGTTAAAGCTTCACAAACAAAGAAAACAAGATTGTTGAAGATGTTTGATCCAGTTGTACATATGACCGACTTATCGTTTGCCTTTTGGGTAGATGACAAAACGGCGAAACTTGAGCTAAGCTCACCGGAAGCCAATAATGAAATTATGGATATTGTTGACGAGTCAGGATTTGCCAAGAAACGGTCTCAAGGAATGCTGGTACTCACTTTATTGACGGCGTCGATCTTTATCACGTGGATTCCCGGCAGGGTGTACTTCTCATTAAAATTGTTTACTGCCATTGACAGTACTGCAGCTTTTCAGATTTGCTTTGCACTTTTTGCATGTCAAGCGGCTATTGATCCGTTACTGTTCGCATTCGCCATAAAAGATCTGCGGCTTTCATTTACCAACCAAACGTGCTCTGTGAAACAGACTGCCTGAATGACCTTTCCATGTTTCTGCTTTTGCTTAAGGCACGAAGAATTCATTATATCTGTACGTACCTTTGCTGTGCAACATCGCTAAAAAGCACGAGTATGCAGAACTCAGGTCCACGTCACACAGAACCTGGCAACCGTTTAAACAAAGTTGGACATGATGGTAGACTGAGCATAACTTCGTTGTGGATACTGGGTAGATGTGGAGGCCGGTTTTAATACAAGGCTGTTATAGTATACGAAATTATTGTAGATTTACAGTAAATATAGCCAAGCAGAATTCAGTTACCGTACGAGGAGGGGATAAATGAGCTCGATGTACCCGAGCAAGGGGTAACAGAGCTCGTTATCCGTAACCGTGCCTGTGCAATACGGCCAGCCACCACAAGAGACGGCAACTTATTCTATAACGCAAAATAACTGAAACAGCCGTTGAGACCGATAGCTGCGTTTTTCTCCATAGACTCATATGCTAAACAAAATCACTTGTTTCTTACACATTTCGAAAGAAAACCACTCAACCTACATTTCAAACGAATAAGAAAAAAATTGCAAGATTTTTCATACCAAGAAAGTTCTTATTAAGGATGACAGAGAAAAGTTATCGCCATTCATGTTTCTCGTAGACAAAGCATAGAGTTTGTGCGTGGACCCGACCGTGGATCGAGATCTCATGCTAAGTCTATGAGAAACATAAATGGCGATAACTTTTCTCTTTCATCCTTAATAATAACTTTCTTGGTATCAAAAATCTTGCAATTTTTTTCTTATTCTTTTGAAATGTAGGCTGAGTGGTTTTCTTTCGAAATGTGTAAGAAACAAGTGATTTTGTTTAGCATACGAGTCTATGGAGAAAAAAGCAGCTATCGGTCTCAGCGGCTGTTTCAGTTATTTTGCGTTATAGAACAGGTTGCCGTCTCTTGGTGGCTGGCCGTATTGCACAGGCACGGTTACGGATAACGAGCTCTGTTACCCCTTGCTCGGGTACATCGAGCTCATTTACCCCCTCCTCGTACTGTAAGTAAATTGGTTAATCATTAACAATAAGTACAACACTTTGTGAATTTTTATTTGGAAGATTATGCCAAAGCCGTCTTCCACCGTCCTGATAATCAACATACGCACAAAGTACGAGTACTTTACAGAATGTATTGTACACATTGGAACACAATCCTGACACCGAGCGTTATCGGGGAAAGTTCTATCCTTTTTTGTTGCTACGTCCTTTTTGGTGCACAGGTATTTCGAAAAACGAACTGGGAGAGAAGACAGGGTACAGCACCGGCTTCCTTTTCGGACACGATGATGCTTCTTCGGTATGCGTGACGTAATCCGGGCAGTCCATCAAGGATAAATCTTTCTGCAGACAAACTCTTACTTCCGCAAAGTAGTGCTGGCTTGTAACGTTACTATACGAGCAATAAACACCAATCCGCTTATTGTACTGTCGCTGTAAGGCTCCGGCCACATCGTCATGGGTATAGGTCCTATTGGAACTTGGCACGATACTCTGCCCCTGGAGAACGTTGTACAGATTATACTGCGCCCGCAACTCCAGGGAGCGGTGGAAGTAGTTCAGTTCGCCAGTCAAAGAAGCTAGGCTCTGGGCGCAGGTGCCGTGCATCTTCCATTCGTGACCCCAAAATTTGTCCGGTCGTTTCGTAGCGGTCAGACTAGGCCAAAAGGCGTTGAGGTCGTTGAGGAGCGGTTGCAAGGGATCAGGGTTAAAGGGGATGGTACGGCAGTGCTCTAGACCGCTGGAATTGAATTTGGACGGCCATAGGCCATGTATTATCCAATCCTAACCCACAACAATGGCTTAAAAATGCACAACTCGAGAACAGTTTTGTTTTGTAGTACCGCATTTCCAAAAACAACCAACAGCAGAACCCAACTGGAATTCAACTAACAATGAGTATGAGTTAAATCGATTGTATGAGTAAGTATGAGTTATAGCTCTCTTAATAATCAGAATCCTTTAAGTTTAACAACCAAGATAAAAAACGTTGTCTTACAGTTGCAGATAACCCAGGAGGAACGCACATACTCCACTGGTGAAATGCCCATTTACACAGACTGATGCTGGCCAGCGTTGTACAAAGAGCAGGAAGTCAAATGCATCGTCTGCAAGCAGTTTCGAATTTTTATGATGTTTTGGCGGAGGATGTGGAAATAACACCGCTTCCAGAATGGTCCATTGGATGATACTCGTGAAAGCAATGCCGCACACGAGAAAACTTACGTGCTGCATTTTTTTAAAACAAAAATTAGTTACTCTTTACTCTAAAAATAAAAACGATGTACTTCGCGATGAAACGTTAATTATTCTACTACGTAGTACCAAAATAAGCCTGAATGGTTATATATCGGCCCGAATAATTAAACACCGCAATTCCAGTGCATCGCCATCATGCTGTTGCCAAACAGCGAAAAACCGTAATATTCGTGATTCTCGCCGAGACTGCAGACTGGCAGTGTGTCATTTTGACGTCACTAACAAACAGGGATTTTGGAGTGCGCCAACAGGAGAATTATGCATTCGCTCTGTTTCTGTTCGTGTGCTAAAATTTTCGAGGCGGTAATGCAATATCGTGGCCATAGCACCTGCGCTAAATTTAAGAATACCGTAACCATTTTTATCACACATTTTTTCCTTGTTTGCAGAGAATGGTTTTCTGTAAATTTTCATGTATCTGCCCAATTTAATAACAACATAGTTTGCGAACGCGCACTGTTTAAAAAGTGCCGGGATAAGCACTTGTTGTTATGGGCCTACGATGACTTCCCGGCGCACCGTAGGCGCACGGCTGCCAACCGCCACAGGGTACCATCCTGGCGAGAATCGTCAATTTTGGTTGCAGCTATGTTAGCTAAACACGTTGTAACTTGGCAATAAAATGTCCGATGTCGTATCAATGTTGGTATGTAGTGTTCACATTCCTGGTACTTATGTGAAACGCAAAGCGCTACAACTATGAGTGTACGGCTCGTGCACGTAGATGTTACAGGAAAGGGGTGGCACTCGGGATGATGTTATCAAGGTCATAGTTCGTCGGCCGGTAAACACTTGAGTAAACACTTATGCATTCATTTATATTTTTGCGGATGCCGCTATTTATGTAAGCTTCTACTCAAATACAGTACTTACTGTGCTATAGTACTCTTCCCGCCGTTTTCATTGCCGCTTAGTGTACAAAAATTTACCGTAAACCGTGTTACTTATTTCTGTCTGCTAGGTAAGGCAGTTACTGCCATGCATATACGAGTATATTGATCTAGAGATTATTTATCAGATATCTCCAGTACCTATTTGCTGAAGTCATAAGACTCGCAAACGATAAGATCGACAAATCCATGGATGGAAAAAATTATCCCTTATAAAAAATTTGCACGTAATAATATATACTTAGAAGTATGCATAGTACCAATCTGGTACTGACGACATTAATGTTAAATATAGGAACAAACCAGTAAGTCTAGCCAGTCTGTCTGAGTAGGATATGTATTCAACCAGAAACAAACTTTTGTTATTATCTGTAGTACAAATTCTGTACAGTTAGCTCTGTATCCCAGGTGGGCCGTTCTGACACGGCGGGCTCATTTAGCCACATAATACATTCACAGTTAGAACAGAGCTTTGGGACGCCGTTAGATGAATGCGAACCTCTTGTAAAATGGTCACTAACGAGTGACGAATGCAGAGAGCAGTATAGACCGTTAGTGCCATGCTTTTCTTTATTTCACAGCGACCACAGCTGGTTCATTGTCACACGACCTTTGACGTGATTCATTAGTCGCCTACGCTACCATGTAATCCCTGCTTATCCTTACCGCTTTACAGCTGGATGAATCTTTAGTAATTTCCCCGGTTGATTCAGCATCTTCCAGAGACCATACACAATCTCTGCGTCTTGTGTTGAATGTTCCTTTGTGCGAGCAAAGATGCGTAGTATCAGGTCTCAGTTGCTTTCTGTATGCTGTTCGACATGTACAGAGTACGTAGCCTCTGCGTATTTTCCCGAAGTTTCCTTTTTCTTGCGGTGTAACAATTCCGCCATTCTGATTCACCAGATCTGGTGTTCAACGAAAAAGCTTATAATAATTTTCAGATGGATTATTATGGTATGAACCAGAAACTTTCCCCATAATGGTTTTAGTTTTTAAAAGAACAGTTTTCCAGTGTATTTTCCAGAGTATCCTTGGATTTTAACCATACATCTTGTTTAAGTTCATTTACCTGCTTTCCACACTCACTGGCTGAACTGGAGGTTAGTTTGGGGAAACTATTACTGCAAGAGGAATTTTGATCGATTGTTGCAAAAGTATGAATAATTCTAGTAGCGGATATAACATCAGTTCATCGGTAAACGTTGCCAGATGGACTTTTATTCCTACCAGTGCACTGATCATCAGTTGTGCGGCACTCATAACCAACATACCCGTATTACTGCGAATGCTCTGTACCCCCACACTGCGCACTCCCTTCAACGTGTACCTGATTAATCTCCTGGTTACGAACATTCTACAAATCACTCTACAAGTCCCGCTGGAAATTTCCAGCGCCTTATTCTCCCGCTGGTGGATGGGATGGACGGCGTGCACTGTATACTTATTCGCCAACAATGTGCTCATCGGCGTAATCATGGCATCCCATGTCCTCATATCGGTGAACCGCGTCTGGGCGCTAACATATCATTTGCATTATAAGCACCATCATACACTTCGGACTGCCATTCAGCTCTGTATTTTTGTATGGGTTTGGGTGCACGTGATTGTTGTACCGGGAATTGTCTCAGATGCGCTGTATTACAGACGACCTTTGGATAAATTTGGTTGCTCAATTAACACGTCCGCTCAGCCAAAATGGGCATTGGCCAAACATTTTCTGGGATACATTTTGCCGTTGGTGGCTGTAATTCTCACGTTTCCGTATATCTTGGGAAAGCAGCTACTAAGAAAACGCGTGGGAGTTGTGGGTGGCGGTATCACACAGCATATTACGCGGAATCAGATTGGTATTGAAAATTCCGATAATTCCGTTACTGAATCAAGGAAAGGAAAGAGAAGCGAAAGATTATCAAAGATCTGGACCAGAGGCACAGTTTTATATGTTCTCATGACCGTTTCTTTACTGGCAACTTGGACACCAGGACGTGTTTATTTCACGATTAAGCTTTTCATCAATGTGGACAATGCTAGTGTTTTCCAGATTTGCTATGTGCTTTTTGCGTTGCAGTCAGTTTTCGATCCGGTGCTGTTTGCAATAGCACTCAAAGAATTACGGCCATTTGGATGTAGAATGTCTGTGCACTAGAACCGCTTAGTTACCTGCAACCTTTATTGGAGATAAAAATAATGAGGTTTCAGTCAAAAATACTCTGGGATCATGAATGCAGTTTCTGGTGATGCACATCTTAATGCCAGTTAAAAGTGTTACTCTTCTCATAAACATGCATAGCTGCAAACGAGATTTCCAAATGGCTGGTAAGAGAGCGTTAATGCTCCGTAGAAGAAAGTTCAACCAACAACAACTCGCATTCAGATTACAGACGCAACACGCAGTTACAACAACATAACTGTCAACATTGCTACAAGCGGTACTGCTATCAATCGATGTTATTTGCTTGAATGATTTCCGCACAGGTGGGAAAGCAGTAGACTCTCTTCGCTGCGGCTGACGATCTCTTGTGCAATAATGCCGGCGGATACGAAAAACGTGCATGTCTACGCCATAGAAAATAAATTTCAAAAATACGTATAAATTTTGACTAATTGTATTTTGGAAACTGGCAATAAAGACCTACGCCAATCAACAATCCACGCGTAAAGTGTAGCAGTTCCGCACTCGAAATGCAGAGCACGTGATGCCGTGTAGCTGCTGCGAAAAGGTCCAGTTCAGCACTCAGTTCACTTTTCTGCAGTAAGAGATTACATTGACCTATACTATCCATATAGTCATTGTAGCAGCCGATGGCGACAAAAAACAGTATCCCCACAAATCATATGTATTCGCTTTGGTGCTGTAAAACTGTTTGCTCCCTAACTTACCGGCATATAAGAGCGGAAATCCCGAATTTGGCTTTGTATTCGATACAAGATCAGCGGTAGGCGTACTGCCTAAAAAATGAAAACAGTAGTGGTAGTGGAAGCCGTAGTACAGTACCAGCGGTAGCAGAATATGAATGTAAAAGCAATTTTTCGGGCCAACTAACTTGTTCGTACACTTGTACAAAAGGGATGCTGAACAGCACCGCAAAACTCCCAAAATCCCCACGCTTCCATAATTCAATGCCAGCGCGCTGGCAATCGTTTCCGATGAGGATATGGCTCCGGCGACAAAGGAGAACGTCATAGCCGTATCGAATGCATAGACGACAAATGTGATCCAACTGTAAACATGGTTAAACTCTTCACAACACATGATTGATCTCAGATGAACAAGCCGGAAATTTCCCATTACAGGTACTGGATCTTCCTTACACGGGGAACTTGTTTGCAGTTGCTTGGTATACTGCGATAATTCGTTATTAATTTCTCGACAAAAATCTCTTAAAATAAGTGCGTTTTGGATGGCTAGAATGAAAACAAGTTTGGAAATGAAATACGGTATAGTGCATGCAAAAATCCAGAGCGCGACCATCTGCCTAGTGGTAAATTTCATCGGCACCGGCGCAAAAGCATCGTTAAATTCTGGATCATAAAATCGGGGGTCTTTCTCAAATGAATGCTGCCATTCACAAATTTCCCATAAAACCAACATAACAAAGCTTAGCACGGATAAAGCGTTGCCTATTTTCGCCAACAGGAAACTCTTCTCCGAACGTTCCCGAAAGATAGTAATTCGCCAAGGTCACTTTGCAAACTATTCCACAGTTTCAACTGGCTGCGAAAAACGGATAGAACGATAACCGGTTGGATAGCCATAATTGCATAACTGAGAAGAGGAACAATGTCGGTAATTGGACTGCTGGATAGCTGACTCGATGTGTCGGAGTAAATAGTCCAGAAGACGAGTATCGTACTAAGTGACGCCTGTATTAAAGCGAGAATGATTAACAGCACTGGGACAGCGGACAAGCATTTTTGTAAAAATCTATGATAATGATGCTTCGCGACGCCCGGAAAGACAGTCGTCAGCGGAATAAAGCCGCAGAGAGACAAGATTTTTTCCGGGATGCTGTGACATGGGGCCAAAGCTGATCCTTTATCCACGAACATGGTGTGAATAACTTATAAGGCGTACTAACTTTTAACGTGCATTAAATTTAACTCGAAACAGACAGTTTTTGTGATTTACAAGTTTACACCGAAAGACTAGACGGGTGGGCTTTGCTGCCGGACAGTGTAGGGTAGTGCCATGCCACTGCCATCCATCCCAAGTGCAATATACCGGGTAGAACGTTTAAATTGCAGGGAGGTATTCCTGTTTAAACAGCTGATGAGGTGGCATGAACTTGATTTGTAATTCAATATTTAATGTTCCGTTAAACGTTGCAAGATGGATAGGCTTGTAAGGACTATAGTCGTGAAATTTTTCACATTCGCCGGACGGTGTTTCTATGCTGTCGTGCAGTCTTGATCACTTCATTTTATGCGAACGTTCATAGTGGCGCAGAAGAGTGCTGCCGAAGGTGGGTAATGCTAAATGCAGAGACATGCATCATGGCATACTTCTCGGATAAGTAGCGGGAACTGCTCGGGAAGGGACTTTCAAACCCAATAATGGCCACTGCCTGCGTTAGCGTGCACAGCACGGCACAATCATTTTGTTTTGTTTGAAGTCTAAGCAATCGTCGCAGTTATGCTTCAGCATTAACAGCGGTACAAATACAACTCACAGTCAGCATAATATATATGTACTTGTAAACCGTAAGTGATACCAGAAATTCATAAGTGTGTACAGTAGGAGTACAGCAAAAACAAGGAACACAATGGTTAAAGTCGCAATTCAACAATGATACTAAAAAAGTACCAGAAAAATATTATTACGGGAGGATTATCAAATAGTAATAATCTCGATTGTTTAGCGTTCACTTATGGAGAGTAACATTTCGAAAGCTGTGAAGGTCAAGCACACAAAGAGAGCAATTAACAGGTTGTTCACCTCCATGGCCATTGCCGCTGCTGATGACTTCTTGAGCTATCAGCGCCGTCGATATCAGGAAAGTGCACGCCTGCATAATCAAAATTTTTATATGTTTTTGGGGAATGCTCGAAGTAAATATGTTCTTACTGCAGCCAGTAATCCTCTGGAATAAAATATCAAGTTGGCACCCGTAAAACATGGAATATGTCGCCGTGTCTCTTTTTCCAAGGAATCTAGGGCTATAACCAAGGACTGTCCCTTAAACCAGAAAAGAAAACTTTCATTTTTAAAAAGCAGAAAATAACACTCTACGCGGTTTCTGCTGTTGCCGTGATTAAAACAACCATACCGTCTGCCCGCCGCTACTGGTTCTTGCTGCTTCCATTCGGAGTTGATACACCTTCAGCGGAAATTCCTCGGCCTGCCAAAAACTGCATGGTAGTGTATTTTATGAAATTACATAATAAAAATGACCTTTTCGTAGACTTTCACAAGAGGAATCGCAAACATCACCGCATAACCGAAATATATAATCACGCTGCCGTAATCCAGCAACCGATTTGATATCAGTTTCGGCGGATCAGCAAAGTTTGCTGCTATAAAAGAGGATGCAATCGCCATGTTGAATGCGAAAGCTCCCAAGAGTATCCAACTATACGCGCGATTCAACGTGTCCGTACATTTCACCAATTTCAGATGAAAACGTCTCAGTTCCTGTGCGTGCGTTACTAGATCTTTGTGATTGTCGCCAGCCAGGTTATCCCGAATTCTTTGCAGCTTTCTCAAAAATTCCGAGCAAGCTTCCCACATGACCACCGCATTCATTCCAATAGAGATGAAAACTTGTTGTAAAAGATAGTGTGGTACTATACAGAAAACCAGCCAAACGATAATCGCCTGCTTTGTCGTCACTTTAATCGGTATCAGGGCCGAAAGCGCCCTGAAAGTTCGGATCGGTCCAGACTGGATACGCATCGATGTATCCGTACCACTCCAGAAATTCCCAGAACGTTAACACCGCCAGTGATGTCAGTGATAATAAGCCGCTGAGCCTTTTCCAAGAATGTTGCTTCCTTCCGTGGATACCGCCCAGTTCGGCAACGCCTTGCAGCTGCAGTTGAATGTCGTACCAGTGGCTATTCCGAGACAAAAGACGGTGAGGAGGACGACTGGCTGCAGAGGCACCATACCGTATGACACCATGGACAAGGAGTGGAAAAGGGGATTTTGATGTTCATGGTCAGGGTCTTCCAGTGTAAACAGGATTAAGTTGATTAAGCTCACGCTGGCTCGCACTGCACCGCCTGCGATCAGACAGAATGGCACCAGAGAAAGACACTGCTGGAGAGCCGATAAGTGGAGGCATTGCGATAGATGAGGAAATACGTTAATTAATGGAACGAATCCTAGTGAGGATAGGATTTTTTCTGATGTTCCAATTATAAAACCTTTCCCGGGCATTTTTTATAGCGCAAAAATAACCAAAAACTTTGAGCCGCATTTACGGCGCTCAAGTTAGGAATTACCGGCTCATTTTTGGATCGATTTGTTGGTTTAATCCATCTGTATCAATCCGTGATGCTGACGGTTGGGAAGCTGAGGTGAAATCCTTATTGTATTTCATTTTGTGGAACCTGTCTGTTTCATTCCGCTGTGTTGGCGAAGCTCATGAATGGTAGAGTGCTACACTGGACTGTTTACAGAACTCGCATTAAAGTGCAATATAATGTAATTATCGTGTACGGCATACTGTATGCCTTGTACAGCGTTGTATACTGTACGATGTTGTATCTATATTATTGACTGCTTGGCAAACTAGGTAGCAGTCTTTCAGCTGTACGGCCTGGATGAACAGTAGCATATCAACTCTCTTTGCAACGTCACCTTTACAGGATAACATGTACCTGTACAATATGAAACGTATCATCCGCAGCTGGTTGCTTTGGAGTGATTTGCTGTTCTAGGGAATTAAATAAACTGTATCTACGCCATCACATCTATGCAACCAACACAAATGCCTTTAAGGGATTTGGCCCGGTACGTAGCACCAAATTCGTGTACATCCACAGGAACTTTCGCTGTCGCGCACTCCCAAACACTTTTTTGGACTGCTTTATGATATTTTGTAGGCAAAAGAATTGTATAAGTAGTTGTGAAATCCGTTTGCGCGCGCAACATCCGGTTGCGAGTTATGAGTATAACAAAATTCTAAAAAGCTTAAATGCATTTCGATGCACCAAAAGTCTCATTATGGACCGATCTCCTTCAAATTTTGCACGTAAATGCGCATAATTATGAGGATCGTACTTACACCGATCCACCGTTCTAGCATGTTTTTCAAATTTCAAAATGAGTTTTAAAAATTTTAAAATTCATTATGGACCGACCGATCCCTTTAAATTCTTTAAAACGGATTACACGCCTATGTATGTAAATCATTTGGCTACACAATGTCAAAAAGCAACAAAAAACGTGTTTGGAAGTGCGCGAAAGCGAATATTCCCGTCAATGTACACGAATTTAGCGCTATGTACCGGGCCAAATCCCTTAATTCTAGCCCGAACTTATAAAACTCTCGGCATAACAGAAACTTGCAGGGACAAGTACCGGATAGATGCGCTAATAGACATACCCTAGTACTTACATATTTACATACTAGTATGCTCTCGTATTTACCGTATGCTCTAGTCGTATCTAGTATGCTCTAGTAAGCTCTAGTATTTACATCATTACCGTATCTGTTTACATACCGTATGTACATACCCATACATTTTATACATATCATACGTATGGCGCACATATTATACGTATAGTCGTATACCCGCATTTTTCTCAAATGCTAGTTTGAGAAACACTTAAACAAGCTCATCAAAGTTAATATCGTGAACTTAATGAAACGGTTTTTTCACAGTAACTCACTTTGTCATCGCCTCTGAACATATAACTATATTTTCAGTAAAATTAATATACTTTCACTCTGTGATCAAGCTTTATTACTTAACTGCAAACCAAAATCTATTGTTCACCAATCTGTTTTTGTTTTTATGTTTATGTTTTTTTTATGAAATCAATCTGAGAGTTCTTAATAGAATATTAAGCAATCAGTACTGATAATACACTTAGTAGCTAACACAGATACAACGGTACATTCATCGCGCATTATTTAATACTGTGTTCTTGTACTGTACTATGGAAAAAGTACAAGTTATGCAACAATGTGTCACTGCTATCTAAGCGCGATAAGCACGTAAAGTCTCCTTTAATTTTCAACGTTGAGTTTCCTTCAGATAAGACTTGATGCCTTTTATCAGACAAGAAAACGCTTTCCTTATTAGCATTTTGTCAGCACTCATAAGCACTTCTTGTAATAAGGTAATTATTACAGTATTCGCTCGTTTATCGACCATAATATCATCATGGAGAACGAAGCTGTAGCCGTGGGAATTCATTTCGGAACAACAACCAGCTGCACTGCGGTGTATAAAGACGGGCAAACTCAGGCAATTCAGAACGAGCAGGGTAATCGCACCACTCCATGTGTAATCTGTTACCAAGATGGAGAGGTTGCTGTTGGAGAAGCCGCGATGTACCAACGGATGTTCTGTCCGCAAAGTACTGTACATGACTGCAGACGGTTGCTCGCCAAAAGATTCAGTGATCCAGAACTTCATGCCGACGGTGATCGGTGGAAGTTCGAAATGATCGAAAAAAATGGCAAGGTTCACGCACTCATACTTGACGGCGACAAAGAGCTCTCAGTTTCACCGGAAGAAATCGCGGCAGCAATGTTGCGAAGATTAAAAGAGACGGTCGAGGCGTATACTGGCGAGCCGGTCCTATCTCCTGTTTTAGCGGTGCCCGTTTACTTCACCGAACCCGAACGGGCAGCCATGAAAAATGCTGCTGTTATTGCCGGAATAAATTCGGTAGCAATAGTCGACGATTCAATTGCCGCTGCCATCTATCACGGGAGAGGTAGTAAATATGACAACGCAGAAAATCTCTTGGTTTTACACCTCGGTGGGAAGACTTGTGTTATTACGGTCCTGAAAGTTGAGTCCGATGTAAAGTTTTCAACTGTGCAACGATAAGGGATTTACATCTAGGCGGCGCAACATTTGACGCGACCCTTGTAGAATTTTTGACGAAAGAGTACCAGGAGCAAACTGGAAACCATCCGAACGAAGAAGCGCAGATGCAATTACGGAAAGCGGCGGAAAAAGCAAAGAATGCGTTGAGTTTCGGCAAATCAACCAAAATTTTTGTGCCAAATTTCATGGACAAGGAGCCATACTCTCGAATTCTTAATAGAGAAGAATATGAGAGCATTTGTGAACCGTTGACGCAAGCGATTGAACAGCATATTAAAGACGTAATGCGGGATGCTGAGGTATCGGCGGAGGAGATTGAAAGCGTTATTTTAGTTGGTGGAGCAAGCCGCATACCGAAAATCAGAGCCATCATAGAAGAGATTTTCAATGGGAAACGAATCTTGCAAGATACATATCCGGACCAGTCAGTCGCATGTGGAGCGGCAATTTATGCCGCAAGCCAGCTAAAAAAACGTGAGATGCCGTCACCGCACAATACAAATGATCCTGTGTCTGAGCTGCGGCTATTCGATCTTAGAAGCCGACTGGTCGACTGGAGTTTACCGCTTTATCAAGGTAAGACAGTTACTTACTGCAATGTTGATATTACAATAACCGCGTACTTTTGCGGCTCTGGTGACTAGGTAAGACTCCGACAATTCAGCCAGGAAAAGATGTCTGTCAGATTTAATTCCTAAAATTTTTTGTCTCATAAACCCCGCACACTCAATTCGAGCCGGTCGAAACTCGAAAAGTAATATTAAAATTACTAACACTCCCTGACGCATAATCCGTTGCGATTATACAATATTCAGTCAAATCCAATAATGTGATGCAGGTGCAAAATTATACAACGCTGATCATGAAAACGGTATTGGTTTTTACAGATCCCAGCATTTCGAAAGGCATTTTGCAGACCCCTTCAAAAATGGAAGTCGTAAAACCAGTCTCCACCAACCAAGGAAAGGCATTTACACAAAAGAAAGCGATCGCATTAACGCTGGGTGCCACTTGCTACCGTGTTGGTTGCTTGGATAACGGCATATGTATTCAACTGCACAATGCAACCGGAGAAAATGAAACGCCAGCTTACTATGCAAATACTGGAGAAGAATGTTTGTACGGTAACGATGCTCGAAACTATGCTGGTATGGATGTGGAAGGCGTTACTGCCGGAGTAATGGAGAAATTCTACGACACTCCGCCTTTTGCCGTAGAGACACCGCAAGAGGTTCTACGCGATACAATAAGGATGCTGCTGCAGGACACAGTACTGGAACGACAACATAGAAGTAGTGGCCGCAGTGGTCGCAGTGGCAGACGGTTATCTGCAAAATAACCAAGCTGCTGTCGAAGAAGTTGTTCGAGCGGCTGTAGAAGGACAATCGTCGGTGCCGCCACCTGTATGGTGTTGTCCAAAATCAACAGCAGCCTTGCTCGGGTATGCATTAGGGCGGGAAGCATGTGAGGATGGTGTCTATGTTGTTGTGGTATCCGGGTCATACCTTACCGAGGTTGCGGTATTCGAAATTCGAAGCGAGTGCGTTCGAGTGTTGGAAGAGACAAAAACCAGTAGATTCGGTGGACGGGACTTTGATGATGCGTTGGTGGAATATTGCTGTCAAGAGTTTCAACGGGAAACCGGCATCGATATTCGAGAGAAGTGGAGTGCCATGCACCGACTGCGCGTAGAGTGTGAGACGGCGAAACGGAAACTGTCAACAGCGCAGATGGCGGTTATTCAATTGGTTGTCGAGGAACGACAACTGAAAGTTCAGGTGAAGCGAGAAGATTTGGATCGAATGATGACTGTTCCTGTGCATGTATTTACGGTCTGGTTGCGTTCTCGGATAAGCCTGTATCGTGATAAAATCACAGCGGTAGGCATTGCTGGCGGCGCCTCAAAAATTCCTGCTCTGTACTCTGCCATTCAGTCAGTTTTCGATCCACGGAATATCAAGCCGGCATTTAAAGCTGTGCAGCTGTTATGGGTGCCAGCGGGTTAACTGCAGCGTTGTCGGACAAGACTTTGTTCCACCAAATAATTAAACAGGCACCTTATAACTTGACTGCTGTCCGAAAAGCAATGTTCGCTGCAAAGCCCATTACTGACTGCGAGGAAATATTAACTCTGTTATCAGTTACCGTTCGGAAAAACGGTACTGGTATTTCGCAATGGATGGATACAACTTTTAATCACGATGGAAACTTGTTCACTGGCAACACGGCGAAGAAATCATCAAAAGCGATAGTATCGTCCGAAAAATCACCAAAAACCGAGGCCAAGGTGTTTGACCTCAAAACAAAAAGACCAGCTCCCAAATTGCCGGTTAGACAATCTACGAACACCGCCACAACTGATAGTTTGCCGAAAGCGTCTTTCCCATCCGACGCTGACAACTATTCGGCAATAGTTGTCGAAAGCATCGTGTGAAAAAAGCGGGAGGTGGAAATATTACGCTATCCAGCGATGATTAGAGTTTCTATTCCGCAGTCAAGAAGCGATCAGCTTGTATTTTCAGTGCGGCCGGCAGATGGGCAAATTTCTCCCATTGAGCTGCTTTACGAACTGTTTGGGCTTCTAACTACGACGGTAGTAGATAAAAGCGTACTGAAATTCCGCATGAAGTCGGACCCGCGAGGAACTGTAGTAGTCAGTAAGAAAACCCATTTCCAGGTTTCGTTTCTTTTTAAATCAGAGCGGGAATGCGAAGAAGTGAATCATCTTATTAAGGTTGCCAATTCTCGAAAGGGAACTGGTTGTGTATTGCAGTAATAAAAAGTGCATGAGTAAATGATTACGCTTTTTGGTTGGGCTTAAGAATTACCCATGCGGCATCCGTCAATACAGCCAGAAAGCATTGTTGATTGCGAGGTTAATAGATTGTGCTGTTGTGTTGCGCAGCATGGTGCGATTTATTCATCTTTTTAGTTCCAATAACTTTTTGTAAACGAACAATTACGGTTAAAGGAATCCTCTATTTATCCTAATGTGAATGTTTGTACCATTTTTAATACAGTTTAACATCTTGTGATAAGGACGCCCATCTTTCTAGTCACAGCTGCCAATAGCGCGACGATTTGGTACATCAGATAATTTAGAGCGCATCAAACCAGCGTCTCCATCGGTCAATTTGAGTAAGCCACATCCTTTGTAACCCTGTCAGTTTCTAATTTTTGTTCAATTTCTTCTCGGTTGCTTCTGGTATCGGGTAGTATTTTCAGTGAATAAGACATGAAATGATTTGCTAATATTTCTGTCGAGCTATTTCCTCTTTCAACGCTGCCTAGTCGTGACACGCATCCAAGTACAGTACGCGTAGTGTTTTTTTACCTTATCATACGAGTATAGAAGGTTCCAACAGGATGGCAGTGACAGCCCGTAACTGAAACCCAACTCATCTCGAAATCATTAATAATTTAATATGTGGCCAGTGACAAATTTCAAGTACACAGACAGAGTCAGGTAACGCCGGAGTGATTATTATTGCTATTCTTCTCGAAATTTGCTCAGTAGGTAAATAAACAAGGAGCTTTATCAGAGTCTGACTGACCGCATCGACTTATACGATCGCTCAACAGCTAAAGGATGTTCAGACTGATTCAGCGACATTTGCCGGTTACATAAAAAAGTCGAGCACAGCGTCTTTAACTTTTTGGGAAAAGGTCTTGGGGCGTATGATCAAACCAAGAGAATTTTGGAATTCTGTCAAGTCATTCGTTGAATAGTGTTGAATATATAAGAACAATATATGGTTTGCCGGGATACGTCGCTCCCATGGATCCAGAGTTCCCATGTCAAGATACGATAGATTTTTTTCCTCAAAGGGACCATAAGATTTAATATCGGTTGGGAGGAATGTTACTTTAGAGTCTGAAGAATGAACCTGGATGAAAAAAGATGCGGCGTCATGAGAGACACCAACAATAAGTTCAGCGCGATGAAGCTGACAAAAACAGGTTCTGGTGGCGTCCATTTTGTTGATCAATGTGTGGTGAATTTTAACATCTTGTCGGCAAATGATTTTTATATCTGGATGTGCAGCGGAATCTTTGCTCACAAGTAGCACAGGAGGACAACGATTATGATCAGATTCTACCGCGGTCTTTGGTTTTAGGGCAGCGATCTGTGTTACTCCATTGTTTGGGCTCGGAATTCCGCGGTAGGAGCTCTGGAAGTTATTATGATTTCCCTCTTTTGTGCCCTTTGATTCGGTGTACATTTCTCCTACATTCGCTGAAGCGGAAGGAAAACTGGATGTGAAACCGCTGGAGTCTGTTTTGAGTACAACCACGGAATCAGCTGGACGCACACCGTCTTTTCCGCAGTATATCCTGAGTGATTCTACTTTTATTAAGCCGAATTCCAGGTCCCTCACTGTGACATCGTTATTTGCCAGACTAGTCGCTAGTAAACAAGCACCTTTGCTGACCACTCATGTGAAGAAGCGGTGGTCGATATTATGGATTGCTTTGGGAACACTTTTCCTAGTTCTTGCTGCAGTATTGGAGTCTTCAGTGCGCCCCCGGCTAAAATAACCCTGGTTGCTTCCGCATCGGAACGGAATCCGGCATATTGTTGTATCCATTTGATGAAACTTTGGAGTTTAGACTGAATTCTGGCCTCTATGGCATCTCTTCTCACTTCCACCAGGAGCTTATGATTCGCCACAAACCCCGGAAGTTCCAACAAAGCGACCTTGGCTGATGATAGCCTAACCTTGACCTTTTCGCATTCCGTCCAGAGCCGATTCAGTGCGCCTTCGTGTTTTTCTGGGCTAATACCGGTTATTCGCTCGAATTCCTCGCAACAGTATTCAAATGTAGTCTGGACCAAATCATCTCCGCCAAATTGATATGCGCGAAAATCTCCAACTGGTCGAGCATCACCGTTCTCCTGCAGCATGTACTTAGCGATTTCCGTAGTGTGTGCGCCAATAACGACGACGCAATATTTTCCCGCGTAGCATTTGTCAGTGTTCGTCATGTACCAAGCAAGAGCGGCAGTAGATTTCGGTACCACAGCAAATGTGGACGGTTTATACACGTTCTGTAAAGCCTGGCATGACTTCTCTCGGATTTTGTTGCGACTTCGTTGAAGAAAGTAAAATGATGCTGCAATGATTACCGTATTAATTTGATTTCCGGAAATTGCTGACTCTTTAAGAACTTCCGTGAAACTCTCTTCCAATGCGGATTCCGGAGTTAGAATACCTGCATCACTGGAGCCCTCACGGATTAACTTTAGTGGCTCGGCAATACTGTCAAATGGCTGAATATGGGAGTATCTCTGTGCATCCTCTCCGTATAATTTTTCCGCATCGCTGACAGCAAAATATGCCGGGGTATCGTACCCTCCCTGTAGGTTTTGAATCAGTTCCGGTAGTGGGGATTGTGTGTAGTGGGCGAGTCGATAGCAGCTGGACCCCAGTTGCACACCTAATGTTTCCTCTCTATTTGCGGCAGCCATATTTCTCCTTTGTAAAAGAATTTCGCAAAAACTTCGCAATAGTGTCGTAACAAAATGGGCGCAACTCGAAATCTTTACGGGATAACAAAAACTTTGGAAACGCAAACCAACAGTAGTGGTTTGAAACACTTTTTATATGGAGATTAATCCTGCTTCGATTGTTGTATTTACTGTAATATGGTCATGCGTTTGGTTAGCAGGTTAAAACGGCTGTTTACTATCGCAAATGCGCCGTTCTTATGTTGATTCGGGCCACACGCTGCAGCTCGATACCATAATCTTATCTGCTTATTTTCCGGTCTTTTGGTTGTACACTGTCTTTGGTTGTACACACAATCTGGTGAATTTAAATGGCCAACTTGCACGGAAGTGATGGTACTCGTATACGCTCCTACACTCGTATTACTGTTGCTACCTATCGCTGTCGAAATACTACAGAGCAGGAGAATAGGTGTTCCTACTGCAAATTAAAATATATTTCAGTAAAAATTGCCCTTTGAAAGGGGCAATCGCAAGTCCCGCAGCATAAAAATTTCTTATGACCATGAAAATTAAGTTAAGTGTGTCACTGTATATGAACACTGAACAGGCAGCACAAACAGACTGTACGCAATATTAAGAAAGTTTCAGAAGCACTGAACGGAACTGGCGGTACGCTTCCTGCTGCTTTAGGATAATGGTGGTTCGGTTAGCGTGTTCGTTGTCTTGAATCCATTCGGTAAATTCTTTCAGGTTCTGGGTAGCCTGTTTATAATCCTGGTCCGATAATTTATGCCGATTCTTGGCCAGTATTTCTTCGATAGACTGTCGATATTCTTTCAGTCGAGCTATTAGCACTTTTCGCTCTTCTTGGAGTTTGTCGTCGGAGGTGCCTTCTGAAAGTAATCCGGCAATTCTGTGGATCTCCGCTGTGGACAGATTGTACTTATCGTTATCCAGTTCGATCTCCACTTTACTACCGGTATTCTGATCGATAGCGGACACGTTTAGAATGCCATTGGGGCCGATTTCAAATGTGACGACGATATTCGCGTTTCCTCGCTTACCGGACTCAATACCAAAGAGTTGCGTGGTGCCGAGTAGGCGGTTCTCCTTAGCAATTTCCGATTCGCCTTCGTGCACACTGATCTGCACCGATGTCTGTCCGTCTTCCGGAGTTGTAAAATAATCGCTGTGTTGTGCCGGTAAACGTGTGTTTTTCGGAAAGAAAACGGTCATAGCTGCAAGATAAGTAAATTTTTACCGAAACAAATAAAGGGAGGGGACTCTTATAAGTTATAACTGCTGTCGTCACCCATCCGAAGTATGGTAGAAATACTGCAGCTTATCGTTAGCATAATGTTTATGCACCGGAATAATTAGTCTTGCTGTACAAACTACAGCCCTAAAATCTTCTGTTTTTTGTTTTTTCCCATCAGTAAGTATCTGATAACAAATTGTATGGTTACTACAGAAAGTTCTATCTCCACAGTTAATGTTAGGCTAAGGCTATTTAGCCCCAGTACTGTCTAATGGGGGCGGAACAGCTAGTTGGCTATTTTGCCCAGTCTGGGGTTGGATAACCTATTGGCTATTTTACCCCAGTTCTCCGTATGAGCAGCCAGACGGCTATTCAGCCCCGGTCTGGGGGTGGATATCCTTTCGGCTATTTTGCCCCATATCAGTCCGGCTGATTGGTTGCCAAAAACAAGATGCCTTAAAGTGTGTTGGCTAGAGGTGAAAGTGTTCACACAAAGAACTCATTCTAGGTAACGCAATCTTTAATTGCAAAATTTAAGTTTTTGCTGAAAGCTCATAGAGAAGGTGAAACTCTAGAAATTTCCGCATAGTCACCATATTTTGCGAAATTTTGTGGAAATCGTCTATATCCGGCATCTTCGCTGTATTGCTGACGATCTGGAATATATTCGCTACATTGCTGCGAGGGTGTCATCCAGATGGTGCTCCTGTCTTTTGCTGTCGGAGAGGCCCTGAATGCTTGCATCGACATATCGTCCGTCGAAAGTTTCCACTGTGATGTATCCTGGAAAAGTGACGACAGGGGTTGCTTTTGGTTACTCTACCTGGACTCCATGGGAGCTGCATCATTGTCTTTAATTATTGTTGGCTTAAAGAGAATGCTTCAGCGGCGCTTGATTTGCTAAGGAATGCTAATAGTTTGGTGGCGTTTTGTGCGGCCTTAAGACTAACGGCAAAATTAACAATATTAGCGCTCACCATTTAAGAATTTTGAGATTTTCAACGGACAAGAACCTGTGACTAAAAAACTGAGATAAGGATAACCGTTGTGACTGGCCTATTTTTCGGTGATTACGATTCTTGCCGTCTGTGCACGCACCCACAATCTCGACAATATCGCGAATCAAAATATCTACTCTTGAGTAGATATTTCAGCTAAATCTCGAAAATCCACATCCAACTCAACACAAGCGCAACATCAGCTGCTACAATTATCGGCACGTCTCACGATAAGCTGCCACATGAAAATGCATGAACCATGAATTATGTGTAGCTATTGGAAATTTTTTTCATGTGTCAGAGATTATGGTTTTGGTTATAATCTCGCAGATATACAGCCGTGTTTGATGGTGAGCGCTACTACTAATTTTAGGCCATGGCTATTTTGCGGCACACTGCGCCGGAATATCCAGTTGGCTATTTTGCCGCACTATGGTGGGCGAAATAGCTTATTGGCTATTTTACCGCACACTGCATGAAAACAGCTCGTTAGATATTTTGCCGTACTATGGACGGGAATTGGATAATTATAATAAGGGGCACTCGGTAATAAGGGGCATCTCTGCCAATACATTCCCTTAAACTGCCGCACCAGTTATCGGTTCCCACGGTATCAGATTGCCCGCACTGACAACCAGTGCGGGTAATTTTTTTGGATTCGCTATCTCTTAAAGAATGTGTAACGAGCGTGCAAATTACGCTACGAGTTTGGATATTCAAGCAAGTAAAAAGTATTTTAGGTTGTACCGCAAGTTACATTAGCATACAATAGACGAGACAAGAGCCATTGTCGCCTTCCCTCAGGTGAACCTACGATCAAAAGTCGATTCCATTAGACTGGAAAGTAATGTTGGTGTTATTTGAAATTTGGGCAAAGGTGAGAAATAATTTTTTTATATATCGAGATTTTATCAAAATAATTTTGTCCGCCATAACGAACTAACACCAGACAGATATTAGTCATTCATTGCGACATTTGCGTAATGCGCATCTGTAACCGTCCAAAACGACCGGCGGTCGTTTTGGACGGTTACATGTCTGTAGCCAGCTGATACTTTAGTCAGACCGCACTTGAACAAACGGACGGAACACCCTTCGGACACGCATGGACAGCAACCTGAAGAAGAGCAAGCATCACAAACGCCCACTTGGTAAACCGGGCGTCCCGGTGGACACTGCGGACCAAGCCGAGCCGGTGAACCACCCGCAATCCGGAGAACGAATAGCGGAAACCGCAGTGGGTGGATCGTAACCCCACACGGCTGCCAGATCACCCGGCCCGGATGGAGCGGACCAGCTTACATCAACGATCACTCGGCAGAGTTCAACCGAGAGCTCAGTCGACCGTTTGACGGGCGAGTCGACCATACCGTCGCCGGTCGACACTGTTTGATCCGGATTTGTTCCACTGTCTCTGGTAGACGGAATCGACCCCAAAGGCGGTCAGTACTCGACCCGAACGAGCCGGTATTTCAGTCGCCGGTAGGACAGCAGTTCCAGAAACTTAGCGGGCCGCCGGACCAGGTCACCGATGGCACGATAGACGGGCAATCGTTCCATCTGGGAGTCCAGCTATCGGCTCACCGGCCGCCCAGAACAAGATCGACCGCATGAAGGCAAGCTGGGCGGAAAAGGATGCGACTATCAACACCCTGAAAACGGAGAATGCGGACATGGCAGAAATTACCAACCGACTCCAAAAACGGGTGGACACTTTTGCGAACCTGGGGGTCTACCTTAGGCAGGAATTCAGCAAAAGAACCGAAGCGTTAGAGACGCTACAGAGACAGCTTCGGACGGAAACGAAAGAAGGGACGCGTACAAAGAAAAGATAAAAAAACCTCTGGTCGAGTCAACCGAGTTCATCGCACTGACCGTCAAAGCCGAGGCAGGGCTCCGACTTAGTGGGGTTGCTTTCCATGCTGAACTAAGCTTGTGTGCAATACGGCCTGCTGATACATCCAGCCGATCGGCTGTCCAGATTTCATCCTTCAGTATTGCATCATGCCGGGCAGCTGTCCCGGCGAGAATCGCCGGGGCGCCTAAGCGCCCTTGTCGACGGGATGACCAGGTCGATGCCGACTGAGACCAACGACACGACCGGAAAGAGAAACTGAGAGGCCGGGCCGATGTCGATCGGATTTGACACAACGTTAGCAAATCGAGTAATCAAATCGGCAAATGGAATATCCGTGGTGGTTGTTTTGGGGATCCTAGCGGAAACCATCAGAGAATGCCCCCAATGCGCTAGCTGCTGCCGTCTTCGACTCAGCATCCGCCGCCAATGGTACAGCCAGGATGCATTGGTGCTCCTCTTTATAAGCAACAGCAGCCTGGGAAATTAAGCGCTCCTGTATATAGGACGACAGCGATAGCGGCGTCGGCGTTCCAGCCAGTCCAGATGGTATATCTGCAGCAGCCGGATGACCAGCAGCCGTCGATGTACCGGTTCGGACCAATATGTGCTCCGGTGCAGCAAGGACAGTTGAGCGGCCAGATGGAGTCTGTCCAGATGCGCAGACAGACATTCGGCAGCCGGGGCATGGTCACAAAATACCTGAACGTTCAGTAACTGTAGGTGGCTTACTCGACCGACGACCTCTACAAACCACTGGAAATAAATGGCGCGGGATGGACAAAGACGATCCGGGCGGCATGCTTGCGCCTATGCAGCGATTCTTAGCGCCGGGTGGCTGGGGTGCCCCTGTGCAGCTTAAACAAGTGCCTGTTGATAAGGTCATATCCGTGCGGCGGGTGACAGCCCCGAGTGACAGGATGGCGACCGAGCGGCTTGACCAGACGAAAATATGGATTTCCTCTAATGATAACGAATGACGGATTCGACCAAAGGCAGAACGAGACAATCAAACCGCCAGGCAGACTGCAAACGTTCGCAGACAATATGGAAAGCGAGTTCCTTGGGACAAGTTTACCAGACTGCCGGGATGGAGAAACTGACCACGCGGTAAGTTGCCGACATGAGATCCCGTGGTGACGACTGACTGAACTCCATCGGAACCAACCGCCGGTACGGTCGGTATACGGCGCAAGCCGTAATGGGCCCAACTCGCTTCAAACGGTTAGCATCGGCTGCTGCAGAGGTCGCGTTGGATATCACGGGTGAGCAGCATACTTATTCGACCGAACTAAGATTCCCGACCGCTCTAATTTGGACGTTGCAGCCCTGTTGCTGGTTTGCGCCCTAGCTTGCAAAGCGGCGAACGGCGAAGGTAGACCAACGGCGAGACCCGTGATCAACATTGACGATGACCATGCTACCGATTGAAGAAACTCGCCCGGCTGGGCCGTTCCCGGCTGGGCCGTTCCCGGCTGGGCCGTTCCCGGCTGGGCCGTTCCCGGCTGGGCCGTTCCCGGCTGGGCCGTTCCCGGCTGGGCCGTTCCCGGCTGGGCCGTTCCCGGCTGGGCCGTTCCGGCTGGGCCGTTCCCGGCTGGGCCGTTCCCGGCTGGGCCGTTCCCGGCTGGGCCGTTCCGGCTGGGCCGTTCCCGGCTGGGCCGTTCCCGGCTGGGCCGTTCCCGGCTGGGCCGTTCCCGGCTGGGCCGTTCCCGGCTGGGCCGTTCCCGGCTGGGCCGTTCCCGGCTGGGCCGTTCCCGGCTGGGCCGTTCCCGGCTGGGCCGTTCCCGGCTGGGCCGTTCCCGGCTGGGCTGGGCCGTTCCCGGCTGGGCCGTTCCCGGCTGGGCCGTTCCCGGCTGGGCCGTTCCCGGCTGGGCCGTTCCCGGCTGGGCCGTTCCCGGCTGGGCCGTTCCCGGCTGGGCCGTTCCCGGCTGGGCCGTTCCCGGCTGGGCCGTTCCCGGCTGGGCCGTTCCCGGCTGGGCCGTTCCCGGTGCGGTTCCGAGGGGTCGTCCTCCGGTCTGGAGCTCACAGATCAGGTGGGTACACGCCTCAAGAGGTTCGGCTGTCCATTTTTCTGGTAGGTCGACTTCGCTGTCCGTATTTCCTACGGACCATACTTCCGGTGCACTGTCGAAGGATGTTTCTGACGCTGACCTAGGATACATCATATTTGTGGTGCGACGTCTCGCTTTCCCACGTGGTCGGTTGGCCTTAGGATTAGTTAAGGCTCCGAACTTGATTAAGGCTCCAAACTCGACTTTGTCGCCGGTTGGACTACTGTCGCTCTGGTCTCACTTCTTGAACTAGATGGTCCAGGCGTGACTTCTACACGTCCAGGCATGACCGCACTTTTTGGGTCATGTGGCTTAGTCAGCGGTTGGGTGATAAACCAGGATCCACCGGCGGGCCGTTGGGCGGCCGGTTTGGGATCCATTGCGGTTAGGGACTTTACAAGAGGGTTAGGTATATCCGGCAGTTTTGGTTCCGATATTAGGTCAGGTAGGTTGCCGTTACTCCCTCACTTTAGGCGTTTCCCGCAGTTGGCTGGCCCGGTTAGAGCCGCCGCGGTTGCTGTTTGGCTTTGACTGCTGATCGGTCAATGGCGGAAAGGCGGTTCTTTCGTTGGCGGTTGTTTGTAATCCCCGCGCTCCATACCGTTTTGCGCCGCTTTGTCGATTTCCGCCACCGTTCCCATTTCCTGAGCTGGTGGACTGCCTTCGGCTACCATTCCACCCGTTGCCACGTTGTGGTCGGGGTTGTTTGGGTGGCACCAAGCCAAAGCGGTTGGAATTTACTGCCCCTGTCGGGAATCCCTTCTGGTATCGACTCTGCCAATCAAGGTACCATATCCGATTAGGATTGTCCATGTAATCTCTATTGGCGTGGCCGCATCCTTTAGTTTTGTGGTTTCCCCAGAGACAATAGTTGCAGATTATGGTTTCGTCTCTGGTCCACCGTTCGAACATGCGCTCGATCCGATCGATATACATGTCCTCTTGTTTGCGGGCCTCTTTGGAGTTTGGTGCTTGGTGTTGGCTTTGCGCTGCCTCGTTGGCCACGTCGTAAAAAGCCGCTATTGCCGCCGCCGCATTCCGCCTTCCCGTCGTATTCGGGTTTACCTGCTGTAAACTGCCGAATATAGTTGCGAAATTCTGTCGGAGACTTCGGCAGCCGGATGTTCAGGGCACGGCGAAATTCATGCTCAGTCGTATTGGCCTTCAGGAAATGAAAAGTCATGGTGTCGTCTAAGTTGGCGCGTGCCTGGAGAGGTAGGATTGCGTCATAGTATTGGTCTGGCGTCTCGGTTGGGCACATTCTAGCCCGGCTGTGGTTGGGCTTGGCCCGTTGGGGCTGCCGCTAGGATAGGAGGACCAATTAGGCTGGGTTGGCCTATGAATGACAGTTGCACCGATCTGTGCTTCCTTCTGTTGAACCGTTTGGTCCAATAGTCCTCCTTGTTGGGTCACCTGGACGAGAGTTTGATGATTCTCATACAGCAGGTGAAATCCGTTGCGCAGGCGGTTAATCTCGTCCTGCAGCTTGGACATGTCGTTGATAAGACGATCGTTTTCTGTCTGAAGGCGGTCCGCCTTAGAGTCAGTTTCGTGGATGATGATTCGACTTGCGGCCAGCCGAGCAAACAGTTTGTTTGTCTGTTGAGGGTTTATACCGGGCCCGCATTTTATCGCATTTTCTAATTATTTTGTAAATGAGTTGCCGCGACTTCAAAACAATCGTATGCAATTTATTGCCATCTCTTGCATCTGACCTTGGAGTTTATTATACAACATTCTCAACGGGAACATTGCGAAAGAGATGGCTACGAGCAGTTCATGATATTTTACCGGCGCACTCCCGTTTGGATTTCTATCCGATATCCCTGGTGAAGTTAACAACTGAATTTTTGCACATGACATACCAAAAAATCCAGGACTGGCCACGGCAATGTACCAACCTATAAAATTTTTTCCGTTACCTTCGAAAGTGTTATGGGGCTAAATAGCCGGAAGGCTACTGTGACGCCCACAATGGGGCCAAATAGCCAAGGACTATGAAACCCCAGTATGGGGCTAAATAGCTAACTAGCTATTCGACGGGCCCCACTGGGGCAAAATAGCCCAGTAGCTATTTTCCCCCCACACACTGGGGCAAAATAGCCACTCCGTTAATGTTACTGTTGATTCGTTCCTTGGAAATCTAACTGCATTTAACCTCCGTCTTACCTCCTCCTAGCGTTTCAATACCCAGAGAAAATGGGGTTACATCCACAAGGGTCAGTGCTTTGGCGTTTCCGGAAGGGTCGCCTGACAAACTGGCAGCGAAGACGGCTGCACCACACGCAACCGACTCATCCGGATGAATGTGTTGTAAAATATTTCGTTCAGGGAAAAATTCCTGTACCAGCTTCTTCACTTTTACTATGCGACTGGATCCACCGATCAGAATAACATCCTGGATTTCCTCTGCTGACAAAGAAGTTTCGCGTAATGCATCTTTAACCGGCTGTAGCAACCGGGAAAACAGTGGTTTACAAATTTCTTCAAATTCTTCGCGCTTTAACGTCCGCATGAATGGCTCGTTCCCAACAAAATTGGGTATCATTATTTTAGCCGACGTATTAAAGCTCAGGCTCTTTTTTGCTGTTTCACAAGCTTCCCTCAACCGGGTCACGGCTTCTTTGTTCAGGTTGAGTTTCTTGTCGGTAGTAACCTCTTCAGCTAAGGCGTTGGCTAACATGTTATCAAAATCTTTTCCTCCTAAATGCGGGTCACCATGAGTACCCAGAACAAAGAATTTCATCCCCGGTTCAACGGATAAGATAGACACATCCAGTGTACCTCCACCCAGGTCGAAAACCAGTATCTTCTGAGCGTTTTTATAGGCTTTGGTTGTACCATGGTAGATTGCGGCGGCTGTTGGTTCGTTAATCATTCGTAGAACATTTAATCCGGCGATCGTCGCGGCGTCCTTCGTTGCTTGCCGTTGTGCGTCGGTAAAGTAAGCTGGAACAGTTATCACCGCGTCGAATATCGGCTTCTCAAGGTAGGCTTCTCCGACATCCTTCATCTTCTGCAATACCATTCCGCTTACTTGCTCCGGGGTGACATACAACGAATGACCCTGATCGTGAATGAGAACATTCGGTTTTCCCTCTTTATCGACGACTTCGAACTGCCAGTTTTTTAGATCCTCCTGAACGATAGGATCGTCGTATCTCCTCCCAATCATTCGCTTCGCATCACATATTGTGTTCTCTGGGTAGTAAGCCCACTGATGGAGGGCGCCTTCCCCCACGACCTTTTCGCCATCGTGATAGCAGACAATACTGGGTGTTATGCGGTTGCCTTGGTCATTCTGAATTGCTTCCGCTCGCCCGTTTCGATACGCGGCTATACAGGTAAATGTTGTACCCAAATCGATACCGACGGCTAGTCGCTCGTGACGAGGCATGGCTAGCAACACGGAAAACCAAATACAAGGACGTGAGCAGCACTCTTAATAATTCATGAACACCATGTGGCAGTTTTGAGCATTTAATTGGGTACCACGTGACGCTGTGCTGCATACAGCTGCCAATGTCGGGCTTACGACAGCAGCGAAATGTACACGGTCTAATAGCGCAATCAACTGCTTTATCTGTTATCTCTGCTAATAATTGTGATGATTCGGAAAGACGAACAACTTTCTTGGCGTTGATCAAAGCGGCTGTTTATGCTGTTGCATACTCGTATACCAAATAATGCTTGGAGCATCATAGCATGATCATTTAAAAGAAGAACTACTGCTATTAAACAATCAGCAGTTCGCACTACTGATAACGGCAAATACTGCACGAGCTATGTGGTGATTTATTGCTCGGTTCTCCAAAGTCTAAGCTGATATGTCTGCGCAGTCACAATCCAGATACACGGCAAAAAGGGAAACATGTTTGTGTGCTGCATGAAAACTACAACGTGTGCCTTACTTCTGGGACGTGGACCCGTATTAAATTTTAAATTTTGAGTGTTATCTACGAAGCGATAATAAGCAGCAACTGTAGTGCGCTGGAAATCACGTGTACATGATTATGTTGCCCCCATGCAGATGAATGCTTAAGAGTGTTATCAGAAATGCGGATTTCCGCAGATCTGACATGTACCGGCGGTCCGGCGCTGTAATAATTATGTAGGCCGGAAATACAGCAAACGAAGGTTAGCAAACATTAATGCCGGCTAATCTAACAAGTTTACTTTTAGACGGCTTTTACTGTTTCGCATTTCGAAACGTTGGTTCGTGCTCTGTCTACAATGAAGTCTCTGGAAAGAAAAGCTATTGCTTTGCAATTAGGTGCAAGCTGTTACCGCGTTAGCTGTTTGAATAATGGCGCAGCAATGCAGCTGACAAACGGGTTTGGAGACACTGAAACCACCAGCCACTACGCCAAAGTAGGAAGCGAAAGTTTATACGGAAGTGACGCTCGCAGCTATGCAAGTATCCAGGCAGAACATGTATCCACGGGAATTATGGAAAAATTTAGAGATGGATCGGGCTCTAAAGTTACTACTGCCCAGACTGTCCTACTGGAAACACTAACTCCACTGTTGCGTGATACGATATCCAACTGGAATCCTGGCGCTACCGTGATCGCTGCTGTGGTTACAACAGCGTACGAGTATTTAAAACATAACGAACGCGCTGTTCAACAGGCCGTACGGGATGCTTTGTTAAAGGTTTCGTTGGTACACCCGCTTATACTGACCTTACCAAAATCTACAGCTGCCCTACTCGGCTATGCGTTGGGGCGAGATGAGTGTGAAGATGGTACTTACCTTGTAATTGTTGCTGGATCAGTGCTAACAGAAGTAAGTGCTTTTGAAGTTCGCGGTGAGATTATTGAACAACTCGGGCAGTGTGCGACAGCGAAGATCGGCGGAAAAAACTTCGACGACGTTCTGGTTGAACACTGCTGCCGAGAGTTTCAAGCGCAAACTGGGATCGATGTCCGAAACAACACGACGGCAGTGAACAGACTTCGAATGCAATGCGAGAGCGCCAAAAAGAAGCTGTCGACGGCTCATCTAACAGTAGTGGAAGTTCCGCAGCTGGTAGACGGGCAATCACTAAAAGTGCGGATCAATCGAGAGCATCTGGAGCAGCCGATGGTACAGCCGCTGCAGAATTTTGTAGTGTGGTTAAAATCTGCGACAGATGGATATGCCTGCACATTTACAGCTGTGGGCACTGCCGGAGGCGCTTCCAGAACTCCGTGCTTTCAAGCAGCTATAAAATCGTTATTTGACCCGAAAATAATTAAACCGGCTTTCAATGCCATTGCCCACTGTGCCTCCGTGATGGGTGCTGCCAACTTAACATCGGTATTTTCCGACAAATCATTATTGCAACAAACACTGGGTGGAAAAACCTACAATTTAGCGGCTATTAGAGAAGCGATGGCAGCGGGTCATGAGATTATTAGTTTAGACGATCTATCGTCAAGCGAGAATAATAAGAGCGTTCCTGATAACGCAACCTTGGGAATGGAGAAACCCGTCTTCGACCCGGAAGTGCAACCGAAGTCTAGCCTGCAAAGCGCGCAGTTGCACAGCGAGGAATTCTTCGACCAAGTAACAGCAAGCAACGCAGTTAGAGGACAAACTACATCGCAGCACGCCACGGCACAAGCCATCACGAATGCAACAGTAGAATCTACGGTTGCGGTTCCTCCATCTCCGCCCAGCGTCCGATCAACAGATTACTTTTACACTGTCACAATTGTCGAAGCTTTGGTCACACGGCCACACAACCGCAGTTATTTTCTTCCAAAGCTCCATGAGAACGATATACGAGCATATCCAGCGGAAATTGGAATCGATGTCCCTGATACAGATGATCATAATTTAGAGATCATGGTACATCCCACCGACAGCAAATACGTACCAATATGTCTTTCCAGTGAAGATTTCGGCAAAGCGCTTCATATGTCCGATGCAAACGCTCTCGGGTTTTGGATGAACAGCAATCCGCGTGGAACCGAAATTCTTAGCGATGGCGTTCGTTTGCGATTCTATTTCGTCTTCAAATCCGCGGCGGAATGTCACAAAGCAAAACGCATCTTGAAGCAGGCCCTCGGGCGAAATTCGTACTGGTGCCCGGGAATGCGATGCGAGATCCAGTGACCCGTAATAATTTGTTCTGTACAACCGCTTCCGGTTTTAACTCTTACCTGCATTGATGTGGCCGTAATTTTGGGTGCTAATTTTTTGTTACTAATTTTTGGCCGAAACCATTGCCCCATTGACTGCGTACAATAGACACATTCCTTCGTAACATTTCCAAAAAACGTATACTGACTGCAATTATTTACGCATAATAGCTCTGCAAATCGGTAAAGTTCTGCATAAATCGTGCGTTGCAAATGAGCTACAGTATCTTATATCGTTATAAAAATGTTATTATGTGAATAATATTGTTATTCTACTTCACTGAATGTTGTATTTCGTGTACTGCTCGCTTCTGCAGATTACGTTACCGTTACATGTGTAGTCATGAGGAGTCGTCGCTGATGTTTCATACGAGTACAAACATGAACTAAGCGACTGTTATAGTTCCACTCGTTTGCTACTACACGTTTTATTCTAAACGTTTAATTTTAAAAAAGTTCGTATCTGTACTCGTACAATCTTGGAGGGCTCTGTAGGCTCTGTGGTCACTTATAAAATTAAGTATTTCTATGTAATAAGACGGTAACTAAATAAAACTGAAATTATTATTGTGGTGCCTCGTACCAAGTACGCCGTAGCCGTAGGCCAAGTACAATTTCTTCAACGCATTCAAGAGCGAAATAAATATGTTTTAGAATCAAATGTCAGTCTTTTGTGGTGGACCTCGAAGAACACCTTCTGCTATAGAAAGGCTGCCGTAGTAAGTAGTTACTATGGTTCTCCATGCCGCGGGTAGCTGCGTAATGCAAGGGTACCCATCTCCCGGTCGGATTCGCCGAAGGATGATCCGTCCGGGTCGCACTCATATCTGCCTGCTCTCCTATCTGATCGCACAACATCGTCTCCTGGTCGATAAGCATCGACTTCGAACTACACCCGTATAAAATCATACAGTCGCTACGGGCGTGTTCGGCATGCACTTCTGACGTGTGGGAGTAGGATCACGAACTGAACTTACGTACGGAGGATGACTGTCCGCCTTCCACCTAAAACACAAGAGATAATCTAGTCAATCGATGCTGTGATTTGCTGTTCTCTTTTGCTAGCAATGACTGTGATGTCATAACTCGAAGTCTATATGAGCTACCCACCCTTATATCTATATAAGCTACTTCCCTAATATCGGCGCGGTTGGAAATCAGTAGTGAATCGGATGATTTCTGACTTGTCTAATGACAATTTCCTTGAGTTGTGGGCTGTGATGAATTAGGTAAAGAGATAGCTATACGTGTTCCTTCTCATGTACATGATCGCCCTTTCGGATTATTGCATAGAATACAGGTTTGCTCCTGTCACAATCGACCTAGCTCTTGTCTGATCCACGCAGCACCTACAACCGGAAGTTATGGTTGGAGTGTTCCTGCTTAGGGATTCCTGATTTCTGAGTTTCTGTTCGTTTCCCCGTTTTTGTCTTAATTGTCCAGTTACAGTTGAGACGAGTTTCCTACCGACTGAGCATATAGGCGTGGAAGAGTAAAGATAGTTCGTGGAAGCTTGACCGGTGTGAACACTTATACACTATACTTCTGCAATCCACGGTACGGTAGGGTGCTTGTAACGCCGCATTTGACCGGTTGGATATGCCCTGAAGGTTCCTAAATTCATTTGGCCGGCTGGAACATATCATCGTCCCAGATCCGGGTAAAACATCCGGGGTGTGAGCTCTATTACATGCCGCTAGCAGGATTATTTCGTTCAAGTACTCCTGGGTTCCCGGAATCTGGTCTGACTTTTTCCGAGGCAACAAGCTCCGCCGAGTCAGTTGAAATCGGTCTCCGGCTCTAGTTAGCCGAGTCCAAGCTTTATGCGCTGATGTCGTCGGTTTTGGACGCACTTTAAAGGCAGTAAAACTGCTAACACGAATGATACATGTACCGGAAGTGTTATGGAACATCCTTTCGGATGAACAGTTTAATTACAGGCAGCTTGTACATTTTTACGGGCCTTTGATAGTCACGGCTCTAGCCGCTCTACTGAATAGGTATGTTTACATAGAAGAGAGCGGTCTTATTCAGTCGTCATATATAAAAATCCCTCATGACAATAACCGGAAAGAAATCGCCAGCAGTATTGAAATTTCTGATAATTAATTAGAATACAAAGTTATGAGTAGCAAAACGCCATTCCGCAGTCGTGCATCGCTCTAATGAAATTCTCCTTGACGATGGCAGTCGGAAAATGAATGATAAAAAACAGTTCGAAATACTTCAAGTTAACCATATTCCGAGGATCGCCACAGCGAAGTTTTAAAGCAATTGTACACATATCCCTACCGCCAAAAACAGAGCGAGTCATCGTTTCTTCTATTTGGTCTTTCGAGAAAGAAACAGCATCTATACGTTTGTCCGTTGGTTTGATTTTCAAAGCGTAAACGCGAAGTGTGGTGTCATCGACGAGTGTTACTTCCGCGCTGTATGTGCCCCGGTGAGTTTCTTCTCGATCACCGATGCTAACCAGGAATTCGCTTACTTTTAGGCACGACTGGCGAAAAATCGGGGAAGCCTCAAATGTAATGTCTCTGCTTAGCGGATGTTCAAATAATGACTTCGTCCTTGCTTCGGCCGCAGTGAATAATACTGCTTCGGTAATTTGGTCGCCATTGCTTTCTTTGTGAATGGTAGGCAGCGGAAGGGCATCTGTTTTTCTGGACGCGATTGCTCTTTCTGAGTCGTCCTGCGGTCTGTTTGCATTTTTCCAACCTGCACTTTCAGGGCGTACTGATGGGGTTCTACCACTAGCTGCCGATGCGGCTGATGTGCGCTCCTGTGTTGGCGAAAGTATTCGTACAACTCTCACAGAATTGTCGGAAACTATGCTTGGGAAGTCCACTGCGGGTGCGCTGGAGGTTGTGGCAGTTTGTCTGCCTGAGTGTTCTGGCCAGTAATCTTGCTGCGCTTTTTCAGTAACAATTTGCGGGTGTGCATTCATGGCGGTTGCTTCGCATGTTGCTCCTGATGATATAATTTCTTCAATAGGAATTTTCCGTGAGGTCCCAAGGGGCTGTTGTACGCTTTCCGTTTTTGCTGGTGGTATACTGTTCTCATCAGCACACTGAGTACAGTGCTCTTGTTTCTCGACGGAATTTTTCTCATCGATAGGTGCACTCGCGGGACGGTGACCTGTCATGGTGGTTTCTGCTAGCTCACTCTTCCCAGCAGTCTGGTCCAGTTGCGGAGTTGATACGATTTGTTTTGCGATCCCTGCTTTTACAGCCTCAAAATCAATACATTTGTCGCTAAATTTTTCCGTAAGTCCGGCATCGGGACTGCAAAGGTAACGAGCCCAGTATGTTGCCCCATTGACAACAGCAAGATGGGCGTAAGCACTGACGGAAGTCCGTAGTAATCCAGGAAATATTTCACTTACTGCACGTTGTAACTGTGGTATTCGGGATGCTCCACCCACGAAAATAACTTCCTTCAACGTCAGCGACTTTCGAAATGGGTATGTTGTTTTACCCAACCAGCTGGAAAACTGGGATACTGTCCCTTGCATATCGACATCCAGCTCACTACGGGTGACTTGATATTTCAACTTCTTGTCTCCGACTAATCGAAGTACTTCGACCGGCACAAGTTTTGCTGCTGACAGCCGGTCCTTGGCTTTCTGACACTGCACACGCAACTGCTGCAGGGCCCCCGAATGCTGCCGAAGATCGATGCCGTGTTCTTTTTCGAATTGTATGCAGCAACTTCTGACAATAGCCTGATCGAACATATCACCACCTATCTGATGCTGATAAATCCCTCCTTGTCGTCTGGCAATCCCATCTTTTACCTGATACACTGCCAATTCAGACACCGCAGCCCCAACCACTAGAACGACGTATACGCCATCTTCGCATGCTTCACGATTCATGCCGCATCCTAACAACGCCGCCGCTGTCTTTGGTATAACGGTAACATGATGGAGAGACAGAAACTCCAGGTGACGACTAAGCGCTTCTGTAATGTGACGTTCAGTGTGCTTCAAATGGAGGTTTGCTACCGCAACTACAACGTTGACTATCGTGGTTGATTGGTCAAAGCCTTCTTTTATCCCGTCAGTTAGCGCTTGAATTGTACCGTTAAGAACTCCCACCGGTTTCATGGCACTTGTGGTTAGCAGCTGGAGACGATTATCCACATTATAGCTATCCAGTTTGGCGGGCAAGGCTACGGCATCGCTAAAATATTTCACGATCCCTCGGATGCACGTTTCAGGGTGAATGCTTGCGTAGCGTAATGCGTCGTCACCGAATAACTGGACTGCGCCATCTATACCATAATAGGACGGTGTAACTTCATTGCCGAACGCATCCCGAAGGATTTCTGGGACATTGTAAACTGATTGCAGGTGAGCCACCCGATAGTTGCTGGAACCAAGCTGTATTCCTAGAGTAGCACATGCTGGTGCCGGCGAAATCGTGGAATCCATAGTCTACGAACAGCGCGTAATAACAACAGCTTTTCAACAATTTTGTCGCAATCTGCACGTACGAGTACATAGGCGAGCACACGCAATAAAATTCAATCAAACAAATAATTTATCCCGGCGAGAACAGTCTTGTGAAATTCCACAATTACAGTATAAGCACAACTTACCACTTTCTTGAACCCGTAAGCTGAAAAATTTACTGATTTGCTGATCAAAATATCGGAAGCGACCTAAATACTGCTTTATAACTGATATAGCAATTTTCTCTATATTCGTATTGTGTATACGAAGGCACTGTGCTATCGCGTTTTAATTGTCAGCAAACATACTCTTTCGCTCAATACGAGTACAAACGCTATTCCGATAAGTGATAAGCAGTATGGCAGAATAATAAGCCTATTTTCACTACCTAGTTAATGTAATAGACTATGAGTACTGCATTTTCGGTGCTGATGACATGAAACACTGAGAGAATGTAGGTGACCTGCCGGCCGGAAACGCAAGCCAGATGAACGCGATTTTGTTAGTACCGTACACCCCAGATCTCTCCATCCCGTGCACATCATAATTATTATTATTACTTGAATAAAATTTAATAGGTGCTGGCAGGTTTGCGGAACGTGCATTTTATCATTTTGTTAAAAAAGCTTTCAAAAGTTGTACGTAAATAGACTGGGTAGTGGCCGGGTACTCATTCAAAAACACTAAAACGCTCGAAAACGCTTCAAGTACAAGGACGCGGTAGACATCTACTAAAAACTCGCTCTTTGTCCACGGAAGTCGGGAATGTTATTATGAAAGCCAAATTGCAGTTTTGGAAAAGAAATGGGCTTCTTGGATCAAAAGAGCTCTTAAGTCTCACGACCATTGCGTTCGGCTCACAGCTATGCAATATCTCCACTATGTGATCCGATGGCAGCCAGATCGTCGTCGGCATTGTACCGTATTCAGACCAGTGGGTCAAGGAAATTGAACTAAACGGCCGTTGGTCACTTTTATGCAGTTGTAGATGCGCGCCGCATATATAATAGCGTGGAATAAGAAACGGGGGCGAATAGTACACGCTGCATTCCACGAAACTGCAGGGCTCTGTAGCTGTCTCGCCAGTCCAGTCCGCAGGCGGTAATACATAGTTCCAGGCAGTAATAGTTGTTAACCACCACTCGTACGCTGGAATTTCTTGCGTCCCGTTGTGTAGTTGTATTTTCCTGTAGTGCAATACACTGACCGGTGCAGGCGATGCGCTCACATGGGGAAGATCAGTAATCACCGATGGACCGAAACAGTTTTTCTTTGTATTTTGTGACTGTTCAATCTTAGGATCGCAAATATTAAGCGCTCCAAAGCTGTTTGCGAAATCTTCGAGTTCCTGCAGCTGTAAATTTTCGCTCTGTATAAGGTTGTTTTCTTGATGAGTAGTCTGTTGCAAGAAAGTGTGGGCATCCGTTGATTCCTGTTCACTCTGCTCTGGCTCCTGCAGAAAGGTTGTTCGATCTGGATAGGGAACATTGTCAACAGCTGTATCCCGATTCCCATTCACATTGTTTGTGTCAGAGCGAGATACAAAATTTTTAGTATCAAAAGATGAACTATCGCCCACTTCAACTGGAGCACAGTTAGACGCCAGCTGTCGATCTTCTGGGTTGGACGACTCATGATTCTCTTCTGTAGCACTGCTAGCCCGCTCTGCTATCCCGTCAGGTTCTTTTTTTGCTTCTGTCAAGTCGGAAGTGCTTTGTGCAGTCACATTCTCGTTCGCTTTGTCGGCAAGAGTAACGGAATTATCCAAAATTAGTTGATCATCGTTAGGGGAGTATCCTTTTACGCGTAATCGCATGGCATGAAGGTCAAAATAACCAGCTTTTAATCTTTTAATAAATTCGCTACTTTGCCCTTGTGCATAGCGTGATATATAGCTTGAGCCATTGGCGGCAGCCATATGCGCGTACGGGATAATGGATTTTTGCACGAGACCGGGAAATTTGGTATTAACAATGTTTTGCACCACGGGAATTCTGGACGCCGCTCCTACCAAAATCACCCCTGCCAAAGGATCCTTAATATTTGCCATCTCTTTACAGAGCCAGTCAGAAAATCCGGATGTTTTATTTTCCATAGCTTTCTCCATATCAGTTCGATTGATGTGTAGCCTAAATTTAAAATCGTGAACAAGCCTAGGTATTTCGATCACCACTACTTTAGCCGCGGATAGTCTATCCCTGGCTTTTTGACACTGTTGCCGCAGCCGCTCCAATGCACCGGAATGCATCTTTAGATCGATGGAATATTGTGCCTTGAATTGTTTGCAACAGTGCTCAACGAGCACATCGTCAAAATCGTCACCACCGAAATAATAACTCACAGGCTCCACATTCCGTACTGCGACACCGTTTTGCACTCCGTACACCGCTAATTCCGTAACCGAAGCACCCACGCATATAACAGCGTATACACCGTCTGCGCATGTTTCTCGACTCATTGCAAATCCGGCGAAGGCTGCCGTTGTTTTGGGTACAAGTATGCATGTTTGTATTTGATGGTCTTTTTCCGTTAGACCATTCGCCAGTTTACTGATTCGCTCCTCTACTGATGCCAAATAAATATTGGCGATAGAAAATACGATAAATGGTAATGTGATCCCTGGCTGCAGTTCCTGCTTTTCTGTCGGCGTCAGGGCTTTGATTGTTCCACAAAGTGCATTATCTAGACGCAAATTCTTTACGGTGAATTGTCGTGCCGAAGAGTTCGGCTGTACATCACTTTCCGCTTCCGTGGCCGGCGCATTAACAAAACCTTTTACGACACCTTTGAGGCAGTTCTCTGGATGAATGCAGGCATAATTTTTGGCGTCATCCCCGTACAGCAGAATACCGTCATCCACACCAAAGTACGCTGGCGTTGCTTCATTTCCAAATGCGTCCAGTACAATTTCCGGGCTACTGCTTTCCGGTGTTAACTGACTAACCCGGTAACAACTGGTGCCAAGTTGAATGCCAAAGGCGATACTGGTTGATGTAAAGACTAGTTTTGTGGACTCCATGTAATGAGAGTCTCAGATGCAAGCGGGTACAGACGTCTAAACAAAATAGTGAAAATCAGTTTATATGTTTATATGTAAATTCCGTAGCACGCGGCATGGTGACAAATGAAGAAATTGTGTCGTACATCAATCTACAGAGTATTAATATCGCTACATATTGATATTCGCTTACCTCTACAAGAAATAATAAATTATATCCCAAAGAAGTGCCTATATGTAATTAATGCACGCTATCGGTTAGCATGCAGCATGTGAAAAGGAGAGATTGAACAGGAACTATCAAACATGATAGAAGTACTTCGCTAGCGCTGCTTGAATCATCGTTTCATTCAGCCGTACCGGTAAATCATGCATTGATCACATTTCAATATTCAGCAACATTTACAGGCTGCCGGCACTGAGAAAAGAGGTGCAGGTTTATTGGCATAAGCAAAAAGATTAAGAAAGTTATTATGTGGTGTGCAGATAATGCAGATAAGCAATGTTAGCGTTAATACTGATAACTGCTTTCTGTAAGCTAGCTATATGGAGTTACGTCGCTATAATACGTCGGAGTTCGTACGCTGATCTTGCGAATGTTTAGCGTTTGGAATACTGTAAGTACAAAATACACTGATGAGAAGCCATGGCGCCCACCCAGTGCGATGGATATTTAAATCAATAATCAGAGCGTAAAACCAGTACGGAATTCCAAGTGTTCACTGATTACCGTAACATTTGTCCGTTGAATTTTCGATTTATTCTCCAAGCAGACTCGTATACTTGCAGGAAAGAACGACTAAATTAATTATTTATAAACCGGTTACATAGTGTAATAAGTTCAATTTTTAAATCGAAAAGCACAACACAAGCTACTTAGTCACAATGTTTCGCGGTATTCTATTGCTACAAGAACTGCTTGAATTATTTTGATTGCTTCCATGTGAACGGTTTGCTGGTGTTACGTTAAACGCACAAGAATGGTACGAAAATGACGGAACGCTTCTTGTTGCTTAAGAATAATCGTGGCTTTCTTGGCATGACAATTTTCGCTAATCCAGTCTTCCAGTTCTTGCAAGTTCTGCATAGCACGTTGATATTCTTGCGGAGGTAATGTTGTTTCACTGTGCTGCAGTGTCTGTCGCACCGACTGTGCGTACTCCTTCAATCGCTCCGTTAGCTTTTGTTGCTCCGCTCGGATTTTTGCTTGTGGCACACCAGCCGAAAATTCCCCAGCAATCCTCTCGATTTCCGCCGCCGACAGATTGTACCTGTCATTGTCCAACACCACTTGGACCTTATTACCCGTCTTTCGATCAACCGCCGAAGCGTTCAAAACACCGTTAGGGTCGACATCAAACGTTACAGTGGCGGATGCAACGCCCTGCGGAGCCGGGTCAAGCCCGGATATTGTCATTTTCCCCAGCAGCCTGTTCTCGGCCGCGATTTCTGATTCTCCTTCGTAAATATTCCAGTTCATGATTATCTGGTTATCCCTGGTTGTAAAGTAATTGCCGCTACTCTGTGCCGGCAGTCGACTGTTTTTTGGAATCAGCACCGACAGCTCTACAAACAGAATCCGTTGAAAATATGTTGCATTAGAATGTTACAAAAAACTGCAAAGCCCAAAAGTTTCCATAGAATCGGCTTTTACTCGAACGGTCGTTTGTGTTAAAACCTTAGATTATGGCTTGTAGTTATTTGCATGTTTTTATAACATATAGGCTATTGGTTACGGATTTGAAATTACCCAGAATCGCAACTGCTCACTAAAACAGAAACAAATTTCAAGACACCAATCGCATAATTAACATCTAAAGTTTTGAAGGTCACGTTATTTTTCTTACTTCCGCTCACCACGTCCACCCCAAGGGTAAATGGTGTAACGTCTACTAGCGACAAGGCGTTGGCACCAGTGGATCCACTACCTAGGATGCTGTGAGCAAAGACGGCAGCTCCACTGGCCACTGACTCATCGGGATGAGTTCCTTGTAGTAATATTTTCCCAGCAAAAAATTCCTGTATGACGGTTTTGACTTTAGGAATCCGGCTGGACCCTCCTACCAGCACCACCTCATGGATATCGTCCGCCGTCAAACCAGTGTCTTGTAAGGCGGCCTTGACGGGTGCCAGGAGCCGGTCGAATAACACACTGCAAACGCGTTCGAATTCCTCCCTCGCCACAACACGAGTGTAATTCTGATTGTTGGCAAAGTTAGGTATAAGAATGTTAGCTGTAGTATTGAAACTCAGCCCCTTCTTAGCCGTTTCGCAACATTCTCGTAATCGTGCTATGGCTTCTTTATTCAGTCGACTTCCGTTGCGCTCGAAATACTCCTCGGTTAAATATTGTGTCAGCAGATTATCAAAATCTTTGCCACCTAAATGCGGATCGCCATGGGTTCCCAGCACAATAAATTTCATGCCGGGCTCAGCCATGAGAACCGAGATATCCAGTGTGCCGCCTCCAAGATCGAAAACCATAAGCTTCTGGGCTGTCTTGTATGTCCTATTTACACCGTGATAAATAGCTGCGGCGGTTGGCTCATTAATCAGCCGCAATACATTGATGCCGGCAATGGTAGCAGCATCTTTCGTTGCTTGCCTCTGTGCGTCGGTAAAGTATGCCGGCACCGTTATCACAGCGTCGTAGATCGTTTTCTCCAAGTATAGTTCGGCAATCTCTTTGAGTTTGTGCAGTACCATCGCACTAACCTCTTCCGGGGTGACATGCAGCGTTTTCCCACCTTCCTTAATAAGAATGTTGGGCTTACCAAACTTATTGACAACCTGGAAACTCCAATGCTTCATGTCGCTCTGTATTAGAGGATCGTTAAATGTTCGTCCGATTATGCGCTTGGAATCGTATATAGTGCTCTCCGGGAAAAACGGCGCTTGATGCACAGCTCCCTCTCCTACGGTCTTTTCCCCATTATGATAGCACACAACACTCGGTGTTATGCGATGTCCTTGATCGTTTTGGACTGCCTCGGCATGCCCCTTCCGGTACACAGCGATGCAGCTGTACGTGGTTCCCAGGTCGATTCCAACCGCAATACGTTCGTCACGAGGCATGATCAGTGTTTAAATAAAATGACACTTCGATTCGATTCAGTTCTATTCAAAATTTTAGCGTCCGGGTGTGCTGCGAATAAAATTATTATTGTGCGTTTCTGGTTAAGACTACGATTGTCTGGCAGGCTTTAACGGCTAATTGAAATTAACGTATGTGTGTAGCAAGTACGTATCGAGCGTGTAAATTAAAGCCGCTTCGAAGCTGAATTATAACATTTTATCGTTCAACGGACTAAAGAGTGAGTGTACGTACCCAGAAGCTGTTTACTTGTGTAGGTAATTAAATAATTCGCGAGTGTATGCTTATCGGTAGGAAATGAAATTGGCTTAGTCACATATTCCTTAGCGTCGCAGCCAAGAACTGCAAAATTTGCGAACTGCAAACTAGAGCGTTTGTTCCTTATCGCCACTGCTGATAAAGTAACAGCGATATAGCCAACCATTCGTCCACTCCTTCAGTTTGTTAATGCAGTAGAAGTAAGTATCATCAGCGTTATCTTCATTTGCGAATTTGATTATGATTGCCGGCTAATGGTGAATGTCAGACCGGTAGCAGCCGGCACCCGGAGTAAACGTACTTGTAATTTATGAGCAAGCTGCTGCAGTACAGAGTAGTAGCTGAAAATTAATAAAATTAATAACATCCCTGTGACTGTTTCCGAGCATATCATATTCAAGGCTGTAAGTCTAACGAACTGTAAAGTTATACACAAGTTATTTGCTTCTACGTTTGCTGCAGCAAAAAACATATCGATCTTTCAAAATAAAAAATATCAACAACATTATTAGGAAAGAACCCTGGTTGTAATTAATGGTTGCTGCAATTACTCGATTCACAAATTCCAAAAATAATAATTTAAAAAGCAACTTTCCAGAGAGTTTACCGAAGTACGACTAAACGTGCCATGACCTTTTGAAACAAACGGTGAACCTCTTGTTGTTTCATAATTATAGCAGTCTTCTTTGCTTCTTGATTGCTCTTAATCCATTTTCTCGCCGCATCCACATTTTTGCCAATTTCATTCGTTTCCTTCGAAGTTAAGTTATCTTTGTTTAACTCTACTGCACTGGCAACCGTCGCGACATATTCGGCTAGTCGCTTGAGCAAAATCGCTCGTTCCCGCTGTATTTGCTCATCCGGCGATCCGACAAATATTCCGTCAGCGATCCGTTGAATCTCAGCTTGGGATAAATTGTACTGGCCGTTGTCGATTTGTGCTTGCACTTGTTTCCCACTATTCTCGTCCTCGGCTGAAACATTCAGAATCCCGCTGAAATCGATGGAAAAGGTAATGATCACCCTGGGTGTGCCACGGGGCGCCGGATCTATGCCGGTTAATTCTACTTCTCCCAGTAGGCGATTGTCGGTGGCCTGAGTGGATTCACCTTCGAAAATTTGTACCTTTAAAGAAGTTTGATAGTCCGTGACAGTGGTACAGAAGCGGTAGTGCTGCGCCGGAATTTGCGTATTCTTTGGGAAAAACACTCCCATTCCTAAAAATTTAACACGGTGGATTACTGCACCGTGAACCGTAGTAAAGGTGCCAGCGTTAAAAGCAAAAGATGTTTTTTTACATCTGTGGTGATTCACGACAAGTTAAAACCATCACAAGGACATACAGTACTTACCGCCTCCGTGAGTTTTTATTCCCAGGGAAAATGGAGTGACATCAATTAAGGATAACAGTGGCTTTTTCCCGTAACGCAGCTCCATGATGTTATTAGCCACAATCGCTGCTCCACAGGCAATGGACTCGTCAGGATGGGCGCTTTGCAGGATTGGTTTCCCTGGGAAATACTGACCAATAACTTCTTTCACCTTTGGAATCCTACTCGAACCTCCGACCAAGACGACGGAATCAATGTCGTTTGCATTCAGGTCCGCACCCTCCAAGGCTCCTTCTACCGGAAATATCATATCCTCCCAAATGTTCTCACAAATTGTTTCGAATTCGTCCCGTGTTAATGTACGTCGATACCTCTGACCTTCGGTAAAGTTCGGGATAATCAGGTTTGTTGACTTGGAGAAACTCAGCACCATCTTAGCTTTGCTGCATTCTTCGCGTAAAAGCTGAATCGCCACAAGGTCATCCCGCAGACTAACCATGTGCTGCTGTTCGTACTCTCTAATCATGAAAGAAAGAAGAATATTATCTATATCTCGCCCCCTAAATGGGGATGTCCGTGCGTTGATAGGACCGTGAATTTCATATTGGGTTCCGCTAGAAGAATGGACACATCCAGTGTCCCGCCACCAAAATCAAACACCAGCACTTTCTCAGCTTTGTGATACGGTTTCTCTTTAGCATGTGCAATCGCTGCAGCAGTTGGTTCGTTAATCGTCTGCAGAACGTTCAATCCGGCGATTGCCGCCGCGTCCTTTGTTGCCTGGCGCTGAGCATCCCGGAAGTAGGCCGGGACCGTAATTACGGCATCGTAGACGGGACACTGGAGATACATCTCCGCCATGTCTTTCATTTTCCTCAGAACTAACGCGCTTACGTGCTCCGGTGGAATCAGCATTAATTGGCCGCTGTTATTTATCAGTATGTTCGGTTTGCCCTTTTCGTTGACAACTTGAAAGTTCCAGTGCGGTCGGCTGGACTGTATGAGAGGGTCATCGTAACTTTTACCCAGCATGCGCTTTGCATCGCAGACGGTTTTGTCGGGAAACACAGTTGCCTGGTACAAGGCACCTTCTCCTATAACGGGTTCATCGTCGTAAAAGCCTACGATGCTGGGAGTAATTCGGTTGCCTTGATCGTTAGGAATGGCCACTGCGCGGCCATTCTCAATTACCGCCACACAGCTGAACGTCGTTCCGAGGTCGATACCGATGGCAATGCATTCGCTCATTTCAGCAGCCATGCTGAATTAGCTCCCAATTATTTCTGTCAAATAATGGCTTTGCGGTAAAGCGTTAAAGCTACATGGATAATTTCCGAATCTGACGTTAATGTGTGTAAAATGTGAACTCTTTCAAACTTTTCTACTACTGTAATCAGTTATTTTTCGACACCTATCATACGCGTTGGTATCTGTCAGTCGCTCAACATAATTATCTGAATCCTAAAATTAAAATGATTTCCTGTCAAAATATTTGACAGGCAACTTACGTTTGATGCAGAACCAAGAAATTCAAAACTGCTCAGCTGGAAAAACGCAGCTCAACAGCCGGTGCAATTGTATTCCGAGATGTGGCTTTGCGTTAAAGCTACATGGATAATTCTTCCTGAAAGACTACCTGCTTTGTGACCCAAAATTGCAAGGAGCATCAACAAAGCTGACCGTATACGAGTACTGCAAATCAACACCAAAATAAACTGATTGTGCGTTATCTAATCAAAATTGGGTTAGCTATTAAATATGTTCAGCTGCAGTGCGCTGTCTATGAGTATGCTTATGCGGTAGATCAGGCGTAAACAGACTGCTGCGTAATAAATATGGTACTGAATAGTCATCTAATTATAACGAAGTACAGTACTACAAAACCCCAGTGCAAAAAATTGCCGGACATGACATTGACTGTTTGTTATGGAAATACCGGTATAACAGTAGCACAGTCAAAAATATTGGATGAAAATTGATGTGTTACTGCCTGATCGAAATGGCACAGTTATGCTGTAACGGACGACGGCGAATTCAACAGCATCACAGACTTAAGGTGAATAAAATTCCCAAGCATTAAACGATAAGTAATTAGAGTACTGTCATTAAAATTTGGACAATTTGCTAATTTGGCCGGTTTCTTTCCGACTGTAAACATTATCATAACCAGCGATAAGATTGCTGCCCTGCTCATAAACAGTAATTTGATGAGCTCGTATGAGTGTGCTGATTTGATCTGTACGGACTACGAGTGCGTGTACAGATATCAAATACACAGTTGCAGTCGTCATCGGGTTGCGGAGCGGTCACAAGTCATAACACTTTCTTCCAATTTTTAGGATCACACTCATCACGTCAGTACCCATACTTTACTATGCCAGCTGATAGCACTAATGACTCTTTCATCATGATATTAATGCCAAGATCGGACGAAAAACACGAGCAACCTCCTGGTGCTTTAGAATTATTGTCGCCTTCTTTGCTTCCCCACTACTTTGCATCCATTCGTTCAACTTATTCAGCGACTCCTGTGCACGCGTAAGCTCCTGCTGCGAAAGCTTGGAATTTTTTCTGGAGATTTCCTCAGAAACTGATGTCTTGTACTCGGTCAGTTTTGCCCACAAGACTCGGCGTTCGGCTTCCAGCTGCTCTTCAGGTGTTCCGACCGCCAGACTGTCCGCGATGCGCTGGATCTCTGCCGGCGACAGATTGTACCGATCGTTGTCGATCTGCGCGTCCACTCTGTTGCCATTTTGTCGGTCCAGGGCCGAGACACTCAGGATCCCGCTAGGATCCACATCAAAGGTCACCATGATTTGTGGTGTTCCCCGCGGTGCGGGCTCGATGCCACTCAGGTCAACTTCGCCAAGGAGCCGGTTGCTCTGGGCTTCCGCCGCTTCGCCCTCGAAGATTTGAACTTTGACGGATTCCTGGTTATCGTACACGGTTGTGAATAAATGACTCATTTGGGCTGGCAGCCGGGTATTCTTGGGAAAGAATATTGCCATATCTGCAAAGCGATACTGGCACGATGGTATGTGATAAAACACTTGTAGTTCAATAGGCGCTTGCCGACAGAATATAAAAAAAATGACAATGTTCTTGCTTCACATTTAAAAGTTCTGAAATAGTTGACAAATAACAAGAAAATGTTAGCAGCTTAGCACGGTGCAAATTTACTGTACCACTGATAGTATGCAGCTGGTAATTAAATGGCTAAAGTAACTGATGCCGGTAATAACGCAGGTATTTAGCGTGACCAAATTACAAACCAGAGAATAGTGTTCTGTTACTTAAACATATACGAACCTCCTCCGTAGGTTTCGATTCCTAGCGTAAACGGTGTCACATCCACCAATGTCAAAGACTGTGCAGTCCCAGATTTATCGTCCATCAGCTTTGCGGCATAAATGGCGGCTCCGCACGCCACCGCTTCATCGGGATGTGTTCCCTGTAACAGTGTTTTTCCCGGGAAGAAATCCTGTAACAGCGCGTGAACTTTAGGGATCCGACTGGAACCACCCACCAGGACGACGTCCTCGATGTCGGCAATCGTTAAATCGGCGTCCTGTAGTGCCGCTTGCACGGGGACTAGCATACGGTCGAAAAGAGGCTGCGACAATTGCTCAAACTCTTTCCGCGTTAAGGTTCTTTTATAGGTATCGTTTTCGTAGAAGTTCGCCACGACCAGTCTGGCTTGCTGCATAAAACTGAGCGACTGTTTGGCCTTTTCGCAATGTTCCCGCAATAGCTGAACCGATTCGCAGAATTCTTCCAGGCTGACCTTTTTCATTTCTTCGTATTCCTGCGTTAAAAACTTAACCAGTACATTGTCGAAATCTTTTCCACCAAGGTGTGGGTCTCCATGCGTGGCTATCACGGTGAACTTCATGTTAGGTTCTACATTTAAGATGGAGACATCCAGAGTACCACCGCCCAAATCAAAGATCAATATTTTTTGTGCTTTTTTGTACTTCTTTTCGGTTCCATATAGAATAGCTGCGGCCGTCGGTTCATTAATCATATGCAGAACATTTAATCCAGCAATAGTAGCGGCATCTTTCGTCGCTTGGCGCTGGGCATCCGTGAAATATGCCGGCACGGTAATAACCACGTCACAGATTGATGTCTCCAAATAGCGCTCTGCCGACTCTTTCAAATTGTTCAGCACCATCGCACTAACCTGCTCTGGCGTGATTAACATGGCCTCTCCGTTTTCCTCTACAACGATGTGTGGTTTATCGTTTTCGCTGACCACTTGGAAGCTCCAGTGCGGAATGTCAGCCTGTACCAAAGGATCGTCGAAACTCCGCCCAATCATCCGTTTGGCATCGCAGATCGTGTTGGTGGGATAAACACGCCATTGAAAGGCCGCCGCTTCACCGGTTAACCGCTCGCCATCGTGAAACCCAACGATGCTGGGCGTGATGCGGTGTCCCTGGTCATTTGGAATGGCTTCGGCCTTTCCATTCCGATATGCCGCTATGCAGCTGTACGATGTCCCCAAATCAATACCAATGGGGATTCTGTTAGGAGTTGCCATTTTTGCGGAAAAACACCACTGTCACGCTATGACTAAGGAAACCTGCACGGCTTAATTAACGGCGTAGGCTTCTGCTAGCTGCAGCTACTGCGGCATTTATCAGTTTACCTAAACTTTAGACTCCTTCGTACAATGACAGCAGGTGAAATCAGTCTACTTTGTTTGTATTGCTAATAAGTATTTCCGCTTGAACGCTTGGAACTGTTATCGCCGGATTCGCAGCCACAGAATGTAATAAATCCGCTAACCGCTTGTATGTGGTATCTATGTACACGTGATAAATCAGCAGTATGTCTATACGTACCATATATTTATGTATATTTGCAATTTGCAGCTATCAGAAACATATTATGTGGTCGCCCTTCAAACGGTTCGTGTAGATGGGTTCAGAAATCAAAATGAAAACAAAATAATCACATTGCGATACGATAATTATGGTCATAATGCAGTGCGAGCCATAAAGTCTGTTTTACGCACATTGCGTGAACGGATATTTTCCTGTGAGGTTCCCGCGGCCGTATACGTTGTAAGTCGTACTTGTATGTACCATCCAAATTCCAACCCATACTGTTTAGCAATTGTGATAAAAATTAAGGATCGTCACAGGTTTACCTGATAATCTGTAAGCAGGAACCCGCCATCCATGATAAAAAATAGGGAATCGTCTACCGCTTGTCTATTAATGCGGCAGCAGGAAAGTCGTATTACATAGGTATGTATAAGTAAATATATAATGACTCACTAGCGGCTCACTTCGGAGTTACTTCATGCTGCGCATACAACTTAAAACACACTACTCTATACTCTGTATTTAAACCATCGTTGCTTTGGTTTTAATAGCCAAGTTTGAATTTTTTTTTTCATGCAGCGGCTATCTGTTTCAATGCAACGGAAAAACGCGATAGGCGTGATGGGTACAAACCCCGAAAAGACAGCATCAAAGAAGTGTTTTTATTATAAATTATGTTTTGCTTTGGTACTCAGTTTTGTACTAGCATTGTGATACTAATTAAAGTTAAAGGTTTTATTTTATCGTTTAAATTCGTCGAAAAACAACGCAAAATAATTCAAATAAATTTAAAATTAACCAGGAATCTAGTGAAAGCCTGAGTTTCCATGCTTCATGTGATGAAGCCTGGCTGCTCAAATTGGATTATTAAAGGCTACACGACGAAATTGTTTAGCAAATATTCATTTGGTTCATACGTACTTGCACAGCACTGGAAATTTCACAGAAGCTGAGACTTCAGCGGTCATAACAGCCAAGCCGTTATGACAGTAACCATTACTATCGCGCAAGGTCGAGTTAGTGGATAAGATATTTCAATGTTTTTATGGCACAGAGATTCATTAAGCTAACGAGTTAAAAGCACCTCGAACAAACAGTACGCTGGGTGAAGTTGTAATCGGTGCATTCAAGAGACTCTTGCACGAGATGAAATTAAAGTATTAAAAAACTAACTCTTTTAAACTTGCTTTGTTTTACGCGGCATGCTACAAAAGCATATTTGTTATTGTCGGTATGGTTAATGTCTTGACTCGCAAACATCATTTAAGCAAAACTGCCGGTAAGCTGAAAGATTTCTTGTGAATTGTTAAAGCACCTTCGTCATTTATCTCGTTCTCAGTTTCTATGCGATTCCGACATGGATACCCTTGACTTGCAAGCAATCAGCATACAACTGGGTACCAGTTGTTACCGCATCGGAAGGCTCCAGCATGACACGCCGGAAGTCCTTAGTAATGCCTTCGGAAACGCGGAAACCCCCGCATATTTTACCTTGGATGGGCAGGACTCGTTCTATGGGGATGACGCTGTGGCGGAAGCGGGGATCGATCCGCACAATACAACCAAAGGCGTTATGAAATGCTTTAGTTCCCTGCATCGTTCTGGTCTTCCATCCGCTCAACAATCCGCGGTCAGCAGTGCTGCATTCATTTTGGAGAAGAGTTTGGAAGGACTGCTCACCAACGCTGCACCGACCTGGCAAACAAAATTCCCCGTTAAGGGTGTGGTTGTGGCTATTGCGTCCGCGTATTTGGAGCATCACCAGGACACCGTAGAGAATGCTGTTAAGAAAGCTCTTCATGCACATTGCACTAATATCCTAACCATGGCCGTACCGAAATCGATCGCAGGGTTTGTCAGTTATGCCATGCACAATGACAAGTTTCCCGATGGCCAGCATTTGGTAATAGTGATCGGGGCAACGGTTACGGAAATACGTGCCTTTGATGTACGCAACCAGGTCGGCAATCCTAAGGAGCTCGTGTGGTCATTCAAATTTGGCGGACAAATCTTCGATGACCTCCTTGCTGAATGGTGCTGCGACGAATTCCAGCGCACCACCGGCATCGACGCCAGGCTGGATTTGGGAGCCATGGAAAGGCTATTAGTAAAATGTGAATCGGTTAAACGCAAACTGTCTGCCGCAAAAATGGCCCTTGTGGATGTGCCCAGGTTTATCCAAAATCACAAACTGCAGATGAACGTGTCCAGGGAAGATCTCGAAAGACTGGGCGCCGCTGCCATACAGCAGTTTACCATCAACCTTCAAGACGTTGCCGCGAAGGTACAGGTTTCTACTTTGTCGGGTATCGCTATTCTGGGTGGCGCATCCAGGATGCCTTGTTTGCAAAAGGCCGTTTTTGATGCATTTCCCCATCATCTAATTAAAACGGCAATGAATCCGGTTGCGCACGTTGCGGTACTGAACGGAGCGAGCTACTTAACCGGTGCGTTTGCTAGTCCAGAACTGTACAATTCATTATCATCGCGATTGTTGGACATTGGACTGATCAGACAATGTGCTAGTGAGGATGTTCTGCAATATCTTTCTTCCACTGTGGAAATGTCAGGAAAAATTAATTTCCTAGCAGACACTGTGAGTAGCAATCTTGCCTGCCCAAGTGGGATATGCCAGAATTTAACCCTGACTTGTTTGTGATTCTTTTTTTCAGGAACAACCACCGCTTAATTCCAGTTTCTTGACCGATGACGAAAGTGATGACCACAATTCAAGCGACCGTTACGAAAACGCTGGCACTTCTATCGATGACAGGCGTCACCCTAATACGGACGAAGGGAACCTTATCGCCAGCGCCGATAATACTGCTCAAAAGCCCCGGAGCGAAACTGAGGCACTAGCGGGCGCTTCCAGGAGCGAAATGACTTTGGAATCGGTCCGAGCAGAATATCAGACTCTTGCGAAGCTAAAAAGCATTGCTGTGCAAACCGAAAAAGCCGAATTAGTGACAGCCTCGTCTCCAACGAGATACGGTGCATTGGATGAACTGGTTACGCGATCGCAACCGACACGAATACCAACTCCAAACGAAGACCGGACGAATATTGTTGTAGGGAACACAATTGCGGCAACTAATGCAGTACCACCCACGCCACCCTCACGTAAGCGAAGGAGAGCTCAGTCTACCTCTGATGACAGTTAAACGTTTCAATAATATGTACGTACCGATCCATTACTGTCAGATTGCCGCTTCAGGAATCAATATTCCGTTTTCAAATTTTATGGTATGCGCATCAGCGCATGGCAAAAATATACTGTAGCTTTTATGAGGAAGTTTTGTTAAGCGTTTTCTTCAAGATTACGCAGCTCCGACGACGCTATGTAATCTTGAATTATGACATGCTTGTATATTAATGGTAATATTCTGCAATGTGGGTAAACTGCCAGAAATGTCATGGAATAAAAATGTAACGTAAAATGCTTTGTCTGATTTTACGAGGAAGGTAAAATGGAAACAAGGCAAAGTGTTTTGTCAAGGTGAATTTAAAACGTAACGGAAGATGAAATGTTTTGTCTAATTTTTGTCCAAGAGTTTTTGCTATTTTAGAGCGGAAATTCTGGGAATGTCTGGGCTGCTGGAAATGTTGAAATGGAGAAGTCGGTGTGATCCGGATAAAAATATTAATTGCCGGCGTTCGATCAATTGGTCCAGTGTACTTTCAGTTGTTGATCGGATGCCTCAAACAAAGAGCATCCCGGACACCAGCCTTAAGAATAGATAAAAGAGCTTCCTTTTTTGAATCAAAGTGCAATTTTTTTATCGCTGCTTTACTTTAAATAACTTAATTTAGTTGCTTCACAATGATTAATTTTCATGTCTGTATACTGAAACGATGTAAAAGGTTTGCAAATATACGAAAGCGGCATAATTATCGGGCAGCTAAGGCAATACAAAATTGAAGAGTTTGAAACTGTATTAACCGAAATAACTAAGTACTCATCTGTACGTCTCAACAATAATTATTATAAAATCTGAACCATGGTGCCGACTGCAGCAGCTGCATATGTAAGTATGATACGACAAAGCCGATATGGTTCTAACTTCAAACAACCTAACACTGTACTCTTATGGTTAGGTTCGTCTGATCAATTATAAGTTCTTATCGGGTGAGTAAGTACAGACTACAGATAACAACCCTAATTAAAACATTGTTGACCAAAACAACTGGTGCATGGCCGCTTATAACTGACACGTCCTAAAATTTGATAAGACTCAATAAACAATAGTGACCTTTAGCATGCATTACAGCTAGATTATTGTTCAACAATAGCTGTGCCTCAAATGTTATCTAAAGAAGTATGTATAGCTCAACAAAATCCGTAATACGCTTTGCGTTCTTCTAAATTGCTTAAGCAGCCGTTCTGTGGTTGTGGTTGCGCATAGAAAATTAAAGGTCAACAGAAGCCACGTAGCTTATAGAAGCGTTAATCAATACACATACGCTCGAAGCTGGCTGATTACATGTCCAGCCAGAGACAACACAAAGAGATAACCCAAACCCTCCGTGAAATGAGCGCTCGGCAAATCAGCCTGTCGGCCTCTCTGCGGCGCAAACAGCCAAGCCTTAGTGCCGCATGGGGCTGTTAAGATAACCTGTTGTTTACTCGAGCTTGCAGCATTTTTGTCGAAAGTAGGAATAAACTGTGATAGATATTTAGAACAAGGCATTTATGATATTATGGTTTAGTCATAACGGTTCCGCTCCCTCATCGGAAGTAAATAAAAGTTTACACTGCTGAATTACTAGCTCAGTAACGTTTTGTTTCAAAACTAGCTTTGAAAGCGAGAATAGGAATCACTGCCGTGAGTATACTGCGCTTTACGAGCCGTGAATTTGAATAATACTGTGGATGTTTTTGGCTAATTAAGGAGTTCTGCGGTAATTGCAGATTTACAATGAATCAAGCACTGATGGACTTTCAAAATCACCTTGCACACTACGCTGACATCCTGCCGGATCGGGAAGCTGGTGAAATTTTGAAGACTTTCAAAATTATAACCAATAAAAAGAACTTTATTTTCGACATCTTCGAGACTGCAAATACTACTCGCGGATGCCTGTGCGACGAGGATGTCCACGTTCTTAAAGAGGAAAAAGACAGCATCGAAATAGCTGAGGCAAATTTTACGTCAGGGGTAACCGGTATGCTTGAAGATTGTCGCCATGGAAAAGCTCAAATAGACAATGTGGTACAATTTAACGCACAGTGGACGGATTTTCTCTTACAACAATATCCTACCGGCAAACACCAACCGATCAGGGAAAAATTGGATTTCATTCAATCGGCCAAGCAGCGCCGGATTGAGTACATTGGGCGTTCGGCACCGGATGCGATGATGAGTTTCAACGCAGCTGAAGATACGTTTGTGCTGTACTATCACGAAAGCGCAAGTAAAAGGACCCAGACGAATGGGCAGTCACGTTGGGCAAGTTCTTCAGTCTTGCGGATGCAGCAGCACAGGAATCGGATGGATCCAAAGCTTTCATAATCGTCGACTGTGAACTTAACGGTCAAATGGGCCCCGAAGGCTCTAAAGGTAACGAAGTGGTGCACTATCGCAACGGGCAGCCGATGTACGATGAGTTCGAGGAGGATGACGGCGAAGAAGGCGTTCCGATGGCGAAACCAACTATTGCGCCGGTAAAAAGTCCGCAAGCACAGAAGCGTGGTGCAGTGGAACTGCCGTGCCCCGGTTCCAATAGACCGGGTCGCTGCCCGCCGGAAATGGTTCACAGCTGGAAGTGTGCTGAGTGTCACGATTTGCTGGAGTACGGATTTGATGATCACTTCTACTGCAAGTGTGGCAAAGCACCAGCGGAATCGTTCACCTTTCACTGTGGTCAAAGAAAGCACGGTCTGCAGTATCTTGGATTTCAGCCAAGCGTATTATCGAATCTGGTAGACAAGCTGAAAGCGTTCAAGGAAATTAACATCCTCATTTTAGGTAGGGAAGACTTGGAAATCTGTACAGTCATACTTACATCTTGATAGCTTACGTATCGTTGCTGCAATCTTTAGTAACCCGCTACTATTATTCTAATCTACAGGTGAAACGGGAGTGGGAAAGTCAACGTGGATCAACGGTTTTGTCAACTTTGTTACCTATGCAACGTTGGACGAGGCGCTTCAGGAGCCGGTTTATTTAATTCCGGCTCATTTCACCACTTTGGATGAGAAGTACGAAATGCAAAAGGTCACCATGGGCAAAAGTGATAACGAAGACGAAACACCTGGCCAATCTTGCACGCAAATGCCTAAAACGTATGTCTTCCGCAAAGGAAACAACATTATACGGCTCATCGACACCCCGGGCATCGGGGATACCCGTGGTGCGGAACAGGATAAAAAGAATTTCCAGTTCATCATGGACCACTTGTCGCACTATGACAGTCTGCACGGTATCTGCATCCTGCTGAAACCCAACAACGCCCGGCTGACAGTGATGTTCCGGTTTTGCATTAAAGAATTATTGTCGCATCTTCACCGGGATGCTTGCGAGAACATCGTGTTTGTTTTCACTAACGCGCGCAGCACTTTTTACCGTCCGGGTGACACCTACCAAGCCCTACAGAAACTGATAGAATCGTCCAAAGGAGTCAATTATCACGTCAACATCACCTTGGGTCCGAACACGGTCTACTGCGTGGATAACGAAGCCGTCCGATTCATGGCAGCACTGAAGTTTGGCATTAAGTTCGGTGAAAGTGAACAAGAAAACTTTAAAAAAAGTTGGGAAACCTCGGTTAAGGAGACAAATCGCCTGGTAGACTACGTTGCTAATAGATCACCCCATATGCTGCGCCAAACGCTATCGCTTAACGAGGCCAGACGCCAGATATTGGCGTTCACAGAACCGTTAGCCCATATTACCAAGAATATTCAGACAAATATACAAGCAGCTGATGACAAAGCGGACGAAATCCTTCATTTGCAGCACAGCCGAAAGGACCTCGAGGGCAGACTGTACGTCCCGTCCATCGATCTAGAAACCATACCGCTGCCGTATCCCCGGACAGTATGTGTGGCCCAGAAGTGTATTAAGATGGTGGGGCAAAAGGCCAACTACATTACACACTGCCACGAACACTGCTACTTAACAGGCATAGAGCCGGGTAAATATCCACAGCCCGGCCTGCAGAGCTGTGCAGCAATGGGCAATAAGCAGACGTGTTCGCATTGCGGATGCATATGGGAGATGCACATGCACATTGAATACGAAATCAACGAAGTAGAAGTTCCCATGGTGGATTCTAGCATCCAGGCCTTGTTGAGCCAAAGAGATGGCAACATCTTGGCTGTGCAACAAACCATACAAGATCTGCAAGATCGGAAAGCACAGCTGAACAACGAAATGGACGAGATCACCAAAGTGGCGACCAAGTTTGGGTATTTCTTGAAATCCAACGCCATGATCCCGTATAATGATTCTATGGAAGACTATCTACAGTATTTGATCAGAGCCGAAGAGGAAAAGGTTGCCATTGGGGCGAGCCGAAAAGGTCTGGAAGACTATCAGGGCATGCTGCAGCGGTACCGAGAAGAGAAAAAACTGCTCGAACAGGCCATGGCTAGTGGGGCCAACCACGCGCAGATCACCGCAACCGAGATCGACTCCGCCATTAAATCCTTGTATAGTCTGCCAATCAATGGGCAAGTGATAAAAAACTTGGTTGAAACCAAAAACTGGACTTCCGGTCAGCAAATGGAACACGCGGAGACGATTTATAAACCGGCACCTCAATATAAAAAACAAAAGAAGCAGTCGAATAAAAAGGGGTTATTGGAAAGAGGGGTTGATTATGTAGCCAACTTGTGGACGGGAGGCGACCGCAATCGGAATCAATATGGGAAAAGTGATTACGGGGGAAATTATGCCAATGGTAATCATGGCTACCGAGGGTATCAGCAAGCATACCCCCCTAAGGGGCACAATTATAACTCGCAGTATGGTCATAGTAATAGGGGAGCATACGGGTATGGCGCTGATCGATACGCACCGCAGAATACCTATCGGCCGGGCAGCCATTCCCAGACGGACCCTTATGCCGGCCGGGGCCCTAGTTCGGCGTACCGTGGTCAGCCACCGAACCCTTCGATGTATCAAGAGCCCACGCGAGCTATGCCGGCACTAGACTCGTACAACCGCCGGCAAAACATAGACCCGCTCCGCAGCACTCCGCCAGGGCTCCCTCCAAATTATCCCAAACCTCCCGGTTCTAGGGATGATTATCATTTGGGAAACAACTACAATAACGGCAGGGCATCTCCGGCGTATGGTGGAAATTTGCAACCGAGTCCGGTACAGCTCTTCAATAATACGCCTAACGAATTTCAAAGAACAACGCAGTCCCAAGTACCGTCATACCAACACCACCAAAAAACGCCTGCGCATCAGGCCGCACGCGACAATAGGAACAGCCCACTTCAAGCTGCCCGTCCGGGGCCGCAGGTTACGAACGCCTCCACTGGACCAGATTACTCTGGCAACCGCCGAGTGGTACCTCAGAAGACCACATCCCCTGGAAGCCAGTATGGTTCCTCGTTAACGCCGCCGGAAGTCAAGAAGGGTGAGCAACAGCAACCGTCATCAGCCAACCAAAAGGCCCAATCAATGCCGAGCTATCAATCGTCGAGTGCAAGCAACTTAGCTCCGCCAGGCATTAATCAACCAAACAGAGACCTATCAGCGGGTGCAGCCGGTGCGGGAACCTCGACGATGCCGACGCCATACAATGCCACCACCACAAAACCACACCAGGGTAGCGCTGCGTCCACGTTAAATCAAAAGCCGGTGCCAATGCCATCGTATCAACCAAAGACGAGCAGTGCTGCCGTGCACAATTCACCACAATTTGATCGCACGGGGCCGAATACACAGTCCTCAGCTACATCGTTGAATAATGACTTTCAACAAGGAGCACAAACGTTTGGTAGTTTACCACAGCAGAATCTAGAAAAACCGACAACGGCAAATAAAATGCCCTTGAAGCCCTACATTCCCAAACCGACCGACTCGACATCCGCTGGGCAGGAAGAGGGGTCGCATACAGTTACCAACGGAATGGAGAATATGAATATAACGCTGAAAAAATATGGAAAGTAGAAACAGCAATCTGTGCTTCGTATGTGGGCCGATATTTTCCAGATGATTTGACTTTAGTTTTATTGATGCTAACAATTATAAATTACCATATTTCCACATGATGGCGATTTGTTCACGATGCACTTTTACTGCATTACAGGATTTGATTTACGTAATTTGCCATGCGAGTATAAATTCCGCCAATATTTTTCAAAATACTGCACCATAGTAATTACTGTAATAAAAGCGCATATACTTTCTCCTTATTCGGCGGACGCCATCTCACATTAAAGTAAGCAGCGTGGCAAGCAGTATTAAATGATACGGATATACAGAACTGCCCTTATCTACATGGTCAAGGAGTCTGATAAATACGTATTGACAAAGTTTAATTGCCCTCTTTATGGTATATGGAACAGACGATTGCCGATAAACAACCGGCGGCGTTCCAGCTAAAGGTTTTCCGTAAATTTACGTTTAATACTCGTAATTGGTACTTCATACCGTACTTCATACCGCACAACGGAAGGCGCAAGCGTTCGATTTATATGTACCAGGAAATATGCAAGGTACTTGTCAGTTACAGTCTACGGTGGTGTTTGCTCTGGGTTACGAGCTTTGTAGCTCGCTAATTCTACAGGCCAACATCATAACCAGCATTATCAGCAGGCATTTAAGCATTATCTGCCGTGTAACATGTTCCGAAGAATTAGAAGGTTGTTGTATATATGTACATATTATGTTTTTCGATTCGGTGCACTCGTTGCTGAATGTTTTATGACGCAAGAATTGTTTAGGCACCATTTGTGGATCATACCCCACCGATTCGCCAAAAATTGTCGTAAAAAGTTTAGACTGGTTTTGTTTTTAATGTGCAACAGTGGATATGTGTAACGAAAGGGTTTGGCTTCGCGGTTCAGTTATGTGCAGATTACGGGGCACCCAGCAATGCGATGCGATAGTAATAAAATTGTATACATAACATTAGTTGTCTGGTGTGGTGAATTAATTTTAAAGATGGATGGGTTACTCACCGTTCGTTCCATTAATTCTTAGAGCGGTGTAGCGATAATAAACGTTCAGCAAGTAACTCGATATAAGAATTGTTAGTATCTTATCAGACCGATTCAGACGCACAGTTAAACCATGGACACACATTATTGTGATATTGTTCGAGAACAACATTTCGTTCAGTTGGCTAAGCGGAAGATAACGATAATAGCCTGGCCCTTATTTGAAGATGCGCATAATGACCTACTATTCTTTAATTGTTCACCAGTGCGTGATAAGAAGCCGTAGAAGGCTTGCCACGCGTAAATAAAACTGAATGTTATAAATATACGCGTTCAATTTTGCGGCTGAATAATGTTTTCTGTCTAGTTTATCGCCAGAAGGTTTTTCTGTAAGTAAAATGACCGCTCCAGAGCAAATCCCAATCGGAATCGACTTGGGCACATCGTATAGCTGTGTAGCCGCCTACCGAGACGGAAGAGCAGAAGCTATCCCTAACGACCAAGGGAACCGTATAACGCCCAGTGTTGTCGGTTTCCACGAGGGAGAACGCCTGGTCGGTGAAGGAGCGGTGACACAATGGCAGTTTCATCCAAAGAACACCATTTGCGATTCCAAGCGCATGATTGGTCGGAGCTTCGATGACCAGCTAGTGCAGCATGACATTCCCAACTGGAGCTTTCAGGTCGTCAATGAAAACGACAAGCCGCATATTGTCGTGGAAGAGGACGGTCAAGCCAGTCTCATCACGCCGGAGCAGGTAAGCGCGATGGTTTTAGCCAAGATGAAGGAGACAGCGGAAGCCTCTTTAGAGGCACAGATTTTCGATGTGGTTATCACGGTGCCGGCCTATTTTACGGATGCTCAGCGTCAGGCCACAAAAGATGCCGCTGCTATCGCGGGATTGAACGTTCTGCGTATGGTCAACGAACCGACAGCGGCCGCTATCTGCCATGGAATGGAAAAGAAATACAAAAAGGCACAGAAAATATTGGTCTTCGACTTAGGGGGTGGTACGCTAGACGTGTCAATTCTAATTGCCGAGCCGAACATGAAATTCACGGTGATGACAACGCACGGTGACCCGCACCTTGGAGGAAAGGACTTCGACAACGCAATCACGAACTATTTAGCCAAGGAATACGAGCAGCAAAATAATATGACATTTGCTGATGCGCCGGAAGCTCTACAGGGTCTCCGTCAAGCGGTGGAAGCCGCCAAGAAAACGTTGAGTTTTAGTCAACAAGCAAAAATGGCCATCCCAAACTTCTTGAGTAATGACCACTACAAGCGAACAATTACCCGCGAAGAATGGGAGACAGTCTGTAAAGATTTGTTTGATCGCATACTAATTCCCGTGGATGCCGCCATCAAGGATGCTAACCTGACTGTAGCCGATATTGAAGACGTGGTTCTAGTTGGCGGATCCAGTCGCATCCCGAAAGTCAAAGAAGTCTTACAGCAGTTCTTTTCCGGAAAGCAATTACTGCATAGCGCACACCCCGACGAATCTGTCGCGCGCGGAGCGGCCATTTATGCAGCTAAACTAATGGGCGACAAGACCGGCAATGCGCAATCTTTGGCCCTCGTTGATGTGACACCATTTACATTGGGAATCGAAATTCATGGAGGAGGTAACATTTCTATTAAACGCGAAGAACAAAATAAATTTTTTGATATTGTTGTTGTCTGAAAGTCCTACAATATTGTTGTTATAAGCCATTCATTTGATTTTTCCGCTAGAAAATGTTCCCTAACATGTTTAGCGCTAAAGTTAGCTCGTTCTTAGATAAGAAGCATAAGCGCTGTGATATCAAACATTACATACCTTTGCAGATATGAAGGTTTTCTTCCCCAAAAATACTCGTCTGCCAGCGCAAACCAGCGACATTTTCACGACGGTATATGACAATCAAGAGTCTGTCAAAGTGCAGATATTCGAAGGAGAAGCCGATGTCGCTAAAGACAACCGTCTACTTGGTGAGGTGGTGCTGAGTGGCATCGAGCCGGCACTGCGTGGAACTCCTCAGATTATGGTCACGTTCGACATCGACGCCAGCGGAATACTGAACGTATCCGCTGTTAACCGGAAAGATGGCAACAAAGTGGAAGCAACCATTGACAACGATAAGTACAATCTGTCGCTTGCGGAGATTCAACGCATTGCCGACAGTCTTACTGAAGGAACGCCTGATGAAGAGCTGAAGGCACAGGAGAAAGTCTTGTGGAATCGTTTAACCGAGTACAAAAATTCTGTGGCGCAGACGCTGGCAAAATATAAACAGAAGCTGTCTTCGCAAGAGCTACAACGCGCTAACGAGTCTTTGAAAGAACTGGATGAATGGATGGCCAGTCACCCGGAGGCGAACAAAGCGGTTATAATCAGCAAACACCAGGAAGCGAATCGGAATTTTCGCGCTGTGATGTTGTTGCTTGTGGCCTGAAATAGACCGATTTGATTCGAACGATATACTGTATGCAGTGTGCTGTTAATGCTCCAATATTAACTTCCGTATTAACCGGACATGACCGATTTGTCGACCATCAGCTGGGACAGCTGTAAACCTTAGTTAATTAAGTTATGCACTGCTGAATAAACGCATTTGAATTCGAGTTAAATCTAAAAATAAATGTCTTTCTGACTATAAGCAGAAATATACCGAAAACAAAACACCAGTGAAAAAAAGTAAATATAAATCTTGAACAGGCAGTTGCCATTTCATGTTAAAACTGCAAAGGCGGGCCGGGCCACATTACTTCACATTTAAAATTAAAATGTTAAAAAACATCCACATCTGTATCCTCCAGTGAGTTAAATGATAAAGTAAACTGCATGCCATTACGCCATCTAAATACAAGCATATGCGAGACCAGTCATTTCGTTACTCCGCATAACAAAAGTCGTAAAAGTACTCGTACGTATGTAAGCACTTTGTACACGATTAGTGTGGTTTTGCGTCAGAAAGTAGAATTAACCCTGCATGTCACAGAAGTCTGCACCAAAGATTTTTACACATCTCATTAATTAACTAAAAACAAAAACATGGTGGCTTACCTAATAGAGCCCCACCGCGCCGTAGTATCGTGACGTAACCTGAACGTAAATGGCTTAAGTTTGTTTCTTAATTCGCTGGTATAGTCTTCACCGGTTTTTGAGATAGGTTTGTTCGAGAGTAACATGTTATGGTGCATGTAGGGATAGTACGGGTATTGTTTTGCTCATCTGTATCAGTTAGGTACAAGTCTGTACGATACTTCTGACAGTTTTCTGTCATAATATGTTACAGTTAAGGTGATTTGTTACGATAAAATCAATGTTTTAGACGCTCTGGAGTTTGCCTGATTTTACAAGTGGAATCAGTCGATCGATACGTGAGCTTGCGAATGAAATTGAATAAACTTGGGTTGATATCCGGAAATTGATGTGTGTTTGCGGGGACCTTCGTAAAGACAACCAGGAATAGTAATCTCGGGAGTCAGTGCGTGAGCCGGAAGTAACATCATCCAAGTGAAACAACCATCATCCATGGGCAACAGCAGAGTCCTAGCTACAGTCGGATTTGAGAGTGTGCGTATGCGCGTGGGAGTGGGAAAAATAATGCTAGTATTCCCGAGAGTTTTCATTTGATAACGGCAATCTCCGGCAATCTCTATCCAGAGTATAGATATAGGGGGCAAAACTAAACGTGTCGCACGGTTCCCCTGTATTGCTGCCCTCACCCGCCTGGAGTTTTAAACATGGCGCTTATATACCACGCCAGATTTAACCATATGTATTGCCGTAACGTCACACTCCAGGCGGGTGACGGCAGCAATACAGGGGAACCGTGGAGCACGCTTAGTTTTACCCCCTATATAATATAGGGGGGAAAATGAGTCTAGCCGAGCCAGTCCCTTGTACTTCTGATGTAATCCAGCTGGTGGTTTACGTTTTATGTAAAGCGCTGCTATTAAGGCTGTGCGGCATTGACGGTACATGTGGTTTTAGCTGCACCGGGCTATAATACAGTTTTAGCCTGCTTATATGCAGTTGTACACGTGCTGCTTACCTGTTATCAGTACCTGTAATCTTAATAGCGGCGCTGTACATAAAACGCTTTCTAGCTACAACGTAAACCACCAGCTGGCTTGCATCAGAAGTACAAGGGACTGGTTCGGCTAGACTCATTTTCCCCCTTATATTCCATTTCTATTGCCCGAGTAACGTTGGTCACACTGCTAATATTTGTGATTACCAATATACCAGATTTAATATCTCAAGAGCTTGACATTTATTATCACTTATCTGCTTTCTGGCCAGAAAGCATGGGTATCTGAACACATCCCAACCAATTGAATCTGACAAAATGCAAATCTTGACCTTTAAATGTTTTGATTTACACATTCTTTGTCTCATACTTTTTTAAGGTTATTTGCATCCTCTCCACACCTCTTTTTGCTGCCTCCATCATTGCCTGTCTGGAGACATTCGCAGCTGCTTCAACGCATACCTGATCACAGTGTTCGTCTCGCTGTTCCTCTACCGCCGGTGTGGCTGATTCTTTATGCTGCTGAAATTTGTATTTCTCTCCCGGTGGATAAATGGCACCTTTTTTATGAGCCGGTGGCGACCGTTTCCTTTGCAGCGTGTCTCTCACTCCTTGAGCTTCGAATGCTGCTGTCAATGTTTTCACTTGTTGTGGTGGTAAAAATGTTTTCATGGGCGTTGCCGGTGTTGCTGTCTCATCCGAAGGGGAAAATGATGTATCCGTTTGCTGTTTGGTATTAGGTAATCGATCCGCTCGTCCAGTAGGCAAATTTTGCTTCGCGCCATCTGCAGCCGGCTTCAAAATCTGTCCGTTATATTTCTTCATTTGAATCACCATTGGCTCTTTCCTTCTGCCTTGGAATGTCGCTGAGTCATTTTTATGTGACCATTATCCACTTTATGCCGGTTTAGAGTGCTTTTAGGCGGATCGTTTGGTTCAGATGCTACCACCGTTGCAAGTGCAGGTCGATTATGTATGGGCTCTTGTTGAAGCCTATTTTGGTACGTTTGTAATGGTACTTCGCTACCTTGCCTGGGAATAACAGCGGGTCTGGCAATGATTTTTTGGCGTGTGCCATGTAATTGTGGGCCGACTTGTTTTGGCATCCCGCCCGAATGTTTAAACGGTTTTGGAAAATTCATCGCGTCGATATTCAACCGTTGGTTTATGTCAGACGGTTGGATATTAGTAATCGGCCGCGGCATACGAAGAGCATACGGCAAACTTTGGGCCTGGTACATAGTTCCATTAAGTACCGGATGAAAACCGGGACTGACACCCAACACGGAACTGCCATCCCTGTTTACAACTAGCGGGCCTCTGGTATCTGCATTTTCAGGGCGCCCGTTCAAACTTCTTGGAGAGTGTTGTGGAATTACACATGATTTGGTTTCCTGCTTGTTTCGGTTGCGTGGTATGGGATTGTGAAGAGTCTCGGAGAATTCCATTTCACTTTTGTTTTCAGAATCCACGGCGTCTACCAGCTGCTTAATCGCACCTCCATTTATCGGTAAATTGTACAGTGTTTTTAATGCCGTCTTGAAATCTGTTGCGGTAGCTTGACTATGCTTGCTGCCTTTAGTAAGGGCTTCCTCTATGATTCGTTTTTCCTCGCGATACAAGTTAATTGCCTTTTGGTAATTTTCCATACCGGATCTGCTGCCGCCCGTGGCAGTCTTTTCTTCTTCCGTTTTTATTAAAATGCATAGGTATGCTTCGGTGGCATCATTGTAAGGAATTATTGCGTTCGTCCTTAAGAAGCACCCCAAATCAGAAGCCACTCCGGCAATCTCGTCCAGTTCGGCTTGGAGTTTTGATTTGCGGTCGGCAAAATCATCCAGTGTTTTTTGGACCGAGGAAATATGTTCATGTTTCTGATCCAGCGATGTCTGCACGCCTTCATCCAGCGTAAGACCCATGACCTCACGTTGTTCGTAGTCAACCTGCATGTGAAATTCCCATGAGCAGCCACATTTGGCGCACCGCATTTTGCTGTTGTCCATCGCAGCGCAATTCTGCAGTGCCGGTTGGGGATACGAATCACGACTGACCCCGCTGACACAGTTGCAGTGTTCATGGCACCAGGTGACATAGTTGACCTTCTGCCCTACTATCTTCGTGCACTTGGGTGCGACGCAGACCGTCCGCGTGTACGACAGTGGCACGTGTTGTAATTTGATCGATGGAATGTACAGTTTACGCTGAAGATCTTTATTGCTCTTTTCCCGCTGCAAAACTTCATTGGCTTCTTCCGCGGCCAGAATATTCGTCTGAATGTTCTTAGTGATGTGCGCCAACGGTTCCGTTAGCGTGAGGACGAACTGCCTTGCCTCGTTCAGTGATAGCGTCTGACGCAGCTGGTGAGGAGTTCTTTTGGATAAATACTGCAGTAGCCGGTCAGTCTCCGCTACCGAAATCTTCCAGCTTTCACTGAAGTGTTCTTTCTCGCTGTCACCAAAGGCTATTCCACACTTTACGGCAGCCATAAAACGCACGGCTTCATTGTCGACACAATACACGATATCAACTCCCAGGTTGATGTTAAGATGGTGACCGGCGTCTTTTGCATTTCCAATCAGCTGTTGCAGCGCCGGATACGTATCACCGGGACGGTAGAAAGTGCTGCGCGTATTCGTAAACACAAACACTAGGTTCTCGCAGGCACTGCGGTGTAGATGAATCAGGAGTTCTTTAATGCAGAACTGCACCATCGCTGTGAGCCGGGCACTATTGGGTTTTAGCAGCATGCAAATGCCGTGTAGCGTCTCGTAGTTGGCCAAATGTTTCATAATTAACTGAAAGTTCTTCTTGTCTTGTTCGGCTCCTCGCGTATCACCGATGCCCGGAGTGTCAATCAGCCGGATAATACTGTCGTCTTTTCGAATGACGTACGTCTTAGGCATTTGTGTGCTGGACTGACCGGGTGTTTCGTCCTCGTTTTCACTTTTACCCATTGTCACTGTCTGCTCGTTATAGTCATCGTCGTATGTTTTGAACCGAGCAGGTATCAGATACACTGGTTCCACAAGCGCTTCCTCTAGTGTAGCGTAGGTGATGCAGTTGACAAAGCCGTTGATCCACGTCGACTTTCCAACACCGGTTTCTCCTGCTCAAAAATATACTGGCTAGTCAAACTAGCATTTCTGTAGAGGCGTATTCATATGTAAAAGGTTCAACTTACCTAATATAAGGATATTAATTTCTTTGAAAGGCTTCAGGTTTTCGAGCATGCCAACGAGTACATTTGGTCGAAATCCGATATACTGCGCACCATGCTTAAAGTGTCCACATTGAAACGTAAACCATTCAGCGGCAGATTTGCCACATTCACAATAGAAGTGATCGTCGAATCCGTATTCCAGACAACGCAGGCATTCACAACATTGCCAGTTGTAAATGGTACCCGGTGGGCATGTGCTGGGTCGGAAAGAACCGGGGCATGGTAGCTTTACGGCTCCGCGGCTTCTTGGAGGCTGACATTTAGTCGGCAGAAGGGAAGGTTTGGCCAGCGGACTAGTTTCGTTTATGCTGGGGTTCTCATACAGTGACAGAACGTTTTGATCAAAATCATCGCTCACGCTCTGGGTCGCAAGGGCTGCATGTCCCGATTTTTGCATCGAATTCATTTTATCTGTTATACCACGATATTTGTCGGATGAATATTCGCGAAGCAAGTAGTCCGTCCACTTCGCAATGAAATGCATGATATCGTTAGTGTCACTGTGTCCAAGATGGCACTCATCTAGCAGGGTTATAATGTTCGATGTGAAGCTGCCTTCCACAGCCTCGATCCTGTTTGTATCTTCACAGAGTGCGTTGGCGTCATCTTCACCGATGCGCACGCGACTAGCGCTTAATGTTTTGCAGAGATCAAGAAAATAACGCTTTTTGTTGTCCAGGATGTCTAAGATTTTAATAATGTCGCTAGCGACCGCTTCCGGAATAACATCTAAATGGTGCTGCAGGTATTGTCGTAGATTAGGAAGCGGAGGATTCATTGTGTTCTTGTATTGCGTCCTGAGAAACCTGTATGCTATAATTTTAATGTCAGCATAATTATTATTAATAAGAATGCAGCCTTACCGATACTTTTTAATTTATTACAGCTTTCGTATTGATGCCTCCAGCCTGTTGAAATTTCTCGGAGCAGATTTTCGAAGAACAAAGATCTACTTCGCATAATATGAAAGTATGCCGGTATCGTACGCCAACGTTTTGGCTCGCCTATGCACGTGTGTTGGAGTAAATGATTTCGCTTATTGCGCTCTTGAAGCTATACCGTTTACGTAAAATTTCTGCTGAGAACAGCAGATAAAGAAATGGTTATCAAAGCGGAGAGATAAGGATGCCATTAAACTTATCTCAGGATGCAAAGTGATATGTCTCAACGCGATCCAGTTAGTGACTAAGTAATATCCTTTAAATCTTTAAACATTGATGTAAGCGAACAAAGCGATTGATTAGTCACCAGCGATTAGTTATGTATGTACCATAAAGTTAGTAAAGCGATCTACAGATGGTTACTGTTTAATAATAATTTTTTTTAGGGAAAATCACTTTAATATTTGTATGTACTGTATTTCGTTCTCTTGGTGTTACCTGGTATAATAATATTATATTGTACCAGTTGTTTGGTGTACTGATACCGTGTTTTGCGATTTCGGCCCCACCTGGTCATGTGGTAGGCTGTTAAATCGTGCGTGCATGAGAGTGGAATTAATTTTGGTTTGCAATTACGAGTAACTGGTAAGAACAATTATGCTATTCAGGTGTTTGTGGCATTTCGGAACTATTTTGCAATGTACACGGCCGTTCGGATGATGTACAAATACAGCGAAAAACATGGTTTCATAGGTTACACCGGACTACGCACTCCTGCGCGCCACGCCACAATGTTTACGCGTTAGATGCAGCTGCCATGGTTGTAATTAATGTAAAAATCTTGGTTGTAATTAATGTAAAAGTTGTAAACGCCCAAATTAATGTAAAAATCTTGTAGGTGATAAAGTTTATCATCGTCCTAAACACACATGACGCAGTGCTGTTATTCTTATTAGGGTACTGGTCGCACTGGTGACCTTAGTAGCAGCAAGTGACACATGTTAGCGTTTAACATTTCCCATTTTATCAATTTACACCAATTTACACACACACACAACTGTAGCAGAGGGACCACTAGAAAGGGGGCGTGTCGTGTGTCGCAGTACCGGATTCCTGCGTTCCTCTGAATCCAATCCGTAGCTATTATTCGGTATCGCACTTCCGTAATGCCACTCCCTTCTTTTCCAGTCCTTTGTTCGGTGGACTGATCTTATCCACGCCCGATTGATCAAGACTGGGAGAAGCCGACTTCTGGGTGGGTTTTGGAGTGTACGGTTTTAATATTATTTTCATTGGCACAGATGGCTTTTTTGGTCCAAATTGTGAAACGACCGCAACAGGTCGATGAGCAACATTTCGATCGAACTGTGATGCCGAGAGATCCGTTGTAGTCTTGGCCTCGCTTTGGGATAAATCTGCAACACAGTAAAAAGAATAAAATGACCGTACTTTTGTCGGCTTTGGAAAACAAGTGGATGCTGAACCACCTTGTGTCGATTCCGGAACGAGGCTTTTATGGGCCGGCGGCAAACCTCGCATTTCATTTAGAATATTTCCCGTAGCGAGGTCGCGGCTCTGTCGTGACCGCGCTGTTGTTGATCTTGCGAAATTGTTTGCGCCCTGCAAGCGATATGATGGCATCGCTTGTTCATCCCGGTTGGACAATTGAGGTCCATACGGTAAAATAGCTGCTGCATACCCAGGATTCGCAATGCTTCCTTTAGAAAGGTCTGCAGACCCTCGATGCATCGGCAGCGCTGGCGTAGCCAGTTGATGGGGGTTCGGCAAAGGAAAATGTATGCTTTGCCGGGGAGCGGACGGTTTGTCGCCTTGGTAAAGGAAAGGAGTTGGAGTTTGCCGGCCGTAGTATGTTGGCGCTAAAGCTTGGCCGGCATTTAGCATCTGCTTGTGATACGTGACAGGATGGACATTTGACTGTGTGGGTACTGGAGCGTTATCACGAGCTTTGTCAGCTTCACTTGCAGCTTGGGGATACTGTACATTATAGCTGGAATGTCTCTGAAAGCAGAGGCGCGGCGATAAATCTGGTTGCCATAACCTTGATGTTCACAATTTCCGTCGTTTTTATCATGCTGAAAATAATTGCGGTTGTTGTTGGCCTCATCATTCCTAACGACTCCTGTTTCCTTTCTGTCCGAGAGGTCTTGGTTGGTAGGCCGCATTTTCGTACCGGATGCCGAGATACCAACTTCCACAGAAAAGTGACCGATGTATCCTCCACCGGTAGCATGGGCGCGGATTCCTTTCTGCACTTTTCTACAAGGCTTTTGATTATCTCTCCGCTGATATCCAAACCATAGAGCGACTTGATGGCGGCACTGACTTTCGATGTAATGACTTGGTAATTCGTGCTCTCATCTGCCATCGTTAATTCCAATAGCTTTTGCTCGTCCACATAGGTTTGGAGTACGGCCTGATAATCATCCAGGCACTTTCGAGTGGAGCCAGCAGCAACCTTTTTTTCTTCATTTGCTATTAAGAAACGGAGAAATTCACCCATGGAATCCGTGCCGGAGACTATGGCATTGTTTTTTATATAGTACATCAACAGGGCAGCCACTTCGAAAATCTCCTCCATTTCTTTGTTTATTCTGGTTATACCCTCCTCACAATCTTTCGCGAAAAGTTTGGCAGCCACGATTTCGCTACTTTTCTGCCCCAGCAACGTTTGTATTTTTTCATCCACCATAGAAACTTCCACTTCCTTCGTCTCGTATTCCACCTGCATGTGAAATTCCCAGGAACAACCACATTTAGAGCATCGTAATTTAGTACTATCCATTGCAACACAATTTTGGACACCGGGTGTTGGGTATACACCCGGAACTGGCCCTATAACGCAGTAACAAGGTTCGTGGCAGTGGGTTACATAGTTCACCTTATTACCAATAACTTTCACGCATTTCCGCCCCACACAAACCAGACGGGGGTACGGTAACGAAATGGTTTCCAAGGTAATTGATGGCACGTACAGATGTTTTTCCAGGTCACTTCGGTCACGTATGAGCTGTTGAAGTTCTTGGGCTCTTTCATCAAGTACCGACTTAGGTTTTTTATTGGTTTCGCTAATCTGTTGTACAACTTCCGTCAAGGCCTTAATCGTTTCCCTACATTCATTTAGAAGGGATATAGTGGGTTGCAACTTATAGGGTGCCCTTTCACCAAGATATTTAACCAGCCGATTTGCATCTTGCGCGGCGGTCTCCCAGATCTTGTCTAGGTTTGCATCGCAAAAGCCCGTAACCTTAGATCTGGACTGCAAAGTTGCAGCAGAATTAAACGCTTCATAATCCATGCAATACACGTTACCTGTATCGTAGACGTTAAGATGTACTGGGTATTTACAATTTTCCATGAATCGTTCCAGTGCCTTGCACACAGTGCCTCGCGAGAAAATGCTGCACCCACCGGTTAAAATAAAAACAATGTTTCGGCACACATCTCGGTGCAGGCGCTGCAGAAATTTTGCGATTCTCGTCGACTGGCCATTGTTTGGTGGAACAAGAATGCAGATGCCGTGCACCCCATCATATTTTGTCAAGTCTTTGATAATGTATGGAAAATTTTGTACCTCTTGGTGATCATTATTGCCTCTGCTATGGTCGGTCGTTGTGTCGATGAGTCGGATAAGGTTGTTGCTATTGCGAAAGGCGTAGGTCTTCGTGTAGGTTGTATTTGCAGAATCTGAAACCTCTGCTTCCGACTTTTTTGGATTATTACTATCGGATGAATCTGCTGTAGAAACGAGGTGAATCGGATCCGTAAGAGCTTTACTGAGTTCTGGGCAGATAACACAATTAACGAAACCATTAATCCATGTAGAGCTTTCGGCTGTATTTTCACCTGAAGCAACGACACGCACTGGTATTTAGATAGATTAATGCGCTCTTAGCATAATTTCTCATAGTCACGATATGAGAATAGAAAACTAATGATGCTGTTACCAGTTACATCACTGCTTACCTAAAATAATAATATTGATCTCTTTAAATGGCTTCAGATTTTGCAGAAAGCTAGTCAGTACGTTTGGTCTGAAACCGGAATATTGCGAACCGTGCCGTTGTTGTCCACAATGAAACCTATACCATTCAGCTGCAGCTTTGCCACATTTGCAGTAGAGATGGTCGTCAAATCCATACATAAGTAACTGGTGACACTTGGAACATTCCCACTCGTGAACTCCATCAGGTAGACAGCGGTCAGGCGTCGAAGAAGTAGGACACGGCAGACGCAGCGCTCCCAGTTTTTTCGGTACCGAACATTGCGTAGATGGAATTGCTGGCTTTGCTGTCGGGCAAGCTTTTTCGTCTGTCACTGCAGCAAGTTTCTCGCCTACCGGTTTGCCGTTTCGATACTGAATTATTGCATTCACGTTTCTGTCTTCTAATCCCATGTAGCCAGAAAGGTCACAGTCAACTACGGCGAACAATGCCACTCCGATTTTCCCTTGCTCCGCACCGTCCGCTAAATCGAAAAACGCAGCCAATAAGGCAGCCCATTCTTTCGGATCATCGTTTTTAATACGTTCATGGTAAAACAGAACAACTGCCTTTTCAACCGCCTCGAAACTCACTGTCGTATTGGGAGTTAAGCGTCCGATATACTGAATGTTTCTGCGTTCCAACAATCGCACAAAAGCCAGTTTTTCAGCAATATCCTGGTGCTTCCTAGATGGATACTGTTGCAGAAGGAACTCGGTCCCTCGGCATTGTATCGCATCACATGCTGGGTGTCGTTGTGCTCCTGGCGACACTCCTTCAACATTTTGATAGACCTGACATGAAACTAACTTCGTCCGTTTGAATATTGCGCATCTCTTGGGCAACAATGTCAATATCTTCTTCTCTGACGCAGTCCCGATAACGTTTAGCATTCCCGTCAAGATTTAGAAGGAACTCGTGTTGATTCGACAAGAGGCTATACGTCTTTAGAATATCGTGGGCCATTCGTTCTGGAAGGACGTCAGCGTAATCCGCTAAGAGCTTCTGAAAACTTGCGCTTGACTGATTCATTGCAATCGTTAGACAAATATGCACAGATACAAAATTACTAGGAATTTAGTCGTAGTAGAAAGCCACGCTAATTTAATTTAATAACGATTTTACTAATTCTTTGATGAATCAATAGACGTTTTTATCATTTAATCCATTTCGCTATGTAGTCCATGGTGAACTAGTTTTACGGGGTATCGGAACTTGCAATTTGGACGTCGTTCGTTGGCGATTACGTTTTGTGTAACAATTGGTTACTATAATAATATAATCTGTACGTTCTAACTTGGGCAATGATGCGGTACGTTATAACAGTATTTATTTCAGATGGCATTGTTTGATCAACAAGCGTGGCGAAGATATGATAAGGACCAAGGATTATGAATTCATGCGGTACCGGTTTTATCTAAAACATTCGTTTTGGTCTGTACTGGTGGCGCGTAGTTAACTATAAACTGCTACTTCTACTCGTATAATAGGTAGGTACAAGACAAAGAAGAGTACCTGAGAGAATGAAATGTTAGAGTACAAGCACTAACTTGGTGCAGCGCGTCTGCAGATCTATTTAAGGAAATCGGCTAAAAGCTGTACTTCTGTACTACTGTACGGTAGAACGAAAGAAAACCGCTCCGCTTGTTATTCTTTTTCAAAGTCTTAAGTTCAAGGATTCAGCTCAGAAACGCTCAAAATGCTTTGGAAAGTGTTTATTCTCGTGTTTTTTAGAAGGAATTTTTCATATAGATGATGATACAGCAGTACTGGTCTATAGCCACAACCCTTTATAAACTTGCTGAATAAAGACATTCTACAAAGTATAAGAAGAAATGTACAAGGAAATGTACTTGTACAGACAAAAATAAAATAATTTCGTCTAACGGAACGCGGCGCTCTAATTCAGACGGGATCGCAGCGTATCTGTCCCTCCGTCTGCTCCGAAAGCGTAAAAAGTATCATTGCCAACGAAATTTACAAACATAACAGTTTCCGCATTCAAAGTCTTCGCATTTAGCTTCTTTACGCATGCTAACAGACAATAGTTCTTCGTTCGCACGCAAAAGATGGATTGATTGGATTTACGCTGATTGATTTTGTTTGCCTCTAATGCCGTAAACCATCGCAGAACCGGTACATCGTAGTATTATTTGCCGACCCTTCTTGTGTTTGAATGATTATCAGCGTTACAATTCTGGCAGACACCTGGTTGCTGGTTATTTTGGCTAGAACCTCCGAGTCCGATAACCCTTTTGACCTTCCGATATTGAGGTGTTGGTTTACAAATCTTCTCTGCATGCTACGTTTGCTGTCCGGAAGATCAGTTGCTGGTCTCCACCAAGCGTTTGATTGTTTGTCCATTGAAGGGCAGACTATATAGCGATTTAATGGCGGAGTCAATCTCGGTTGCGGTAAACTGCCCGTGATTGGTACCATCAGCCATGGCCTGTTGCAGCAGCTCTCCTTCTTCCAGGTATCGCTGCAGCGTATTCTGATAGTCTTCCCAACCTTTTCGGCTGGCCCCAGTCGCAACCTTGTCCTCTTCGACTCCGATCAAATACCGCCAATAGCATTCCATAGGATCAGTATAAACATTATTGCGTTAGTTTTCACGAAATCCCAAAGTTTGGCGGCAACTTTGGTTATCACATCCATTTCAATGTTCAGTTGCGCTTTTCGATCTTGCAGATCTTGAAGGATTTGTCGCACAGTTTTGATGTGGCTATCTTTTTGGTTCAGCAAGGCTTGCACTTGAGCATCTATTCTTGGGACCGCTACTTCGCTTTGTTCATAGTCAATCCGCATATGCGTTTCCCATGAACAGCCGCAATGGCTGCATTTCTTTCCACTGCTGTCGATAGCTTTACATTTCTGCTGGCTTGGATTAGGGTATTGGCCAAGAACGCCTGTGATTTCGGTGCAGCGCTCGTGACAGTGTGTGATGTAATTGACCTTTTGCCCCACTACCTTTATGCACTTGCTTGCGGCACAAACTGTACATGGGTGGGACAGAGGTTTATTTTCCAAATCGAAGGACGGCACGTACAATTTCTCTACTAGGCGTTTTTGGTTTTCTTGGAAAAGGAGAATTTCTGTTTTTTCCTCCACCATTGAATATTCTCTTGAATGCTATTAATAACACAGACTAAAGGTTCTGTCAACGCTAGCATTAACCGTTTGTTTTGGTTGAGAGTCCGCGTTTCACCCATCTCGTGAGGCGGCCTGTTGGCAATATAATCTGTCAGTCGGTTCGTTTCTTTCATCGACTTGTCCCAGCTTTTGCGGAAGTCTTCTTGCTCGCTTTCGGCAAACCGAATTCCAAATTTTACAGCTGCCATGAAACGGATGGCTTCGTTGTCTCCGCAGTAGATGGTGTCCGAATGCAGTGTAAGTTCGCTTGGGGATTCACAGACTCAACCAGTTTGTACAAGGCTTGGTACGTGTCACCCGGGCGGTAGAAAGTGCTGCGCGCATTGGTGAATACGAATACGATGTTTTCGCAAGCATCGCGGTGGAGATGCGACAATAATTCTTTAATGCAAAACTGGAACATTACTGTCAGCCGGGCGTTATTGGGCTTCAGCAGGATGCAAATACCGTGTAGACTGTCATAGTGCGACAAGTGGTCCATGATGAACTGGAAATTCTTTTTATCCTGCTCCGTACCACGAGTATCCCCGATGCCCGGGGTGTCAATGAGCCGGATGATGTTGTTTCCTTTGCGAAAGACGTACGTTTTAGGCATTTGTGTGCAAGATTGGCCAGGTGTTTCGCCTTCGTTGTCACTGTTGCCCATAATGACCACCTGCCTTCCGTAGTTCTCATCTAATGTGATGGAATGACCGGGAATCAAATACAATGGCTCGCGAAGCGCATCGTCCAGCGTTGTGTAGGTGGCATAGTTGGCAAAACCATTGATCCACGTCGACTTTCCCACTCCCTTTTCGCCTGTAGGTTAAATGATTATTGTGGTAACGGTAAGGATGCACGGAACTTCCTTACCTAAGACAAGGATGTTGATATCTTTAAAAGCTTCCAGTTTGCCGATAAGACTGGTTAATACATAATATACATTTGACCGAAATCCGACATACTGCAGACCGTGCCTTTTTCTGCCGCAGTGAAAAGTAAATGTATCCGCTAGAGCTCTGCCACACTTGCAGTAGAAGTGATCATCAAATCCGTACTCTAGCAACTCCTGGCACTCAGCACACTTCCAGCTGCGAACTATTTCCGGTGAGCAGCAACCTGGTCTACTGGAACCGGGACACGGAAGTTCGACTGCACCTCGCTTCTGGGCTTGCTGACGTTTTACCGGCGCAATGGTTGGTTTCGCCATTGGAACGCTTTCTTCACCATCGTCCTCCTCGAACCCATCGTACATCCACTGTCCATTGCGATAGTGCGCCACTTCGTTAACTTTGGAACCCTTGGGTCCCATTTGGCCAGAAAGTTCACAGTCAACGATTATGAACGCTTTTGATCTGTCAGATTCCTTTGCGGCTGCTTCCGCCAAACTGAAAAACTTGCCCAGTGTGGTTGCCCACTCGTCCGAGTCGTTTTTACTGGCACTTTCGTGGTAGTACAGCACAAAGGTATCTTCAGCTGCGTTGAAACTCATCATCGCATCCGGTGCCGGATGCCCAATGTACTTAATCATACGCTGTTTGGCCGATTGGACAAAATCCAGTTTGTCCTTGATCGGTTGGTGTTTGCCAATAGGATATTGTTGAAAGAGAAAATCCACCATTAAACCGCGCATTAAACTGCACCAGTGCGCCTATTTGGTTTATTCCTTGGCGACAATCTTCGAGCATGCCAATTATGCTTGACGTGAAATTCACTTCAGCTAATTCGATGTTCTCTTTTTCTTCTATAAGAACTCGGGCATCTTCATCGCCTAAACATCCGGGATTAGCATTGGCAGTCTCAGACATGTCAAGAAAAAAGCTCTTCTTTCTTGTTATAATATTAAGGATCGATAAGGTTTTGCAGGCCTCCCGCTCGGGTAATATGTCGGCGTAGCCTGTAAGATGGCTTTGGAAATTCATCGATGACTGATCCATTATAGTTCTGCAATCAGTTTAAATATCAACTAACAACAAAATCAATTTCAAGACATCTAAGTGTCTTCATAATGAATGCACTACTTAAAAATTTCTTCTCAAGCTCAAGTTATTAGGTCAGTTTATAATTCAATAGAGTAGCAGATACTACCAGGCAATAAATGTAGGGAAACTGAAGTGAATCATATTTACCAGAGATCAGCAAGACGCCAATTCGGCAAAGGTTTGGCGTTATCTCGAACAACGACCTTGCATGTAATCAGCGAATTTTTATGTTCGGTTGTTGTGTTGTAATATAACCGGCAATAAGGTCTGGTTGGCTACGTGGCAGCCGTTGTCGTTTTATTTTCGCTAGCACTGAACTACTTTGCGATAGTGCGATTTTGCGACGACCCGTACGGTAGAAAGTTTTTAAACCGGTCTGCCGGTGGGAACGGGAACAGAGTAGCTTGGAACAGCTTCTTGAAGAGTGATGCATGTTACTAAGTAATTATTTGAGTTTAGCATCTATTTCAAGACACATGTAGCGATAAATTTTATTTCAAAATACGGAATCGTATTTTTTTCGTCGGTTAATGTACAGCTATATGACGCACTGTACTGCCGTTGACATGGACGGCAAAAGTGCCACGAAACACGCACGCATGCTCCCAGTGCTGGATGTTTTCGTGATGTCAAGTCGATTCCATTAGTGAAGAAGTAAAACTAAGAAGTGAAATATTTGGGAATTCGGAACTATCTTTTAATGTAAATTCTAGGTAGGCACGATTGTCACCAATGGTGAAAAGCATCTGGTACGTTGATTCCCTGTTTCGTTTTTGTAACTCTGATGAACCAGTTCGGGGCCCGGGCAGTTCGGGTGGACCCTGCTACAGACATTATTGCATTTAAAATTCACGTTAATATGAACTTCTTCTAAGCCGGAACGTAACAACCAACTCCATTTTCGTAATGCGACCCGTTGTTTCTTGGCGTTTCAGAGTTCAGTCAATTAATTCGGTAATTATAAATTTTCAGTTATGATGCTAGAGCTTTTCTCAAATAAGATCTCCTTGATAATTTCATATTTTTCTGATTTTATACAAATTAACGAACATTAATATTATTTTATTATTAACATTTATTTATTTATTTATATTATTATTATTTTATGTGAGTGAAATCCTGTCAGAAGTTGGCAGTCAAAGCGAAAGCTGTCGACGTGAAAACAACAACCATAATTTCTAGAAACATGAGATTTTACCGTAGGCATAACATGATTCTGTCGTGAGAAATACCTGACAGGTAATGTAAGTTTTTCTGCTGGCTCCGTACTCAAGTACGAGTAAATATACGTTTAAAAAACAAATCTTACCCCCATGCTTAGAAAACTAGATTTCGAGTTCGGTGTTTTGACCGTTCGCGGTAATGCCGGGTCCGAGAGCTTAAGTTGACAAATTAAGCATAATGCTTCGCAGCAAAGTTTTAAGATGGATCATGGCACCGGTGCACTTGTTCTTACTGAATGCAGAAATAGGCCTGTGCGCACCAGAAGGTAGTCAGCCGGTGCATGTTTGTACAATGCATAGAATGAACAAGACTGTAACATTATGTTTTTACTATAGAGTATAAACCAGAGGCTGCAAGTGTGTCCACGCAAGTCACGTCGACGGCCAGCGGCTATCCGCGTTCCCATGGTACGAGTGTGATCACATCCGGCCTTTTGCGATCCTTCGCTGAAAGACCTTTCGGCTCCATTCTCAATGAATGCCGGGGCCGCAGCTGAACATGCCGAAAGAGCGAAACTGACGAAACACAGCTGGCTGCAGCCACGGTATAACTTCATGGCGGCAGCATTCGAAATTTACGGACCGTGGGGAGATGGAACAAAAAGGCTTGTGGATAAGGTTGGAAGCGGTATGGCCACCGCCACAGGCCAGAAACGTGCGAAAGAGTTTTTTAGACAGCGGCTCTCTATCCAGATACAACGGGGAATGCGATTTGTGTAATGGGTACAATTCCCGATCAGGATAGCATTGAGGAAGTGTTTCTGTTATGAGATTAATGTTTTCTAGTACTAAGTTTGTACTTGTGACATGATACTTATTAAAGGTTAGAATATGTATAAACCGAAATTTCAGTGTATGTTGCAAACTTACTTATGTAATTCATAAGGTTGTTGTTGGTGCAGTTATGTAGAGGTTCAATTACGATGACAATGCTATTATATTTTAGAAAAGATATTTCTTTGCGAATATGGGATGTATCGGAACGGATCCGGCAAGTGTGTCAACTGCGACTGTAATCGAGCAGGGACTGTTATTCCTTACTCCAAGCTGGATAATCACTTGGAGTATAATGGTGTACTGCCTTGCGATGCGTTTTCTGGACAGTGCGAGTGCGGTGCATCTTATATTGGTCGGGCATGCGATCGATGCGCGCCAGAAACTTGGGTCTCTGATGTGGACATCCGTGGTGTTCCATCTTGTCGATCCTGTTATTGTAGTTTTCCAGGGAGCAAGCACAATGTTTGCAATGTGACGACTGGGCAATGCACATGCAACAACGAAAATATTTTAGGCCCAACTTGCCGCATGTGCCAAGCCGGATTCTGCAACTACCCTATGTGCGACCCGTGCGAAAATCTCCTTGCTGCGACATTTTCCTCAGTCTAGCCAGCCGTGCTGAATGCGACACTCAATCTTTTTTGTGGTTTTTATTTTAACGGATTACGGGACTTTTGGTTTTAATTGAACTATTGAAGCATGTGCGGATCTACCGTCACGCTTTGGAATTGCTCATGACTTGATGCTATACATCGTGGTTATGACTGCAGGGAAAATGGTAGATGCAAAGGCGTAAAAGACTGATGCTTACAAAAGCATGCCTAGGCCTGGTTTTACTACGTACTCGTATCTTGCATGTGTCCGTAAAGATGTACCTACGTATACTCGAATTTGTATATCCAGTTTTTTGTCGAGGCCGACGACTTATGACCAAAATCTAGCCCCAACAAATACCGTAAACACGACATATCTTCCAACGCTTTTTATCGACCCAAGAGTTTGTTGTAACTGGCATTTGAGCCGCTAATCGCCAAATAATTTCCGTTGTATCATGCAGCCAGTTCCATTATAGATTATACTGAAGTTAAAGCAGTCTACGAGCCGGCTGCCACAGAACTATTTCATCGTTGTTGGTAGTAAAAATAACAATAACACCCGACTGAAGACGAAAAGGTGATCCTGCCATGCTTTCCAAAGCAGCCACAGTAGTCAAGATCAGATTTTGTAAGAAAAGCACACCACACCCCTTTTACCGCTGTTTGATAACATTAATCCAGTTTACAACTACTTAATTTATCTGCGCTATATAAAAATCGATTTTACAGCACCTTCGATAATTTACAGTACGTTTTACAATACGTTCGATAACACCAGTACAATTACCGTAGTATCGGAAGTTATGCCGATTTCCTCGTCGTGCATTGTGCTGGCGTATAAGATGTTCACAAAGCCTAAAACATCAAATTATTGTTGTTTTTTCTAGTGCAGAAATCACCATCACCCTGGGCATAGCGTGATCGCATCATGAGAGAAGCTTTACAGTTCTGCACGATAACCTAATGCGCTGAAACAGGCATATTACTGTATTATACGATTACTGATTATTACGACGGCAGACGTCGTTGAAGACTTCTAATTACTGTAGTACTGTGTTAGCGCAATACAGTACAAACTACAGAGTAAACCGGCATGCCCCTTCCAAACGCTTTCGGAATTTTTGTGTTGCTGACCCGTATACTCTTGCTGGAAATAAAATCGGCATTATGTGCCCCAGCCGCAGCGCTATCCGGTAATTCACCTGCACTATGCTTAACAGTACATATTATATTATTATTATAATTATTATAACGCTCGTCTTACTTGACCGCTCCTTCTCTGTGACCTCTGCCCGTTTTTCGCAATTAATCATTAATTCTAGAGAACACTCCCTGTGGAACGGGAATGTACAACAACGGTTCCTATGGTTGTGTCAGTTGTAATTGTAACCCCTTCACCGCTCCGGATCGAGATGACAGGGAGAAATGTGATCCGCATACTGGACAATGTCCTTGCCTTCCCAACTTTGTCGGGCTGGCATGTAATAAATGTGCACCGGGAACATATCGTTTTGGGTATGACAAATGTGGAACATGCCCGTGCTCTCCCAGCGGCAGTGTAGATAATTCATGCGTAAGATATTCGGGTGCATGCGTTTGCAAGACGGATCGGATTATCGGCACATATGTATTGCGATTCCTGTCAAGCTGGATTTTGCAAGTTCCCAGTGTGCGAGCCTTGTGAAAATGCGCTTAGTACGGTGATTACCAATGCTTCTATCGTTGTGGCGAATGAAGTATTCAAGATGTTTCGCGCTGTTGTAAAATTTCCCATGATGCTGCCGCGCATTTTCTAGAGTAGCAAATTTTTACGCAATTTTACTGTCTCACCGTTCCGCGCAAAGAATGACATCTGTTTGCTCTTCGCACTACTGAATATAAAGAGGAATGCTAGCGAGAGAATATAAAGAGAAATCACTAAATGCTAGCGAGACTGCATCGTCCTAACTGTAAAGTAAAAGCTGAATATTCCCAGTTATTGCAAAACTACTGTAACTAGCGGCGTATTTGTCGTTTTTCGCCATAAAGGAGTAATTTTAATTCGGTACGGAATTCATATTTATTCGTACGGCCAGCTGTTTTGTTGAATTGCTGGACTGCTGAGAAGCGCTTCCACAGTTTTGGTTAAAGTTTTTTTGGAAATATCGAAACAAAAATCTCCTGAAAAAATGTTTGCAGGGTTATTAATACTTGTGTTACGATAACGCAGACTTCTAGTCCACGCGATTATAAGCAGCTATACAATACATTTACCATAACTACCCGGTAGACTCATAAAAGCCTCTACCGGCATTCGTAAAATCCTTGCCATTCGATAGGCATCTGGTGGGAGTTTGTGGCCGCAGACCGTTGATCCAGTGGCAACAATCGGACACGGGTGTTAAGCCATCCAGAGTCTTCTGGTGACGTGCAGCTAGTAGCTACTGTCGCACCTGCAACCACAGAACATGCAGTAAAATACTAATAATTTATCGCCATAATAAGGAATTAGGCTGTGAGAAAACTCGAATGTTTTTAATTTTTTTAATAGTTTGTTTATTGGTTTCTGTCGGTGTTGTCTTTACGACGTTGCCAGTTCACTTAAGCGAATTCCAATAATTATTATGAGGTTTTCCAGTTGAAAGACGCATGTACAAGGTACGGTATTATTACCGCGAGCGTAACATGACTCCACCATGAAATGCGCCTGATATGTCTGCTAGGTAGAGACTATCACATCGCTAGTGAGAGCATACAAACTGCAGTGTATTAATACTGGCGCTTTTGTCAGAGATTCCAAGTGTCAAGGATTACACGACCTGAGACTAGTGACTTTTCTGATTCTAGTACTGAAAAGCCGATTTAAAGACGATGCCGCATTGCAAAGCTTGGATATGTCTGACGTGGCTGGTTTATCTTTTCTTGCTGGAAACAAAATTTACCACCGCCCCACCTTCGTCGTCAGGTAACAAAATATAATTAACAGTGTGCTGTAGTGTCAGCAGTATGTTCGTTTCCATTAATCTTCGCTGCACCATGATTCCTGCACGATGTTTATGTTTTCTGCAGATGACAGCCAGTGTCCGTATGGATCGTTTATGAACGGCACCTATGGTTGTGTGAATTGCGCCTGCTACCGCCGGGGAACGACAGATCCGTACGGATCGTCAACACAGACGTGCGATGCAAATACTGGACAATGTCAATGTGGCCGAAATATTATTGAACGGACGTGCGACCGATGCAACCCGGGGTCATACGACTTAAGTGCTGGCTATTGTTTGGATTGTTGGTGCGCTCTTGAAGGTTCCAGCAGCACGGTCTGCAATGAGGTGACTGGCCAGTGCAAATGCAAAAACGATAACATTGGCGGTCGAGGCTGCGAGCGATGTCGTGTTGGCTTTTGTAACTATCCCGTGTGCGAACCGTGTGAAAATATCATCGGCCCGGCGATCGCCAAGATTCCCACCACCATCGTGAACGCGACATTGGACATTCTTCGCGCTTTCTCGTTCTACATTAGGCCGTACTGAGTCTACTGACTAAACACAAAAATGCGAATATGTCTGCTTCCAAATTCGTTTACCGTTTAGTACGAAATGTACTTCATAGATCTTGCGTCATTTTGGCTAATCATTATTTTTGCAAGAATTCAAGTACAGCTGTTGCATTAAAGTATGCAGAATTTTGATTCCAATGCAAACACAAATGTCATGCAAATATAGCCCTATACCACTGTATTACTCACATCATTTATACCACTGTATTATTCAACATCATGCAGATGACGGCGTCATGCCTTCTCTGCGTTGTGACAGTAAAAACAAATTATAAGTGACAATTATATTTTTGACAGATTTCAGGCAATAGCCGAATTTCTTTACCCAAAACGTGACAGACCCAAGCGCTTATTATCGAAGTAAGCGATGTAGTGGTAGTCGGTTGGCCGATATTTCGTCGACCGACACGAGGGCGACGACTTAAGAAACCTAGGAAAACTAAGAAAACTAAAAACAAACTAACTTACGATGGCTTAGCTGAACGTTAGTCCGACATCGTAGCGGGCGACATCGTGTCTGTTCGGCGAAGTGGCAGTCGCCGAATTTTCGTTTACGAAATTGCGGGTCACCGTGGTAGCATGGTGCTGAATATTTTCAGTATCAATGACGCTACAAGTACGTTCTATTCGGGCCACTGGACGGCACCGAAACAACTTTTGAATATCGCATTAGCAGAACGTCGAATTCTTTATTCTTTGGAATTTCGTTTTGAGCAAAACTTACAAAACAATATACTGTGGCCCACGGTTGCTGGCGCAGCAGTATTCCATCAAATATAGCATAATCACTACGTACTCTATATGGAACCGTATATTTCCAAGACACTTTGAAATCAGTGGTAGGTTTCCAAATCTCAAAGAAAAGAAAGCAACAGCTTTGTACATATTAGGCACAGGAAGGCGTTAACAAAACAATAAAATGGACAATCCGCTACAACAAGAAAATTTCTTCTAATTTCTCCTGTTCCTTTATTGTGCCCATCACACACAGAGCGTACCCTCTTTGAATTTGTATGGAGATCCGTTGCCGTAAGAATTCTTTCGCGCGCGATTGCCCGGTAGCGGCCGCTATAAGGTATCCGACTTTATCGACCAGCTTCTTAGCTCCGTCGCCCAATGGTCCGTATATTTCAAAGCCAGCGGCAACAAAATTGTACCTTGGCTGAAGCCACGCATGTTTTGCGAGCTTTTTTGTTTCGGCCAGTTCCGCTGCGGCACCGACATTGACGGATGTACGGTCAATATAGGAGGTGGCCAGAGTGTCCACACAGGTCACGTCTATTGCGAGTGGTTTGCCACGTTCCCATGGAATAAACGTAACAACATCCGGTCTTTTATTGCCTGTTACGGCCAGTCCCTTAGGTTCCATTCTGGCAGGGAAACCGCACGTCGTTAGCGCGCGGGCGAACTCCCTGCTGATGCCATCGTGTCTAGGTAAACGTCCGGCTGATCGTTTGCTTCGCAGTCCATGTCTCCCGAGTTCGTCCACCCATTCGCCGCACTTACATTCGTGGGGAGTGACGACTGGAGCTCCTAATCGTAGAGCGACGCTGGTTTGGAAATCAATGTTTTCGAGTAAATTACCCAAACATGCAGCGGGTAATGCGTGGATCCAGTGACCTGATTCTGGGGTCGATACAGCCTTCAAGTGTGCCACTTCTGTAGTAGAGACACGGAGAGCTGAAAGGTCTGAGAGAGCACGTAAGGTCGCGGGAGTATCACAGGCCTTTTGGATGCTCTGGACGGGTTCGGCCGGCACATCGTTCAAGCAGGTGACCAACTTCCATGCCAGTGTTGCGGCGGTTATATCCGTCGGTGGTAGGATCGGGCATAGTTTAGAGAAGCGGACGCAATGAGGAAGCCGATGCCAAGTAGGCGGAGGGAGCTAGCTCCTCTGTGCGTCGTGGTAGGTTGATTACGAGATTATTACCAAACGTTGAAGTCGGACACAGTCTTTGTTGTTGGCGAAACGAAACCACCGTGTTATTTTCTTCCAAGTAAATGGCCTGTCGCCGCAGGCATAACATGATCCTATCATGAAACGCACCTGATACATTGATAAGAATTCTTTAATTAGTCATACAGTATTAAAGCGTATGAATGTTGTCTAAGCGGTTCACCACGTTTGACTACCTGTTCTGACCAACTCACCATGAGCGTAACATGACTAGACACATTTATCGGAAGATGCCCATTCTGTTTCTCAACCTAATTTTAGTTTTGGACTTTCGTCCGTTCGTACGGGACGTACTAATAAAGTTAGGCCTTGGGATCTGGCCGCACAGTAAACTGGTGTTTCTCGATTCTGGTAATTGTAAGCATAGCTGCTTCGTGACCTTGCATCCTTTTCCAACCTGTACAGTCGTAAGCTCCCTCGAAGCGCTGAATAAGCAATTCGAGTTGAGACGCTTTAAGAGCATCGTTTTAGTATACATCAGTAAAAATGGTCCATTTAGTACATAACCTTAAACACCATGAAGCATCATGCGTAGACTTAACAAATAAATTGGTAGTTGCGAGTATTTACAGAAAACTGAGCCGTGACAAACAGTTAAACTTGAGCACTACCCTAGCGTTTTATGAATACTACGACGGGTATGCCTTACTCTAATGTTATGAGAGCTCTTGTACCGGTAATATTCATCCTCTTGCTGGAAGCCGAATTATTTATCTGCGTACCAGCATCAAACGGTAATAAAATCGTACGGCGTTCACTGTTGACAGGAAGTACCACGAAGTCAAGAACGCTTCCGTGTGTCTGCTTAGTAATTATTCACATTGCCGCCATTAATTAGCGTCGTCACAATTCATTCTTCATAGTGATACACTGATCATGATATACAAGGAAAACGCTGCGTCTGCCGGATTATAGCCTTTATCTTGTTGCATCTCAATCAGGATTTTATTTATTTTTTCAAAGCATTAATTTTTACTTGAATATATTTCAGTTGTAACAGACAAGCACGAGGAGATCACGAGTGATGCTTTATTGACAAATAAAGGGGGAGCAATGCTGCGTAATAGCAGGAAAGCAAGAACAAAGCACAGATGGCTAGATAGCAAGTGGATGCTAACAAGGTTCTTGAGCGTCTGATGGCGTGAAAGAAGTGCTGGCGGCAACCACGTGCTGTGTGCCATCAGCTGTGTGATGATGCGCAGACTGGACTCTATCCAACGCGAGCGTATGAACGCTGAGTCATACTGCGAAAAAGGGACGAGAGAGCAAGTGTGGCTCATTGTGTGCGCTGCGTATGTCCGCTTCAGCGGATGAGTGCAGTGCAGCAGCACACGTACGTACAGCGAGAGAGGCGATAACGGCATGCAATGGGTGCAAGTACTTCCTGTGTGGACTGTACGCACCAGGCGCAGTCGTACGCCTCTGACACAGTTAAATAATATTATATACAATCTATTTGATTTTTCTTTAGATGACAGCCCCTGCCCATTTGGAACTTGTATAAACGGTACTTGCGGTTGTGTAAACTGCTTGCTACCGGCGGGGAACGACAGATCCGTACGGATCGGGAACACAGCCGTGTGATACGAATACTGGACAATGTCAATGCGATACAAACGTCATTGGGCGCGCTTGTGATCGGTGCAGACCGGGGACTTATGGTTTAAGTGGTGGCGGTACTAGTTGCTGGGGGTGTCGGGGCTCTGCCGAAGGCTCTGGTAACTTTGCATGCGATGAGATGACCGGCCATTGCAAATGCAAAACGATAACATTGACAGCCAGTCATGCAACGGATGCCGTGTTGGATTTTGTAATTTTCCGGTGTGCGAACCGTGTGAAAATGTTATCGAGCCGGCCATTTCCAAGATTCCCATCACGATTGCGAGCGCGACACTGACCATTCTTCGAGCTTTTTCGTTCTACATTGGGCAGTATTGAAGTGGTTCAAGACAATCAAGACGATGATTATTAAGCTAACATAAATAACATTTAATGAGTTTTGCCATTTTCATCTGGAAGCTTAATTACAGTACAATACATACAAATTTTCATTGGATAGAGGCCAGAGAAAAGTTCTTGTTGCTTTTACTTTATCAGCCCAGTGTGTCTACGACGATCAGGGTCATCTATACGATATGATGGAGTCAGATGGACTATTCTAAAGCTCGAACAAAAAAGCAAAGTCTTACAGTACAAAAATTAGGTTTAGGTTTATTCAGTCAATGCTACACCATGGAACATTAGCACAACACGCTAATAAAACACGTCAATCCGATCAGACCTGCCGAGAGGTTATTTCCCGAACCGAAAGTGTGTTAAAATATGTATGTTCTATACTGTAGTCTGTCTTGATATACAGTTGCACAAGCGAAAACATATGCTTGGCAAGCAAACTCATAAGCGATTTGTTTTATTGGCCAAATTAGAAATTTCCAGGCTTTGAATACCATAATGAAGTACGATGAAGCATTTTTGTTCTTCCGGCTATGTACTCATCGAACCGGCACCGATACATTTCGCCGAGAATAAATATGTAGTCGCGGGATAAGTGGCAGCAGACATTTCGCCGCATATCCAACTCACTAACCAGTAAAACCAGGATAATGCCTATATTCCTCAAAAATGGAGACTTATCTGTACATCACTGCATAGGATTAAATCTGTACGAGTACCCCCTGATATGAACGGCTCTAGCTAGATACCGTTAGCTCAAAGCACGTTGAAGTTGCGCAGGTTTTCGTTGCCGGAAACTATGAATAAGTCATTTCCAATGGAAAGATGTACGCAAAAAATTTATCACCCCGGGCATAACGTGATCCAACCATGGAACATGGCTGATTGCTTGTTTTCTGACTACTGCGCGTATACATCGCTAATGGATTAACTGCAACGCATATAAATACCGGCATAATTATTGAATTCCAACGTTAGTCGTCATGAATTTTACAGACTGTTAGTTACTCAGAGAATCTGTTAGCAAGCTATCTTGTAATCTGCATTCAAGCATGATGCTGCACTGCAATGTTCTGGGATATCTGCCATGGGTGGCGTTTTTGTTTTTGCTGGAAACAAAACTCTCCACCGCCCCACCATCCGGTAACGAAGGCGTTGTGGTATTGCGTAGCGCAAAAGATACTTTAATACTGAGCGTGAACAGTGTGCCATGTCCAGCCAGTTATTTAATTCATGATTGTTACCGATTTTTTATGCATGATTTTCTTTTCTTTTATAATAGACAGAGATGAATGCCCGTACGGGAAGTACATGAACGGTACATACGGTTGCGTAGACTGTGGGTGCGTCCGCAGAGGAACAGAGTATACATATGGAGAGACAACATTGCCGTGTGATGCAAAACCGGACAATGCCAATGCAGCCGAAATTTTGCTGGACGGATATGTGATCGGTGCAGAGTGGGGACGTACCTCTCGCCTTATGACGGTTGTTCAGAGTGTCGCTGCTCGATCCAAGGCTCTGGCAGCCTTGCATGCAGTGAAATATCCGGCCAATGCAAATGCTTGAACGACAACATTGGCAGTCGAGACTGCAGCGTATGCCGGGTTGGATTTTGTAATTATCCCGTGTGCGAACCATGTGAAAATGTTATTGGTCCGGCAATTTCCAAGATCCCGACTGCTATAGTGAACGCGACGTTGGATATTCTTCGCGCTTTTTCGTTTTACATTCGACAATATTGAAATACTACAACAAGACGGTTAAACAGCGAAACATATAAACCACCATTGCGATTTGCGCCTGAAAAACTGAATATCTGAATTGCATAAATAGTTTCTCATTATTTTGGCTAGCCACTAGTTTCCCCAGAATCAAATTATTGTTACACGCCCTGTTTTAATTCATTGTATACAGTATCGACTGAATACAAAAGGTTTAGCCAGGGCCCAGGGAAACATGTTTTCACATTTTTGAAACTTGCTTCCTTGAATGTCTGCTGTGCGGAGCGCGTACAAACTTTGCATTCTCTTGGCTAGACGCAATATTAGAAGAAAAATTTATCTTTTATTGCTCAGGACAATCCTGTCGTGTTATGAGGTTGCCAATGGTACAAAGAAGTACACGATTAGCTAACAACTCTCCGGACGGGATCGTCGTAACCACTATCCCTGCCTTGCTCAGTGAGTATCGCAACTCTTGTCTCAATTGTTACAGCGGATCACAGGAAATGTATGGAATCTGGTAGGTTCAGGAACACGAAGATCAGGAATCCCTAAGCGATTGTGCTGAAGAATACTCCTAAGTTCCGGTCGTCACATATGCGGGTCGAACGAAGTACGAGCATACCGTGTTTACCACGCTATAATCCGATATAAATTACGAACGTCGATAATCACAGAAGATGCTTTACTCCGCTAACACACAATCATATGCACAACACAAGGAAAGTTAAAAGCAAGTAGTCGTCAGATCAGAAATCCAAGACTGAAATCCAATCTCTGTCGATATTAGTAGAATCTCAGACTTAAATAGACTCAGAAGTAAAAACATCAGATACACCGCTAAGCCATAAATGTAACGAATCACAGAACTGATCGGTGCTGATATCCGGTGTTGTACTTGCAGGTGAAGGCGGACAGTCAGTGGATGTACGGTGGAATCCCTCGTACGTACTCCTCCACACGTCACCCCCACAAACGTTTCTTGGCTCCTGCCAACGCAAACAAGTCCATCCGCAACATCCCGTGAGATTGTGAGCGCTCCATCCCTGATCCATCTCCCGTCCTTCGCCACAATCCACGCATGTCCATCCGATGCCCAGTGACTGTACGCCTGATCCGTGTGAGATGTTAATGTGTGGATCCTAGCGTCGTTGGCATCCGGAAGTCCATGGGATTGGCGAGGAGGAGGTCCAGGATCCAGTCGTGTTAGAATCTACTATGTACTACTGTGCCTTTTGTGCGATGAATTTTCTGTGTTCTGTATAGGCACTAGGCTTTAATAATAGTTTTTAAACTGAATTACTTATACTGTTCTTCCAGATCTTTTAATTGCAGAGAATTAGAGGATATTTGTACGGTGATTTTAATTATTAGATCTGTACAAATATATCCTGACAAATTTCGCAAAAAATGCTACAAAAATGTACAAAATGCAAAATGAAGTGCAAGATATGAGAAATCAGATATGATACATAAAAATTCCGCCATAATTCTAATTATTCGGAACGAGGGAAATTATGCAGAGAGATAATGGAGACATATTGAGGCTGCACGTTCTCCTGGACATTACCCGTATTATCCAGTCGCACGACCTGTGAGTAAGGAATCTCCGGGGACGGCTCTCTCTCCAATATCTGCATTTCTGCGACAGGTTCTTCAGGTTCTGGCGGTGGAGTTGGCTCTCGAACATCGCCCATACACTCCGAAAACCATTCTTCATAGCCTTTGATATCAAACGCAGCAGGAGACGACCAAGGCTCCTCAGGCTCTTTCTTTATCAGTCGACCACGAAAATTTACACACAAGTTTGCCGTCCGAATCCAACGCTGAGATTCTTCATCCGTTTCAAACACGCGCAGGATCTCCCGAATATGCTCTTCCTGTCGTTCTTCTTCAGCCCATTTATCGTTCTCCCGTCGGACTTCATCCATATCCTCCATCGTTTCCACATAAACCATCATTGCAGCAAGCATATTCTGACATTCTTGCTGAGCGCGATCATATGCTTCCAAAGCTCTGATGCCCAAACGTCTGGCACCACGCGTAACAACGCGACGAGCGGCTCGAGTAACAACTTTGGCCGACATTTTAGACTCAGAGACAATTCTGTAAGAGCTGTAAGGTTTTCTAAATTTGACTCGTGTTAGAATATCAACTTTTGCTTTATGTACTGAATATAGCTGTGGACATCCAATCGTGATGCAGCAATGTGTGTACCGGAAATGTATCAGACTGCCACTCCGTTGGTGCGTGAACCGGAAATACACTGTAGCGCTTATTCTAATTTTTAATTTTAATTGGAATTATCGGCTTCCGCTGAGTAGCTTCATCTTTTCCAGATTAATAGACAGATTATCATGCGAAGCAAAACAGCACAAAAATAAAGAAACTATTATCTATTAAAACTAGAAACGAAGTCATTATCGACACATGGGCGGTAAAAGATACGCAAACCATTCAAACCGTGTTGGGCTCCTTGTTCTCTTGGATGCACAACTTACAAGGCTTATTGTTCGAACTGCTGGAGCGCACTTCCGACGAGTTCTCCTTCAGTGGTGACAACGGGAAACTGTAGAAGCCAAATCCTCCCGTGTTGGCCGATGCCGTAGGCGCAGAATGTGGTTCAGCCATCTGCGAGGCGCCTCCATTCAACTGCTCCACAGTGTCTCGGTACAGCAGCGGGGCAACCTTTTCCCAACGCTGAATAGTCATACCGTCGCAAATAACATCCTTTCCAATCGTTCGTTGATCCAGAGGAACAGTATCGATCATGTCCAGTGCCATATTAATCAGCTGAGCAGCGCGAACCATTTGCTGATTCGGTGCTTCCTTCGGTTCTCGTTCTTCGTCAGGCATAGAAAACAACGACGAAATAGATTCAGTACGATAGCTACGCGGCGATCCAAACTCAGTGGCGATCGAGGACCCATGGCGCTGCGCATATCCAATCATGACAGGAATCTTATTGACGGATTCCACAGAAGCTGCAGCCAAACGAGAAGTCATTTCTTCCTCTCGACCCGAAGCGTAACGTTGGAAAAACGTGTTGTTGCGCTGCGATTTATTCGCCATGATAGTGTAGGCTTCCGATCACGACCACAAATGAAAACTAGCTAGTACTTATGGCAAAACTTGTACCGTACTGGCCATATATTTAGATTTTCAGACTAAAGGGCTTGACTTCTGGTATTGTACTATTGCATCTGTGCACAACGAGTTTTCGCTTATCCGTACTGGTTGGCTTGTACGACCGGTTATACTTGCTTAGCTCTTTTTATTTCATATTTTACTGAGTGTTTGTACTTAATATTAATTTTAACTACTAATTAGAAGGAACAAGCACCCAGACGACCTTTTTAGCTTTTTATTATTTTTTTTTGGATTTTACATTTCATTATTTTGGGGTCCCTGAGGGCTGCGTACGGTTCATACTGCACTTGGGGACGACGGTCTAACCGGATTTGTCCCATTTCCGTTAACAACAAACACACAAAACGCGTAAGAAACAACTTAGTGGCTTTTGAAAATGACGCGCCACACACCAGTAAAAATCCAAAACAACAAAATTGAAAAGAGCAACAACATTTAGGTCAGGTCAGGTAATATCACAGAACAACAACAAAATCAAAAATGTCTGCCCATGACGAGTAATAATTAACAATAAATAAATGAGAATTTACCATAGCACTTGCTGCTGCTTGGTGCCAAGGAAAATAATCCTGTCTGTCCCGCACTCGACGAGGCTGACACGGCATCCAGACGGCGACTGACTTCTTCCGCCATCTTACGTCGCTTTTCCATCTCCGACTCTCGCTGCTTCTGCTGGAGTAACTCTTGGTCAGCAACGAAATTAGGCACAAAATCATGCGAGGGTTTCCCGATTCGGTCTCGCGAAGCTGAACGGTCACGATTCGTATTCACCGGTACTGCGAAGGCATCGACTCCAGGTGGCAATCCCGGAAGTGCACTGACTGCTGGTACTGCTTGCCCGGGCTGCTGTGGTAAAGCTGCTACGCTGGCTGGCACGCTTCCGACAATCAGGATAGACGAGCCTGATAAATGTTGATCAGCATGAGGAGGAGCGGCGACAATCTGGCCCACAACTCCGCGACTCGGATCTTCAGCTGGTGGAGGCGCCTGCGCAGGGTTCGCGACGTCGACCTCCATAGGGACGCCGGAATTCTCCACTCGTTGAGCCGGATCATCTGGTCCAGCAGCATTCGGAGCAGGACCCTGTTCCCCCAAGGGTCTGCCTCCACGGATCCAATCAGATGGCCCACGACGGATGTTGTTGCTTCCGTGACTTCGATGGTACATAGGGCGATACGGGCGAAATCCGCCGCGCGCACGGCCACCACGGTATCCTCCTCTCCAGCCATACTGTTGCTGTTGTTGCGCCGTCTGCGATGACTGAAATACGGCGTCAACGAGCTTTTCAAAAGCTCGGTTCGGATCAATTGGCGGCATAGCAAATCATTACGAGAACAAGTGACCTTAGCCAGCAATAAAGCGAAGTAAAAGTTCCACACAAAATAACGAAATAACAAGGAACTAATACACGGCCTGTGCGGCGTGACTGAAAAAGGTGCAACTTAAAATGAGGAACTGCACTGTGCAGTCTGTGCTAATTTTAACTGTTTAAATACCTGTGCCTGCTGGCTGATCAAGCGTGCCGGTGTGTTGGGAAATTTCCCCACTTTCAAACCTCATTCGAGCCAACCAATCACCATCACAGGTTAAAGCTCTTTTAATAGGAGTTAGATAGATTACGTCACAGCATCGGCTTCTCCACGCATGATCAAATCATCAGATTAAAAATTTTACCAGGCACACCGCGGCAACAAAAGACTGCAGTTAGCTATTCCGGGCGTACAAAAGGCGCAAAAATTCACGGTCAAATTAAGGTTACAAAAATAGAGATGAAATATTATATAGCAATAAATCGCTAATTAATCTCGCTATAAAGGCAATCGTAACAACAAGCTCATACGAAAGATGAAGGTTAACTATGCCGATTTGATAAAAATCGATGGCAAAAATGGGTTGAGAGGAAAAATACCACGATTATCCAAAATGGGGCTGCGGACTGGTGTCAGCTGTCCAACTTGCAACTCCTCCGAGCGTGGCTCTTCTTCCTGCTGTTCGACGACAACTTGCATCTGCACCACTGCCGCTACTGCTGGAACATTTTCCGCTTGCTCGTCGTCATCGACGCACAGCTGAGACTGTTCTTCTTCCTCTGGCTGTTCATCAGCAAAATCCACTAAGTCGCTAACATCCGCTTCCTCCATTGCGACTTCTGCAGCAGACTTTTTCGGCAAGATATGCGGGTGCTCAAAATCGGGCATCGGTACATCTTCTTGGTCCGAATAAATAATAAGCGAATCTTCGAAAATCCGCATTTCACGCTCGTTTTCGCTGTCCGAATGAGAATCATCATCTTTCTTGTCCATTGGCTTAGTATTTGTAGATAGGGGCTGGAAAATGCTGACAGCCTCCGGTTTCTCCGCACTACTTCCGGCCTCTTCGTCTATTTCATCGAACTTGCGCTTAATAGATCCGATTAGACTGCTGAAGCGAACCCGGCGTTCTGCTTTAATGCGTTGAAGATGCTCCCATCCGGCTTTGGTTTCCTCACTGGTTTCGGAACTAGTGGAGTGATCAGTGGGAGAATCGCCATCCGTTTGTGTATCCAACGAACCACTGGTATCACTGCCGTTCTGATCACCGTCCGCTTCTTCACCATCCTCGGCGTCTGCGTCGTCGCCCGAATCTTCGCCGTCCTGACCAGCATTCTCAGCCGCAGCTTTAACCTCCGCTTGATGCTGGTTCAGCGCTTTAAACAGGACAGAAAAAGCTGGGTGTAAATATAGGTACTGTCTTTTGAGTTCATAGGCAATTTCTTTTGGTAACTTCTGAGTCCATTTGAATAAGTCATAACGGTGGATTAACTTGCCATCATTCGATAACCAAAGGCGATGATAATGCTCACCGGCGACATCCACACTTGGATCAACGGCTTGGGCGACGGCCATATCATCCCTATCGTCAGCCACGGCCAAATCAGGAAACTTCAGTGTTACTGAGTCGACCGACGAAGGCTCAGTCTCCGTGTCTTCTCGTCCGAGGCCTACCGCATTCAACTGTGGCCGCTTGCTGCGCTGAACAGGCCTTTCCGGCACACCAGTTCGTCGAGCAAACCCGGGGCGTGAAACGCGTACAACACCATTTCCGTTTCCTGCCACATGGTTAAAATTAATTAAGATCTCCTTCCTTTAAGTAACCATCGTGTGCCATGTCGTGTTATAATTCGATAAATAGGGTTTTAATTTAAATCTTAAAAATAGGTTTAACATTCAGCAATTCACCACGAGTCATAAGATAGTTTAAGGTAAAAAGCATAAAATACGGCATCTACCTGCAGCATGTCCACTGGTGCCGCTATCTCCCTCTGACAAGTCCGACGATTCGACCAAGCGAATCCGAGGTTTGCTGCCTCCAGGTGGTGTGCTGCTATTGCTGGACGACGAGGAAGGCTGTCCTCGCCAACGTGTCTGTTCTGGCGTGCTTGCAAATGCGCCACGGCGCTGGTTCCCGCGAACAACATCTGCACGGTCTGAACTGTTAGGTGGGATCGGTTGTTCTTCGGTGCTGCTCGATCCGCTGGATTCTCCCGCAAAATCCGCTGCTTGGGCCTGTGCTCGCGTCACTCTGTGCTCCGCACGATCTGCCGCCGATCCAGGCTGATAACCCATCGGATGCCGGTTTGCATTTGGCCTTTCCAGAATGCCACGCTCACGCATTTGGCGAGTAGGCGGTGTGGGTCGCCAAGGTACTGCATCTTCTGGCTCCGGTATTTCAGGGGAAAATCGCCGCGACATGCTTCCCGTCAAGCTTTTATGCAGAGAACCCATAAAATGACGAAAGGTGAAACCGCGATTGGGGGTACTTGGGGATCAAATATCAAAAGTGAAATAAAGAACTTCAAAAACTCAGAAATTTCCAGTTTAGATGCGGCATGTTACACACTGTACTATACAGTTTTATACGTCAGTGCCATAACATGGTGGTTTGCCTGTCGACAGGCATTCGACTTCCGATGAGTAAGTACTAATAAAATCCGCTCATATTTCGACAACCATTGTTCTTCACCGTAATTTTTATGGATGGAAGTGTTTTTTAGGGTCTATTTATTAATATTTTAACAAAAGGAAGACCGGAAACACTGATTCCGGATTTTCCGAACCAGTTTTGCGCGGGGGTTCTCCGTGGGCACACAGTGGCTGGGATAATTTCGGTATCTCGAAAAAGCTACTGCCCGCGTGCGGCTGACTCCCGGTTTTTTAGTACTTAGACTTTTTTCGAATTTTTAAAGACTTATCGCGAACTTTTATTTCTGTTTTCCTTTTCTGATTTTATTGTATTGACATCCTTTGTTTTTCTTCTCTACATCAGGTAAGTGTTTATAATTATCAGCATTTTCAGTTAATTAATATTTTGCACTGTGTAGGCGCCATGTACTGCCTGAGTGCTCCCTCTCGTGGCGATATGCGCGGAACTCGGCGTCTTTGCAACGACGTTGCCGCGATGCTCAAGAAACCGCTGGAGCCCATGGAAACTTTGAAGGCTCGTCGTCAGGAGGCAATGAAGGCTTGTGTACAAGTTCGCCTCCTAGATGCCTTTATGAAGAGCGAACTAGTGGATGTTACCGATATGCAGGAGTTTATCTGCACTTTGCATGACGATTTCACTTCCGCTCGTGTAAAACTGTACTTGGAGGAAAGTATTTCCCCTGGATTTCTTTTGAAACAACTACATGTGGATGGACGATTCATCCTGGGGGAAGCTGAGCGTCTTCGGAGCCGTCGCCCCGTTCTGATTATCGACCAGACCTACAAGCTCCGTGCCGCCATCTGTGGTGTACTTCTTGAAGCTGGATGCGGAGTTACTCGCCAGGAATTACTCGTGTGGCTGCATAACACTTACGCTGTGGAAATCCCACATTTTCCTATTGAATTCCGAAAGGCACTGCTGGCACTGCTTCGTTCGGGACGCATACGAACTGGGAATGGAACGCTGTTTATTCATCCCTGCGTCGATGCGCGAATGAAATGGGTACGCGCTGGAGAACTCTCGACCGAATTTGGACGCACTCTCAGTAAGCTTCTATTTTTATTTTTAATTTTAACAAGGCTGCCAATATACCGTATTCCTCCACTTTTATTTTCTGATTTTATAGCAATCCGGATGCAGCCGCACGAGGCCGATTGCCCGTATTTGTGCTATGGTTTTGGCGATCTCACAGTGAACGATATGTGTTTTGCTATTGTAAATGCCGCATCTGAATTGGGGAATGTGCGTGTTCCTGCTGTCCCTTCGGGAGCTATGGACGATCCTGGACCGTCAACCAGTTCATCCAGTGGAGAAGTTCCTGTTTCTGTGAACTTCCGTTATGCTGCGCCCGAGAAGGAATTCCTTCCAGCTCGTCGTCCTGCTCGTGCTCACACTGTGCTGCCCACCTCTGCTGATATCATTCGCACCGAAGTTGTTTCTGCCGGGCAGACTCTCAACGCCATCGCTGATTCACTGCGTCATAATTTAAAGGAAGCAGACGCCAGCGTCGCCAGTCTGAAGCGTCGCGTCAATGATCAATCCGCTATAGGAAATCCAAGGAAATCGGCAAAATCTTCCCGTTGATTTTAATTAATTTGAGAAACTTCCTGCGCTCTGTTTTTCTTCGTAGACTAATCTCATCTAAATTTGCTGAATAATATTGTTGATGTTCTCGTTGGTAGCAATCTTCGACAATTAAACCATGTACTCATTTTAGTTAAAAATGCCGTTTCCACTGCAAGTGTGTTAAAATCCCACTATTATGTAAATTCTTTTCGCAATATTCTCGTAAAATTCAATCCATGATATTCAGATTTTCTCATCTTGATTAAAATTTAAGACAGACCAATAAAAAGATATTTTTCACTTTAATTTACAGCACTTTATTTACAAAATATTTGCCCTTGGTGGGATTCGATTCTAGATTCTGGCAACAACAAGGAAGGATCCGTACACAACTCGGCCACTACGGTTTTAGTGATTTATACTGTTACAGATAGTGCCGGAATTGTATAAATTGTCACTTGGGGTTAAAATCTGCTCCCTTCACCATTACATTTATTCTCCTGGTCTAAAAATTAAATTTGTTTGCAAGGAGTTGAAAAATATATTTTTCAGGCCGTTACTAGGTAGTTAATTTGCAAAATTGACAACCATATAGGCACTTGAACTCGCTGACCCGGCTATCGGAGATGAGTGACATATCGCTCGGCCACTACAGCATTACTGATTTTAAGTTTTAACCAATGATCTCTAAAACTGTGATTCTACATAATGGAACCATAAAAAGGATTAAAAATTAAATTTATTTACAAAATCACTGCCATCGCTGGGATTGAACTAGCAACCTTAAACCGTTGTTGAGGATCTGTTAGCCACTAGACCACTACCTGAATTCGCGTTTAAAATTAATCTAGCTATCGCCAAAATCGTATCCGCCATATTTAAAACGTAGGAATGGCAAAAAATGAATGAGCCATTTACAAAAGTTTTTATTGTGGGTCTCGAACCTGGCATCTCGAAGCATTATCCAACAGTAGCGACCCCTACACTACTGCAGTAATTTCGCATTTTAAACTCATTGTGCAATCACGGAAAATGTTATTTTAATGTTAATTCCACATTTTCGGTAAAAAACTAAATTCTAAATCGTAAATGTTTATTTCACTGGGTATAGAACTCTAGACCTGAGCGTGAAGAAATGCCATCGCTCACCCGTGCACTACGCAGTTATTACTGGCTTTATTCCCGATTTCAATCCTTGCATTTGAAAATATATAACGGCGGTTCAGCATGTCGTGTTATGCGATATTATGCGATATTGGATGTTACAACTTCCGGTGGGTCATATCATGTTATGCCACATTTCAGATCAATCAGTTTTTATTATTATGGTTCAAGATCGACAACTATTGCTTTTATTACAATCGATCGGCAACCAGACAACGCAAGTGAGTCCGAAAAACTATCGATAAAATTCTAATAAAATCTAATAAAATCTATACACGCGGTAACGCGTCAAATACAAGTGCAGGCAAATGCACTTCTTCTACTAACGGGACTGAAATAATGAGCATAGGAAATTGGAGCAAATAAAGTTTCCGAAACTCATAAACTGAGAAAAAGAATGAACCAAAAGAATCCGAGAAAACATTCAGCAACCCTTTAGTCAAAACCAAATCCCCGCGGGTACGCATATTCGCAGTACGGGCCTCGTCCGCTTAGAATTTTGTCGTAGTGCTCTTTCTGTTGGCGCGCGAACATGCGCATAAACTTCTCATAAGATAAATTCTGAATCTGTTCCGGAGTCATACGACTTGTATACTTGACGTGCCAGTCCGGGAGAGGAAGATTCTTGGGTTTCGGTTTGGCGATGGTATGATAGTTTCCGCCACGCTGTTCAGCCAATCGCAGGCGTAACTGCTCCGCTGCCCATCTTTGTCGCTCTGGCTGGAGGGGCTTGTCCTGATCTGGTTCCTCGTGACGCTTGCGGAACTCTTCTTCTTCCAACAAATGCTGTTGGAGAATCAAGACGCGCTTCGGCACTGCGCCAACAATGCTGACAGAAAACTCGTTTGGCACGGGCATGCTGCTTGATGGTATTTCGCTGCCACTTGCCTTTTGCTCTCTCTGCGGGGCTTGCTCTTCCTGCTCACCGACTTCTTCATCCGTAAATTGCAGGAGGTCTCCCACGTCTGATTCCTGCACAGGAACTAGAGCTACTGGCTCGTACGGTTCCTTCCACATGGACTCTGCGTACAGTTCCGGGGCTTCGCGTATCTTACACAGTCCGGTTCACGAAGTGTCTTCTGCATCGCAAGCGGTTTAATGGTCTCTGGCACTTTCTCGTCCGCTGCAGTCTTACGAGACATGATTGCTGTCAGATTGCTCGGAAAAATTGGAAATGTTGCACGTAAATGTTCATAATTAAAACTTCAACAATTGGAGATTACTTTTTCGCAAAAACACTACAGTGCACACACGTGCTCAACTGGAAATGTGAATATGGGCTAAACTGCCCCTACGTTATAGTTCGGCTCAGCACAGACACGTTCATTTGTTTACTGTTCCTGTTTTCACTTTCGTCGATCTCTCCTTCATTTTGGTAGGAAATTATGGAAAACTTGATGTTTT